GCCAATCTTGCCAATTCTTAAGGTGCTTTTTCAAGAGGGTACTGCTGCATTGTGATGTTTGTCAGATGCCGTTATTTGGGCGTTTGGCTCCATGTGGAAGGAAACCACAGAAGCCGGAGAAAACCACCTTTTACAAGGGAATTAACGCTGAATGTTTTGCACAGATGAACCTAAAAATATCGCTGCTGCACAGCACATCTCCTGGCCACCTCACTGCCTAAAACCGAAAACAACAGATACTCGCAGGTAGTCTCTAAATCTAGTGACTAACCAGGCTCAAAACCTGCTGAGGTTCCACGATCTGACAAGATCAGATGCATTCGGGGCGATTCAGAGAAATGTAGTTGACGTAGTTCATCACAGCAACAATTCCCATTGCAGCAAATTTCCCTGGCATGTAATAATCAATCGTTGAAAATTGATGGTTACGCACACAATACGCGTATCAAATGGAGCGTGTCAGAATCAGCTGCTGCAGCTATGATTAAGAACCCTACATGCAAATCATACATTTTTACGCAAGTCACAGTGACATCACAGCTTTCTCTGTGTACCGACATCACAGCGCCCTGTGACATCAGAGGTTGTCTGTGTAGGGTGACATCACAGCATGCTCTGCCCTGAGCGACAGCTGAATCAAACAGTGGCTGCTGTATAATCGGCAGCGAGCAACAGACACGTGCGTCTGTACGCCCGCGTGCCTGCTAGACAAGTTAGCAAGGCTTCCACTGACGGCCGGGCCAGTGGCGGACACTGTCCAGGCCGGTGGAATCTTTCCCCGCGTTAATCTTCAAGCCAAAGGTCAAGGCCGCGATGCTTCTAAAGCCCTCGGCGGCGTGGAGCAGGGAGGAGACGTGCACTGGAATTCCCGAAGAATGTTTTCTTGGGCAAAGCTAAGAACTTCTCGACCCCTGCGCCTCCGCCCCCACCCCCAACCGGCTCAACCACGGGCGGCAATGTGGAATTCCCGGAGAGATTTCCCACCGTCGATGAATTCTACGATACGGTGTTTTCATTCGGAGTGTGATCGTCATCGTTATCCTCACTCAAAGCCAATGCCAAACCAAATCGCAAGACAGTCCCGGTTGTGAGCTGCTCACCACTGCCCCCCCCTTTAACCAATCCACAATTACCAGCATGGTGAAGTATGGTCAAGCAACTCCCATTGTTTGCCGTGTCTGTGCCACGGTTGTGGTATTCCCTATCGTTGGAAATTCGTTGATCCGATAATGTGGAAACTTTTAAATGTTTTCTTAAAACCACATCATCTGTAGTCAGTTTATTTGACTTCGCTTCTCCTCTATTGGCCTGTCCTTACCCTTATTCTCCCAAGGCGCCTTGCGACCGTGGAAGGCGCCTTACAAATAAATTATTATTGACACGGCGTGGGAGTCCTTCATCCACCAGTTGATTGAATAAGGTCTGTAATTCTTCTTATTATTATTATTGATATATAATAATCTATTCCCGGATGAGGTTAGGCTCCATAGCACCTGGAAACCCTCCATCCCACTCGATGGCTGATGGAGTGGTTACTTAATTGATTGATGAATGGAAAAGTGGAGGACACGCAGCTTTTCGCAATGTAATGTACAGTACTTTAAGACCTCTACAGCAGCGCTGCAAAGCAACTTCACACATCACTGATTTTAATACCCCTAAATAATACTGCGCATACTGGCCTTCCATATTCCAGCAACCGAGATTACGATAAAACATTTATTTGGAAAATCAATGTAACGGATTACATATATTTTTACGTCCTTCCAAGATATGTATGCTATTTATAATCCATCGAATGTAAACACATTTGATCACTCGGCGAATGATTTTAAAGTCAAAATACGCTGCACGTGACAGATTTCAGTCAATCACAGACAGTTGCAATAATAATAACGCTATCGCTGAAGCAACAAGTACACAACACAGACGATGTGAGCAGTGGCCGTAAGAGAAAACTATTCTATTTGGAGACCTCCAAAGTTGCTCAACTTACTTGAACAAACACAGGACCAATGTTTTCTCGAATACATCAAGCTTACGTCTCCTTACTTCTCAACGGAAACTCAGCGGCTCTCGCACACGGTGTGTTGGGGGGGTGGATGGCAAGAGACCAAGGCTTCAACCGCTCGTGGAAAGCGCAGGTGTACACACACGCACGCACCGCTAAACTCGAGAATTTATAACCCGTGAAGCGGCGCGATTAATAATGCCATAACCGACGGGGAGTGATGAATGGGAATTCCTGCTCCAATTGCTGAAAGTCAACACCGAGAGGTAGCGAAGAGGGGGGGGGGGGGGGCCGACCTCGTTGCTGCTTTGCGAGTGAGGGGCGGCTGAGAGAATATGGAAATATCTCGCACGGACGGATGAATGGACGTCAAAATAAAATGGTTGCACCTGTGAAAACTGCCAACCTGCACAGATAGTTGCGCACCAGATGCTGCAGTCTGCCCGAGTTGTGCGACAGCGCCTTTTGAAAATCCTCACGCAACAATTTTTTTTTCCAAAGTTAAATCATGCCCCCCCCCCCTCCTCCCCCCGCTCTAGACAGAGTGCCAAACACTTCCAACGTGCATTTCAAATTCAAAACAAACGAGTAACGGACATGTCTGATCACGAGCAGAACAGTCGCAGCACACGCACAGTGAGACAACACGGACTGGGCGATTCCTACAAGCAATTAAAAAACTGTCTGCGAGCGATGAGAAACTCGCCGGACAGAAACGTGATGAGGGAAGATGTGTCCACGTAAAGCCCTACCGAAGCACAAGGGAGCAGTAGGCAACGATGGGCTATACTTTGCTCATGATTCCTAATGAGGATGAAACCTACATCGTTCTCCCATTGGCCTGCTTTGGCAACAATGGACTGGAGGTCTAAAATTCAGTTTCCCAGCTCACCGCTTGAAGAAACTCTCAAAACAGACGGAGTGAAAGGTCCCCTGAGGTTGATGTTAAAATCAGTCGTGAACATTCTTCTGCCATCAGTGAGGAGCAGGGGGCAGCTTTATCAGTCAGAACTTGATGGATACATTGTCCGCGTATAAATACGATCTTTGTAAAGGTGACAATCTTGTTGGGTGGTGGAGGATTTATGACAAGATTTTTTCAATAAAATCACTACTTGGCTGAACCCCACGAAAATATATGAATCATTTTGTTGAACTACGAAAAACCTACTTCTAAGTAAAACAGGGCTGTGTGGATTATACCACGGAATGGTGATGTCATGTGCAATGCAAGGCATGCTGGGAGCTCATGATCACAATAGTACCGTCTGCTGTCTAAAAATCACCTTGTGTGTGTACAAACCCCATATAGCTTAAAATAATCGGCCTGTGTCTCCACATACACATACAAAAACACGTATTAGTCCAGCAAGGTATTGGCTTTTCAGTCCAATATCATCCAGCAGGAAATGTTGTTTGTGGATAATCACTCTTGGGTGACATCAGTTTTGGGTGACATCAGTTGACTATTCAACATCCTCCCGCATGCTGCTTGATTACCCCCCCCCCCCGCTTCCATCTGGCTACCCCCCCCCCCCTTTCCGTCTGGCTACCGTGTGCATTTTCGGGGTCGGGGGGGGTCACGCTTTTGCTCCGGTTAAACATTAACTGCCACCTGCCCCGGGGTATCGGATCAAAAACCCAGGATCAAACCCAGTAGTCGGGACTGCAGTGAGGCCAGGTGCATTTACCAGTGACAAATAAAATGTGATCTGTGCTATAAAGGGGTCTGGGGGTGGCTGGAGGGGGGGGGGGGCTGGAATAGTTTCCTTCAAACAAATACATCTACAGAGTAAACGTCTACATGACCGCAGGTAGCCTCTCGTTACACGATCTGCCAGCATACATATTTGGGCTGACATGGTCACTCATTATCCCCCGTGTTGCCCCGATCCTGTGCCTTTAAGATAAAAGTGAAAATGGCGTAATTACACACATCAGTCACTGCAATGTTCCTGCACAGGTAGAGGCCTGCCAAGACATGTTACTCACCGAGGGGGAACTGAAATTATCCCATACCGTGCCAAAAAATATTTTAATGTGACCAGTGACATAATGCCACGAAAGCCAGGGCACACACAGCTAATGCATTGTGAATCCACCTCGCACGGTAAATGCTCCCAACCCACAGGTTTGGCTTACACACTCAGTACAAATACACCTGGGGTGTAATGATCCATTAATTCAACGATTAATATCGATTCTTTAAGCTCACGATACATGCATCGAATAGTATAAATCGATGTTTTTCTATTGATATACGTTGTATGTAATGTTTTTTTTTAGATGTAATCCACCAGCCACTGGAGGCCACTATATTTGCCCACTGTTAAAACAAAAAAAGAGAAGCCAGTCTTGAATCGCGACCCTGAATCGTGACAATTTCGTGAATTGCAAAAAGGGGGCAATCGTTGCACCCCTTGTCTAAATGCGCACGCATGGACCGGTGTAACGCGATCAGGACAGATATAATAAAAGCTTCTGCTAAAAAAATATTTGCTACTTGCATTGGTACCTATGAAACATAAGGCATGCAAGCCTTATTGGACACAGGCTGGGAAACGCACACAAAGTAACACACAGCAAAGCAATGGACAGGTATGCTATGGGGGCGGGGAGAAAGAAAAAAAAGTCCTTTATTTTCACAGCGAAGGGTGCGTGCAGAAGGGCTTGGAACATCGCCCTCTGCCCCTCTGAACAATCCCTTCCCCAGTGCACCCCGCCCCCACTCGCTGCCTCCGCATCCTCAATTAAGCTGCAAAAACGAAATCGTGCCAACACATCTCCGGCCGGGCGTTCAAGCGCCAGAGTTGAAAGCACAAAAGGATGTCAAATCACTCGGCAAACCAAATTAATAAATGGGCTACGGCAGCCGAAGTCTCCGCGCCAGACAAAAAGAACAGAAACAAATGAAAAGGGCCGCACGGAGGAAGAGGAGTGGGCGCGTCGCGAGCAGGCCCAGAGAGACGACCGGCCGGGCCAACCTTACCCCTGAGAGCCGTAGCCCCCGACAGAGTGGATCTGCTTCACACGCTCCAGGTAGTCCTCGGGAAAAGCGCGTCGCGCTGGCCGGCTCTGCCACAATGCAAACCGAGAGGGACACGGGACGGCACAGGCTCGTGACGGTAGAAGATGCGAAGCGCAAAAAGGGAGGACCCCCTTATTCCAAAGCCGAAACGTTGGCGACAGGGGGCGGGGGTTGCTTTGGCAGCGTTGCTTTTTACGAAACTATCGTGAATGTTTCTGCCGCATGGGTTTTTTTGCGGTTGCACTGTACGGCTCTCCGACGTTGCTTTCTTTCGGGTTCTGATCGCCGCGTGTCGTTTTGGAGCGATGTCCACCTTCTAGGAACCGATTAGTTTGTGAACAACCCGAAAGCACAACGGAGAGCCAATATTATATTTTTATTTAAAGCTTTCGTGACTGCAGTGATTCATATTCTTGGTTCTTTCGGTAAAGTCACGTAGAAGGGAAATAATAAAATAATAATAAAACAAATAATAATAAAACAAATGTTCTGATGCGCACACGCACGGACACACCGCGGATAACAAAGCTTCTACCGCAGTCTCTGACAGAGCAGTGTGGCCCTTCTAGTTAGAGAATGACCCATGAAAACGAATATATAGCCACTGTTTACAAGCGCTGATCCGACTGCAACATAAAAATCCTAAATGCACCAGGGAACGTACAAAGGGTGGATTCGTTAATCGTTTTTCACAGCTGCAGGAGTGCTAATCCCGACAAGTGTGGCTTCAGATCACTATGACCCCAAGCACCACAGTAGTGGCCATTACATACGCCTATTCTAGACTCCAATGGGCTGGACTTCAAACACAAGTACAGGTGGAGTGTTTAACCCCGGGTACGTTTGCACATTTAGCCACCGTGGCTAGGATTGCACTTTCGATGCAGAAACGGCGAGTGTGAGCGTTTGCCGTTGGAATGCCATCGGTGTGGGCTCGATTACGTGCGACGATTCGCAAAGCCCCTTCGCGATTCAGCTCTTCAAATAATTTTAATTTAATACTGCTTTCTGATGGTGCCCTTTCCCTGCCTATTAGGCCTCCAAGTGTCTTACATAAGTTTGATAAAAACATTTAATTTCCCAGACACACACACACACACACCATTGAACAAAAAAACTTGGGCGAAAAGGAAGCCGTGGCATTGTTTCCTAAACCCTGACAAAGTTGGAGCAAAACGTACGTCAATGCAAACTTTTATTTTCATTACTACTACTACTACTGTTTTAACGTCGTTGTCAATGTAGCGCCTCTACTGGCTGCTGGAGCCACGTGAACCAATCACGTACGACACGCACGAATTGTAATTTTAGGAACCCCATTTCACGCGCACGCACACCAGCCCGAGCTCACCTGCGATGAAAAATGTGTCGTGTTGGTCTCTCGCCGGGTGCTGCTGGGGCTGAAACAGCGCATCGAAATTCCAGAAGGAGCTCTCGATGAAATTATTTGTAGGCATTTCCGTAAAGCTGCGGAAGAAACAGACGAACAAACAATCAGGCCAACCCCTTGCCTGTGCTCACAGCACCTTGTTTTATTCGTAAAAATATTTCACCCTGGAAATTCACTTGAGGTGGGAACGTCGCGTATGCTCGGGTGTCCAAGGTAATTGTGCGGGAAAAAGCTCAATACAAGCATGTGGACTATAGATCGCTGTTTGAGTTCTCCGAGGTAACTCTACAATATTCGTTTTCATGGGTCATTCTCTAACTAGAAGGGCCACACTGCTCTGTCAGAGACTGCGGTAGAAGCTTTGTTATCCGCGGTGTGTCCGTGCGTGTGCGCATCAGAACGTCGCACCGCTCGGGACACTCACCCCATCTCCAGGAAGATCTGCCGGAACTGGGTGCGCACCTTGAGGAGCGGGTGCAAGTGCCCGCTGTCCGGCATGATGCCCATCGCGTCAAAGTTGTAAGGCTTAAACTTGAGGTCGCGCCACGAGCCACTGCAGGCGTTCAAGGGGAAGTAACAGATGATCACTGCAACGCACTCCAACTGCGTATTCAGACACCTTTCAGGCACAATATTTACTACGCGTGTGATGATTCACCCTGCACGCCGATTGAATGGAAGAGTCGTCACTTAATCAAATCAAGAAATCTTTAAACAAAAATTATTTAACAATGTGATCAATGTCGTGGCCACTATTATCGACTGCATGGATCGCGTAAACCCACATAACACTGAGTACAATTTTTTAAACATTCTTACCCACGCGAAGCAATGCATATGTTGAGAGCTTGAAAATCAATATAAAGCAATTAATTCATGCATTACACATCTAATGCCAACCAGAATCCCAAGGGCTGTATTTTTCTCTGCATGACCCAGAGATTTGTAATCATGGCAGGAGACAAATGATTTAATCCGCTTGCAAACATGTGTTTAAAAAAAAATGCTACTATGAGGAATATCAGATATAGCCTACTGAGCTTAAACTGCACGTAAAAAAGTGTACGCATTTAAATTATGGGGTGTCACGACGCGGAAACTTGCGCACCGGCCAAAATATTCATCCACACTGTAATGGTGGAAACATTCTGATGGTTTAAGAAATTTCACAAAATCTATACCAACTTATCGGGGCCTCATAAAAATTATTTGGAGCAGAGATTTGTCTTATTTAATGGCCTGCCTCCCGTTGCGCCGTGAAACCAGAAGCGCAGCAATTCAGTGCGCTGTATATTCCTGCCGACAGTGGCTCAGGTATATCAAAAAAAATTGCCCTAGACTTTGGCCATCCTCCAAGCCTCCCAATCCTCGAGCCTCTTGGGAGCGACGGGAGAAACACGACACCGCTCACGGTCCAACGCGGCCATCGGGTCTCCCCCCCCCACCACGTCCACCCCCCCCCCCCCTACGTGGAAAACACAAAACGGGTCGCGAGCCACCAGTCCGCCCGCTCTGGCCACGCCACGACGGGGATGCGGACGCACGCCCACCAGGCGAGATCACTCCTCCCGTAATTCGACCATGGCGCCGCAGCAACGACGGTGGCTTCCCACTCGGGAGCGCACAATCCCGCGACCCCCCCCCCACACACACACCTACCACCGCATTCTGCTTCACTGAATTGCCGAAATAGCTTTGGCTGCTGCGATTGGCGGCAGGCCAATGTCCGGAGCGATCATTCTGTGGCAGCGGCGGCGGCAGTTTCCGTGGGGATTTACCATCGACGGTGAAATCAACACATTTGGCTCCATTCATCTCAAGTGTAACATTCCTCATTGTCACTTTTTTTTCCTGGAGACCAGTTTACACTCAAAACACTGCCCTTAAAACTTCGCAAGTTAACAAAAAATACTAAACTGCTCCACGCACTTAAAAAATTGTGCACTCTTCTATTCTTGGGCATGGCAATATGTTCCGGAGTTAAATGCTAATGTCAAGGTCTGCTGGCCGCGAGGAGAGGGCTTCAGGAGAGCGCTCGTGTTGAGTAGCTATTTCGTCTCTGTTGGAGGAGCGCAGACTACAGTTGTTTATTATCTGGTCCATTGTCTGAGTTGCATGGCCACAATTGCACTGCGGCTTCCCTTAACTTTTCACAAGGGTGTACCATTAATTATTTGTATGCAATACGTTTTTTTTTAAACTGGCATACGACCGGTGAACGTGGCATGAAGCGTACGCTTCAGAGAGACGCGAGAGGTGGCGTGTGGAGGGGTTCACATGCCCCAGGCGTCAGGTGGGCGAAGCCTCACGCCACTAATGAGAGGTTTCGTGCGGAAAATGAAAAGCAAACAAGCAAAGATGCAGGGAAAATTATACCCCACCAACCCTGTTTAACAAACTGAACACTTTCCCCGGCCAAATAGGACCCATTCTTTGGGCATGATTTACGAAGCTCCCGAAAGGACGCATCAAATATTCGTGCACAAGTATCGATGTTGTTTAACTCATGCCAATTTTATGCCGTCACAATTCGGAAAAATCCAGCGGACAAAAGTATCCCAAAGACACAGAGGGAGAGGAGTAACGACACAAACAAAACAGTAAACAAAGCGAGACAAAATGAATACATTCTGGAATAGAACCGCTGCAGTAAATTGCAGAAATTTATCGAATCTAAATTCTATATCTATATAGATTATAAATTTAAGAGAATAGAATCGCCAGAGGTGGGGGGGATAATATGCAGCCATATTTAATAGGTACCAGTGGCAAGGCCACGTTATGTAAACAACAGAGGAATCAAGTCTGAACAAAGTGCGACAATGACTATGTCTGGGCCATCAGCAGGGGTAAAGCCCACGAGAAACAGCTTCATCAACACAAACTTGACGATGGGTGCAAGGGTTTCTGCGCTAATCTTTGCCGCAAAAGCAGTCTTCCCCAAAAAAGCCCCACTTCCTCGTGCATAACGTCAGCATGTGTTGTTTTTCTTTGTTATCTCTGTGCGTTTCCTTGTTTGGTTTTCCTGCCCGCCCACCCACTCACTGCTCTGTTCTGTAAGTGGTTGTCTAATGGCGTGGGTCCCACAGCCTCTGTCGTTTCAGCCTCTCTGTCGTGGGTGTGTAGGCTCCAGCGGCGGTGGCTGGATTGCTGGATTGTAGGAGGGGTGCTTTGTAGTTAGACCAACGCCCAGCCGAAATCTTGCGAGACGTGGGTAAGGAATGTTACATGGAAATTGCACTTTCGTACATGGAATGGAATTTGCAATATCTCATACGTTACAAACAATTCCCTCCCAGTCGGTTAATGCCAGCCAAATGGATGCATTGCTCATACTAAAATAAAGGATATTATTTGGAACTAAGGCTCGTATGAGAAAGGCAGCGCGCAAAGCATAGGGTGCGTGTCGCACTGCGGAGCCACGGCTAATGCTCTGGGGCTCACCTGGCGATCATCTCGGGGGTGAGGTCGGTCTCCTGCTTGACGATGGAGGTGCTGAACGCGGGGCCCTTGCTCACCCAGTAGGTTTTGACCACCCTGCGGCACACGGGACGCACCGTCAAGCGATCACGCTGGCGCAATCGTACAACGGCGCACCAAGAGTTTCATCCACTCACCGCTCAAATGTGAAGTGCACACTGCCATGATCCGCGTTGTCAAAGTACGATCGGCCACGGGCACACTCGAGTGTCCGCTTCTCTTCTCTAACATGGCCTATGATGAGTGATTCACTTGTAAGCGCTTTGTCTGAGAGTTGGTGAACTGCAGGTACACCCACCACCTTCAAGTTTATATTTTGGGCAGTGTGGAGTTATATGATTCAATGGTTTGTGGTTCGTAGCCACAGTCGCACGCAGGAGTCTCTGATTTTCAACTTGTGCGTCAGGTGTCTGCGGTAAGGTTTCCATAGAAGATCGAAAGTGAGAAGTCTGACGGTGCCCTCTCGTGTTAAAAAGTAAAACTGTGCAGCCTCATTAAAAACTGCACCCGAACAAGATAAGGCTGCCACTGCCATCTACTGCATGTTACTTGCATTACAGTTTATGCACACTTGCAACAACTCTGCTAAGTGCAGTGCAATGAAACAGGACCACTGACGAAAACATTTCCATAATTGTATTAATTTACTTGCAAATGATTGCAGTGGCATGCAATGAGTGGATGATTACATGTGACTATTTTAGTTAAGCAAATCAACTCCCAAACCCACTGGCCTGGGAGGTGTCCAGATGCCATTGTACATGAATGTTAATCTCAAGCATGCACAGATTTTCTCTGGGTACTGGTTGAAAAGGAATTGGTCAACAATCTCAATGCAGGACCCTCTTGAACAAAAGTCTTGAGACTCAAGAGGCTTGTACTAAAATATCATCTTCTCTCCCTTCTGTGTGGGGCAGTGTTAGCCCTCGCACACTTGGGTTTCATCCAGGTGCTCTCGTTCCCTCTCACATGTACTCATTAGTTGGCTGAAAACATCTTCATATATAGAGGACCACAGAGATTGGTAATCGTTGGTGGCACTGGCTCATCAGCTGGCTGCCTTCCATTTTGTCTGCGGTTCCTCTGTTTACGTGACAACCCTTACCAGTTGGCTGTGTCGGGTGGTGGCGGGTTTTAACGACACATTATATATTTACGCGATCTAACCCAAAAAAAACCTCTATTATGGATATTGGTCACGAAAGCCTACGTGTTAAACTGGTTCCTCAGTGATTGTGAGAATCAATATGCACAAACGACGCGATGTAAAACTAAACATTATTACCGATATAAATAATTACTGCATACACCTTGAACCCTTAAATTATGATTGGGCAATGCATACCTATATTTATTTTCTTGGTTCTTTCGGTAAAGTCACGTAGAAGGGAAATAATCTATATATATAAAATCGTTCATGTCTGTCTGTCTGTGTGTGTGTGGACTTTGGCCCATACGCACTTTCATTGGACGGCGGTTGCCCCTGGCAACGGCTAGCCACGCCTTCGCCGCTTTCATTGGACCTGGCAACGGCTAGCCACGCCTTCGCCAAGGGCTGCAGTTTCATTGGACGGCGGTTGCCCCTGCCAACGGCTAGCCACGCCTTCGCCACTTTCATAAGCTCCGTATTTAATTAAATAATAGCCATTACACAGTATTGTTGGAGCGCTAGGGGGGGGGGGAAGGAACGCCACCCGTACCCTGCCTTTTCCAAGCCGACAATTTTAGGCGAGGCCGCAGGCTTTGCACGCTACTAGGCCTCGACACCCACCACGCCACTCTGAGGTAAATTCATCAAAGTTTTTCCTACTCTTCACTACACCCCCACCACAATGTGTGCTATTAATATTACTTTTAAACCCAACGCGCCAACAATCGATTACTTTAATGTTCACTGTACAAATACTCATTAAGCTGGGTGAGCGTACTGCCAGTCTATCATGTACACTGTAGCCTGCTTATTAAGCTCGGTGAGCGTACTGCCACTCTATCATGTACACTCTAGCCTGCTTATGAAGCTGAGTGCGTGTACTGGCAGTCTATAATGTGGACTCTTGCCTGGTTATTATAATCGATTCTTTATATGTTCTTTGTACAAACAGTCATTAAGCTGCTTGAGCGACCCCAGTTCGATTCCAACTCACGCCCACCACCGCTGACGATTATTTGAAACGGACCTGGCCCTCCCCTAGGTCCACTCAGCCTCAAAAGCGTAACTGCTGTCGTGTGTGAACATCGTCACTGGGGAGACAAAGGCGGCGGGGCATCGTGGATCCAAGTCCCGGGCGAAGCCGGGTCATGTGTATGTGTGTTTGTGTTTATGTGTATGTCTGTGTGTCTCTATGTATGTGTGTATGTATGTGTATGTATGTGTTTGTGTGTATGTGTGTGTGTATGTATGTGGGTTTTTTTATGTCTTTATGTGTATGTCTGCGTGTCTCTATGTATGTGTGTATGTACGTGTGTGCATGTGTTTGTGTGTATGTATGTGTGTGTCTATGTATGTGTGTGTATGTGTTTCTGTGTATGTATGTGTGTGTATGTATGTGTGTTACGTGTCTGTCTGTGTGTCTGCATGTATGTGTGTGTGTATTGTGTATGTGTTTGTGTGCATGTATGTGTGTGTTTGTGTGTATGTGTATGTCTGTGTGTTTGTATGTGTGTGTATGTGTGTGTATGTGTTTGTGTGTATGTGTGTGTATGTATGTGTGTGTATGTGTTTGTATGTGTTTGTGTGTTTACGCTCGCATTACACAAATGTGTTGCTGGTCTAAGGCGTTCCTCGCGCAGCATTGCCGCTTTATTATTTCAGTCGTTTACTGCCTTACGCACCCTGAAAGTCGTGTGTGTCTGCAGCAAGCGCGTGTATGTGTACCTATGGACGCGCGCGCGTGTGTTGTGTAGGGGGAACGGTAGTGTAGTGCTTAGCGTGCTGTCTGTGTCTGTGTGTGTGTCTGTGTGTGTGCGTGTGTGGTGTGTGGGGAGCGGTAGTGTAGTGCTTAGCGTGCTGTCTGTGTGTCTGTGTGTGTGTGTGTCTGTCTGTGTCTGTCTGTGTGTGTCTGCGTGTGTCTGTGTGTGTGTCTGTGCGTGTGTGGTGTGTGAGGAGCGGTGGGTGTAGTGCTTAACGCTACGCTGCGCTACCAACCCGGCGAACCGAGTTCGATTCCCGCTCACGGCCACCACCGGTGACGATTATTTGAACCTCCCCTAGGTCGACTCAGCCTCAAACGAGTAACTGGTGTGGCGTATTAACATCGGCACTTGGGAGACAAAGACGGCCGGGCGTGGTGGATCCAAGTCCCGGGCGAAGCCGGGTAGTACAGCTAGTAAAATAATAAAAAGAAAACATAATAAAATAATTCTCACGACGTTTCGGCCAGAACGTGTTTCATTCAGACGCTGTCTTCCCGACAGCCCTGTTCTTCACCTGAGGACGGCTGCTTGCGTTGTGGCCGAAACGTCGTGAGAATTATTTTATTATGTTTGAATTTTATTATTGTATTATTTCCCTTCTACGTGACTTTACCGAAAGAACCAAGAAGATGAATCCCTGCAGTCACGAAAGCTTTAAATCGAAATATAGTTATTTTGTTATACAAAGTAAAACCATCTGAGCAACACTCACACTTCCGTAAGTAGCTTTCGTTTCTTCAGCTCATTTCTCTCCTTGTCGTCCAAACTGTCCACCTTCCCGTCCTTGACCAGCTGCAGTTTTTCCCGCACCAGGTCCCGGATCTCCTCCACCTGCAGCCGACACCATAGGTTCGTGGATCCTGCACCGCGACATCTCAGCGGTGGTGCAAGGGCACCGCAACCTTGCGTGTACAGCACTATCCACCAGGGGTGGAACAATTTACTATTCACCCGCCTGGAATTTGATGAACTGTTACAATTCAGCGTAGTGGTTCAATCTAACAATCCATCATTTATCTTTGACATTACGCCGAATCGGACGTCGTTTTGTACCGTTAGCAATATCGCGCGTTATTTTTCAAGTTCACAAATCTACATTTTTAAAATTATGGCAAATGTAGTCGCCTCTCTAGTGTAAAAAAAGTAGATTTGTACACAGGCAATGCGTTAGTCAATGCAATGCAAAGGAATGATGGTGCATGGCTGTTTGTCAAAAAAAAAGTGTCTGCAGGAACAATAAAGGCAGAAAAATATGAAAGTAAAATACATCTTATTTATATTTTACATATACCAGTTTTAGTTGATACCGATATATACGATGCCAATGCTACAAACCAATGTTTCATACTTACAACATTTACAAAACACTATGACTAATACGATACCATTGACTCTCCATCTACGCACGTTAGTTCGATCTACAGACGTTTACTCCAAACCCTTTGTAAATATCCGTGCCAGATGTCAATTGGTCTTCCTGATGCAAGACAAGGTATGTTATGACACCTCCCCCCCCCCTCCAATGCAACAAGTTTAACATCTAATCAGTGTAGAGAAGGGGTAGGAATCATTTTCATCACCGAGGGCCAAATAGGACTTTCAAATACCTTTAGCACACACCTCAATCACTTCCATAACTGCAAGAGGTCATTGCACCTCTGATTATGTACGGTGCAAAGGAAGTTCAACATACGTACACTGGCAGAAGTGACTTGAGCACGCTAAAATTAGAACCGCAGTGCCGTTGCCAGTTAAATCAAATATTCCCCTCTAGTACCCGATAAGTTTGGCCAAGATGCTTGCAGTGAGATGAATGTATAGTTTTCAGGCTGTTTCGAAGTGGTAGGGGGTCATGGGGTCAAGGGGGCACGGGCCGTGTGATATGAAGCTGCGGGTGGTCGCGCATGGCCCATGGCACTGTAGGTTCGACGTACGCTGCGGAAAACCCGAGGCCCATTCTCCGCAGACTTGTCCATGCGTAGCCACTTGCTGGACATGGCCTTGCTGAAACCAACTTTCCCATTGGGCAGTTTCTGCAACAATAACAACAAAAATTCTCAACAAATTTTCTCAAAACGTCACAGCTGACAAAACTCAAAACACACTTTAGCTCACCGCTTGTCTGTGTAGAGCACACAGATGTTTCTATAAGACAAATATCCCCTGTATAGCCGGGACAAGTGCTGTTAGCGAGCACATATGAAGGCTGGAACAGCATACTAGGGGGTGGATGGTCAGCACCATGCCTGGCCGCCTTTGTCTCCCTAGTGGTGATGTTTACACACCGCACCAGGTACTCATTTGTGGCTGAGTCGACCTAGGGGAGGCCCATGACCAGTTCAGATAATCATCACTGATGTTGGCCGTGATCGGGAATCGAACTCGGGTCGCCGGGTTCGTAGTGCAGCTCACTAACCGCTACACTACCACTCTATAACTCACACACACAATCGTACTCACGCAATGCTTACTTTATACGGCAGTAGCATCTACGCACCATGCTGCATCAATGGATATTAAACGTATTATTCACCACCCCTTATGATTCAATTGTCATTCTTATTTAATCAATTGCTGTGTCTTATTTGTAATATTCCATTGGTGTTATCCGTGTTGCTTGTTGTCTTGTTCAACTATGAGTATAAGATTAACATCACAATTATATGCACATATTGCGAGAATAAGAATGTATGTTAATGGATAAATCGTTACAAATCTCGTAAATATGGGGAGTGATGATGTGGCTGAAATTAATCTCCAAACGGACCGCTCTCAATACGTACGCAAAGATGCATTGACTCAGAGATTAACATCGATCCTTATACATACAGCTTACACAAATTATATGCAGATGATTTGTACATTTTTAGCTAACGGTGGGTACCAACCAACCCGTGTAATAAACGAGACAGAACAACGCAAACCAATAACAGACAAGACGGCAAAACTTCGGCCAAAAAAAAAGAAGATTCGACTACGTTAGTAAACCCCGAATGTTGGCGATTCATTCAATCGCCGATGGGATGAGCCCGCCGCATGTCGTCTCTCACCACGAGCTCGCTCTGCAGGATGCCCTCCGGGGGCACAGCGTGGAAAACGCGTGCCTCGTGGCTGCCGTGTTCCACCACCTCCCTGCCCTCCTCCATCAGCTCCCACTTGGTAGCCGAGCGATTCTCCACTTGGATGACCTGAAAGGGATGCCGCTCGAGTCAACGGAGACTCCGATGGGATGAGACGGGGTAACCCTTCGTGGCCGACGTGCACGCGAGGAGGGGTCGTGCCGGGTGAACCCCAGGGCCAGCTGGTTAGGTTAACGACCGAGATTACAGGAAATGTCAGTGATGCCACAAAACCCATAATACCGTTGCCGTCTTCTCTACCAGATCCCACAATTCAACAAACAACCTCCAAATGTGATGAATGTATGAAATCATTCAATGACTTTCAGCTTTGTTTTTCATTAAATTTCTTCAATGACTGCCCTTAAAGTATTCCACCATCTGGAGATAGGCCTTCATCCTGGTGGCTGACCTCGAGATGCCACTCCAATGCCCTTCTCATGAACCTACTCTCTTCCATCCCACACAAATATCCAACCCATCGCGACCTCCCCCTCTTGCCCATTATGTCAAACGCTTTCCCCCCAAGTTCTGATTCGACTTTCCAAGTCGATTGCCCTTTGCCTGCCATGAAAATTCCTAGCATCCCCCCTTAATGTACAAAAGACACGTCTTCTTGGTTCTTTCGGTAAAGTCACGTAGAAGGGAAGTAATAAAATAATAAAAATAAAACATAATTTATTATTTTTATTATTATTTTATTATTTTATTACTTCCCTTCTACGTGACTTTACCGAAAGAACCAAGAAGATGAATCCCTGCAGTCACGAAAGCTTTAAATCGAAACAAAAGACACGTGTTAAGTTTCCGCACGCCATTTCAGTGAACGTAATTAAAAATGAATTATATACAATTCAAGCTTCGTATGGAATACTCCACATGCTGAGTTGAGACTTTACACAACCACAAAAAGCCCAAAATGTGATTTATAATCAGGCGAGAACTCAAATTAGACAAACGTCTTTAGTTGGAATAAAGACGAGGGATATGTGGATCATTTCCAAGTGTCTGAAATATCCTTGTGTAGCAAAATAAAGTATTTAAAACAAATCAAAGCTGATTAAGTCTTTATTAAACGTAAACAATAGTAATTTTTGATTTAAAGCTTTTGTGACTGCAGGGATTCATATTCTTGGTTCTTTCGGTAAAGTCACGTAGAAGGGAAATAATATATTAATATTATTTTTATATTATTTATATTATTTCCCTTCTACGTGACTTTACCGAAAGAACCAAGAATAGTAAACAATAGTAGTATGTTAAAATTATTTTGCACCATACATATCCAACTGTGCTAATCGTAGGTGCGGGAATTATATAATAACCTTGTTTAATAAGTGTGTGATTACATGATACACTTCACGTAGCCATACACGCGAGGTTTTAAACCATTCCCTATTCACTGCTGGACGATGACAGATTTGCCTTCAGTTGCTACCGATCCGATCGTGATCATCTCCGTTCCCGCTTCGTTACAATGTCAGCACTAATTCCGCCTCCTTTGCACCGCCAATGACCAGCGTGGTGAAGTATGGTCAACATGAAGGACCCCCCCCCCCTACAAGGCGACCGCATGCTGTGGCCATAATCCTAGTGGATTGACACAAGTAGACAATCTTAAACGAGTGGAGGAGAACTAAACAGCTCGGTCATGTTTAGATTTAAAGCTTTCGTGACTGCAGGGATTCATATTCTTGGATCTTTCGGTAAATTCACGTAGAAGGGAAATAATAAAATATTTAAAAACATTGCTGTTCATTAGGACGATGTCTTTCCGACAGCCCTGTTCTTGAGAATTTTATAAAGTTTTATTTTTATTATTTTATTATTTCCCTTCTACGTGACTTTACCGAAAGATCCAAGAATAAGCTCGCTCATTTACACAAAACTAATCGTGTATATCGATCAGGCAGCGAGTTAAAAAAGAAGAGAAGTATTGTTCGTGCTGCGGTATTGTAACTGTGATGTGGTCAATGGGATTTTAAAACCGGCGCGCCACGCTCGCTCTCCGGTGACGTCGCCGCAAATTGCGCCGCATTACGACACGTGGAGCCCTCGTTACAACACGTGGAGCCCTATACTCTTAGGTTGGTAAAGTCACGTAGGTAAAAAATAAAAATATATTATTTTATTTCTAATTTTAATTTTTTTACCTACGCGACTTTATTATTGTTATTTTTTTTTATTTTTGTACCTACGTGACTTTACCGAAAACAATCTAAGCGTATGAATCCTTGCAGTCACGAAAGCTTCAAATCTAGAATGTGTGGCCCTCGTTTCAACACGTGGCCTATCCCCCCACCTCCACTTAGTAGAGCACTCGTCCCGGGTGAGAGAGGCTCGCCGCCGGGGCTAGTTGGTGTACGAATTAGAGCAGGAGACCACGACTCCCCGTGGTGCCGCCCGGCGTTTACCACGCACGGCGTGAACTGCGGGCCATCATCATCATCAACACGCACGTGGATCGCGTTGCATTTCCCAGCGCGCTCAAGCATAGGGGCCGAGGCATCGTACCACGCCCATTGGCCACAGCCGTCGCGACTCTGCCGCCCCATTGGGCCAGAACGCGCACGTGACCTAGAAACCCGCCAATCGCATCGCGCGGCCGCCCATCCGGACTGGGAAATCTTAAACGGTTAGGTGGCTGGTCTATGCCGCTCCGCGCGTGTTGTGTGGTCGTCTTCACGTCAAACCTAAAACTTTGCGAACTCACGTCTCCCTGCGACTTCAGGCTCTTGACGGCGCCCACAACCATCTGGTGGTCCACGCCGAGCTGCGCCGCCACATCGCCGCTGTCAAAGCCGTCAATGGCTTCAAGCCGCGCGAGCAGCGCCTCTGGTAGACCGGTCTCCGCCATGTTCACGGCTCCGCCCCCGCCACACACAAGCCCCGCCCCCCGTGACCTCAAGCCCCGCCCAGTGAACACAAGCCCCGCCCCTCCATACACAAGCCCCGCCCCCCGCCACAGACAAGCCCCGCCTCCTCCACACACAAGCCCCGCCCCCCGCCACATACAAGCCCCGCCTTCGTCACACAAGCCCCGCCCTTATTAACTCAAGCCCCTCCTCTTTACACAAGCCCCGCCCCCGTCACACACAAGCCCCGCTCTTATTAACTCAAGCCCCGCCTCTTTACACAAAGCCCCGCCCAGTAAACACAAACCCCGCCCCCAGCGAACACAAGCCCCGCCCCCAATGCCCTCAAGCCACGCCCTCTTGTATAAAGCCCCGCCCCTCTACACACAAGCCCCGCCCCCCACGTGCACGATCTCCGTGCACGTTGTCGGCTGATGTGTCAAGTTCAAGTGCGGCGTGCCGGTAAACATTGCGGCGTGTTCAAGCAGGTGACACACCCAAGAGGCCAGGAGAGGCGAATCTGAAAGGGTGGCCCTGAGCACACCAACAGTGACAACAGCGAGGCGAGTCGATATCAGGACAAAACAATTAGGTCACGTGAGAAATCTAAAATAGCGTATTGCACGAAATAATATACATCAATGTAATTACAGTGTACACTGGATGCATTCCCTGTGGCCTAACGTCGGCTCGGGCAGATTACTTTTAGACTGCTAATGCTTCTATATTTACATACTTGCACAAGTCATCCTATATCTGTTTAATGTTTCATAATTTTACTATGATCTGCCCGAGCCGACGTCACATCAAAGGAAATGTTATTCATAATCAACGTTTTTGGGTTTAGATCGCGTTATTTATAAATGTGTGTAAATGTTCGTCACCGGTGTGTTGAAGCCACAACATTGTAAATGTTGTGTGTTGAAGCCACAACATTGTAAATGTTGTGGCTTCAACACACCGGTGGGCTAAAGCAGTGAACTATTTGTCTTTTGTCAACGTGACACTTTTTTACTGATTGGCCGTGTCGGGTGGTGGAGGGTTACGACACATTTATAAATAACGCGATCTAAACCCAAAAACGTTGATTACTGTACTGTATTTAACATTTTTGTTTTTGAAACATTTTCGAAATATTCTCGCTTCTCTTGGTTATTTTTAGAATGAAAAAGAACGCACGCGATAACTGTGCAGAACACAGGTGTGCGTTAAAAACATGCCACATAGCGTTTCTTACTTGCAATGTATTACATTAATAATACGTGCAATATTCTTGGTTCTTTCGGTAAAGTCACGTAGAAGAAAAATAATAAAATAAATAAAATACAAATAATAAAATACAATTATCACGACGTTTCGGCCACAACGCAAGGCTGTTTGCGTTGTGCCCGAAACGTCGTGAGAATTTGTGCCCGAAACGTCGTGATAATTTTATTTAATTGTTTTATTTTTATTATTTTATTATTTCTCTTCTAAGTGACTTTACCGAAAGAACCAAGAATATGAATCCCTGCAGTCGCGAAAGCTTTAAATCGAAATTTCATACGTGCAATGTAACATTGTGCACAGCCCACTTGCCAAATCCATTTAGCATTGTATCTCAGCTGACCAGTGAGTCTTACATCGTTAAGCAAACGACACAACACAGCTGGCTACGTACGGTGCGAAAGAAGTTCAACATACTGTATGTATGTCAATTGCATGTGTGTATCGGGCAAAGGAAGCCTTTGCGCTCTCATCTTTCAAGTTGACCAACAATGCCACCGCGTGGCGCTGCTGTTAATTACTGCAATTTGACTCAGGCGGAGTCAAACTGGAATTGAATATTTCCCATTGTTCTGACGGCATGCATTGTAATGGTTGACTACCTCCGCCTTCCTTAAAATTACAACAGAAGCTCTTGTCAAAGCCAACGTCAGACGATTTTTGACCCCCCCCCCCCTCGTCACACGGCGTCACAAAAAGTCAACCCCCCCCCTCAAATATGACGTCACAAAGCTCTGCCCCCCCCCAAATAAAACATGCTTCAAATCGCTTTAAACTATTAAACTATTGTCATTGTAGTGCGTATTTAATGTGATGTTGTAGGAGAAAACATTTATAAAAAAGTATATTTAATTAAGTAGAACGTGTTGTCTATATTTATTTAAAGTTGCGCATTTTGATGTGACGTCACATTCCCCCCCCTCGTCACACATCGTCACAAATGTCTGACCCCCCCCCCCCTAGGTGCGTGACGTCATTTATGGACGGCCCCATATGGACACACTATGGATTTCCCAGTGACGAACCGTCTCGCCTTGCATGATCTCTGTGTCTCCCTCTGTGACTCTTTCTCGCTACGTCTGCACAGAGCCCCACTCTGTCGTATTTATGGCAGCAGCCCCTGGGGTTCCACTTCTCTCACGCTCGGGGTGTCTCTGTCCCAAGTCCAAGCCAGAGAGACAGAGTGGGGTGATGTCACACGGGTGAGGCTCTGCCCTGTGTCTATTTCCGTGTGTCTCGTATCTGTGTGAATGTCTCTCTTTCTGTGTGCGCTGGTCTCGTTTAACTTCGTGTTTGCTCTGTCTCCTTTGTCTCTCTCTCTCTGTCTGTGTCTCCCCGTGACAATGAAGCTTTATCTCTGCAAAGTGAAGACATTAAGACGGCTCAGGGTGTGGAGAATCAGTCTTTCTGTGTATGCTTTGTCTCTCTCTGTTGAAGGAAAGGCGAGCACGCAGACAAACTTGATCCAAGTTGGACTGAAAACCCAGAACTCGCCAATTCACTCCAGTCACTCACTCACCATCTTATCGCTCTCATATCGCTATTACCATGTTACCGTTCCTGTGAAATGCAGTCATTGATTCCTTCACTCATGTTTATGACCGGGTCTACCAGACACTGACTAATCTAGATTTGAAGTTGTATAGCCTCTTGTCACGCCAGCCCTTTTGCCCCACTTCAGCAATTGTTTCTTGCTGTGGTTGTCCCACCTGATGACGGACGCTTTGTGTTGCGCCCGAAACGTCGTGCTTTAATTTATTTTATACCCACGTGACTTTATATCGAAAGAACCAAAGAGTACAGACACTGGACTGTTTCGTCTCATCCACGCAGTGTCGAACCCACCACACTGCAGCTTACAACACACTCGGCCAATCGGCCCACTCACTCACTCACACACTCAGCCACTCACCCCATCACCACACTGCAGGTCACAAACGCGTTCATTTCGACTTGTTCCCCAGCACTAGCTCCACTTTGGCATGGATCCCTCCTAGCGTGTGTATTTCCAAGCTCTTACACGACACTTAATGACCTCGCTCAACCCCAGATACGCATATTCTTAGGTTTTCGGTAAAGTCACGTAGGTAAAAAAATAAAATTAATAAAAGTCAAAGAAAAGAAAAATCACGACGTTTCGGAGGCAACACAAGCTTCCGTCTTGTGTTGCCTCCGAAACGTCGTGATTTTTATTTTATGTTACTTTTATTAATTTAAAAATTTTTCCCTACGTGACTTTACCGAAAACCTAAGAATATGAATACTTGCAGTCACGAAAGCTTCAAATCTAGAACCCCAGATACGCGTTTAACTCTTATTTATTAGAACGTTGATGGTGCAGTTTGTTGCTGACCGTCTGGCTTGTTGAGATTTCTGGGCACTGTGCCCAGCAACTTTGTGAAAACCAAAACCCATTAAGCATGTTTTTAACACTCCAGCTGGCGAAGAGGTCTGGACTCTCTCCCTCTACAATCTCGAGCTGATAGCTGATAGACACAAAGACAAAGATCCCCCGTATTGCCTTTAACAGGCTGTGGGAGAAAGTGCTGTTAAAAGAACACCACGCCCGGCCGCCTTTGTCTCCCCGGCGCTGATGTTTTACACACCGCACCAGGGTACTTATTTGAAAGGCTGAGTCGACCTAGGGGAGGTCCAGCAACGGGTCAAATATTCACTGTCACTATTGGTGGTCGTGAGCGGCGATCGAACTCGGGTCGTCGGGTTCGTGGCGTGGCGCGTTAACCACTGCGCTAACCGCTGCGCCACCGCTCCCGGCTGGTAGACAACACAGACACAGCGGGACTGGCGACTGACAAGGACAAAGATCCCCCCCCCCCATAGCCTTGACAGACTGTGGGGGGGTGGGGGGGGGTTGAGGGGATGAGGGGGGGTAGATGGGGTGAGGTGGGGGGTGGGAGGTGAGGTGGGGGGTGAGGTGGATGATGGATGGGAGTGGATGGGGGGGGGGTGAGGGGGTGAGGGGGTGATGGGGCGAGGGGGGTGGATGGGGTGAGGTGGGTGGTGAGGTGGGAGGTGGGTGAGGGGGGGTGGATGGGGTGAGGTGGGGGGGGGTGGATGGGGGGGTGAGGGGGTGATGGGGCGAGGGGGGGGATGGGTGAGGTGGGGTGAGGGGGGGTGTGAGGGGGGTGATGGGTGAGGTGGGGGGGGTGGATGGGGGGGTGAGGGGGTGAGGGGGTGATGGGGCGAGGGGTGGTGGATGGGGTGAGGTGGCGGGAGTGAGGTGGGAGGTGGGTGAGGGGGGGTGGATGGGGTGAGGTGGGGGGGGGATGGGGGGGTGAGGGGGATGAGGGGGCGATGGGGTGAGGGGGGTGGATGGGGTGAGGTGGGGGTGAGGTGGGGGGTGGATGGGGGGGTGAGGGGGAGATGGGGCGAGGGGGGGTGAGGGGGGTGGATGGGGTGAGGTGGGGGGTGAGGTGGGGGGGTGGATGGGGGGGTGAGGGGGAGATGGGGCGAGGGGGTGGATGGGTGAGGTGGGGGGTGGATGATGGATAGGGGTGGATGGGGTGAGGTGGGGGGGGATGAGGGAGGGGGATGGGGTGAGGGGGTTGAGGGTGGGTGAGGTGGGGGGGGCATGGATAGGGTGAGGGGTGGGGGTAGATAGGGTGAGGGGGGGGGGTGAGGGGGGGGGGGCTAGACAGTGGGAACCGGTTCCCGTGACCGCGGACCCGGGTCCCGCAGCCGGGACGACTTCATCGTCAATGGCCTCCGGAGCGGAGCGCCGCGCCTTTCGCGCAGAAGATCAATCGGTGAGGGTCGACGGGCGTCCGAGGCGTTCACCTTCCGGTGGTCGTCACCTGAGGGGAAAACAATGAAAAACAACCACCACGCGCGACGTTTCACGGCCGCCTCTCGTCTCGTTTCTCTCTCCGTGGCCGCGATGTTTGTGTCTGTGGTGGTGGGTGGTGGTGGCGTGGTGGTGGGGGGAGACGCCCCTGGTGATGGATGTCGACCCCCGGGGGATGGAAGCGGCAGGGATTTGTGGACAATGATGATTGGTGGTGGTGGTGAGGGTGGTGATGATTGTCGGTGTTGGTTGTGGTGGTGGTGACGATGACAGTGGTTGTTGCTGCTGGTGGTGATGGGTGGTGTTGGGATGGTGGTTGTGTTCGTTTCGTGGCTGTCAGGACCCTTCCTGAGGTGGTGGTGGTGAGGGCGATGATTGGTGGTGTTGGTTGTGGTGGTTCTAACGATGACAGTGGTTGTTGTTGCTGGTGTTGGTGATGGGTGGTGTTGGGATGGTGGTTGTGTTCGTTCGTGGCTGTCAGGACCCTCCCTGAGGTGGTGGTGGTGGTGAGGGGCGATGATTGTGGTGTTGGTTGTGGTGGTTCTGACGATGGCAGTGGTTGGTGGTGCTGGTGGTGGTGGTGATGACTTTGTTACGATAGTGGTTGGTGATGAGTGGTGTTGGGATGGTGGTTGTGTTCGGTTCGGTGGCTGTCAGGACCCTTCCTAACGGTGGTGGATGTTGTGATTGTAATCAAGATGTAATGTGTGATTGTAATCAAGATGTAATGTTGTGGTTGCTTGCACTGGTGACGATGATGGCTGCTTACGACAATGCTGAACGTGATTGATGATGGTGCTGCTGGTGGTAATGACACTGGACATGGTTGTGGCGATGATGATGATGATGGTTATGAAGCTGATTGTCACTGGCTGTGATTGTTCTGATGGTTCTGGTGGTTACGATGGAGAGACATTGGGGTTAGGAGATCGTGGGTGCAATGCCCGCCGCCTCTTGCCACAGGAGGGGAAGTGGTTGGATGGTTGACGCATTTTGGTTTTGATTTAATCGCTGCTGTATTACTACTCTGCTTTGCTATTCGCCGCTGTGCTCTTTACAATAAGCATATTGACGTTGGACAGCTCTTTGCCAATCCACTGCTGCATGAAGGTCAAACGTTGGGGTTTGTTTGACCATACTTCACCACGCTGGTCGGTGTGGCTTTGTGTGGGGCGCAGGGCCGATAGGGAACTTCACGCTACAGCACTCTAAGCATTGTATAAAGTTAACTCTAATGTAATCAACATTAGTTACTATAATCTCACAGACAGGGCCTTTGAGTATCCTTTTAGAGCGGCCTGGTCGGTCAGTATCAAGCCCTGCTTGTACTGTGTAATACGGGAAGGGGTATGATTGGTGTCAAGAATGGGATATTTAAACTTTAGTCTGAGGGGTAAATGTGAGGTTAACATATTTCTCGGGGTAGGAATAGGACTTGCATAATTGGTATGGTAAATGGTAAGTGGGTCTGAAGGTTCATGTTATGGGTCGGTGTTTAGGTCATTTTTAAAGATATGGGTAGCTTAGTATTCTGGATATGCCAGTTCAGACTTAAGAAACTGATTTTGCATGCAGTGTGAATAACGTACTCGCGATTTAAATAAAGTTAGGATAGCCTAGTAATGGGCTTATCTGCTTCTCGCTGCACATGGGAGGGTTATAAACCCTGGGTTAGTCCCTGTTACAGTACCCAGCTGGAGAGGACTCCTCAAAGTGGCTGTTGGCATTTATGGTGAGGTCAGATTAAGGCTTGGGGCACGGTGGAGTGGAAGTCCCATGGGGTCAACATAAAATGGTCTGTACATCTGACAAACCACACGGTGAACTGTGGTGAGCAGATCTAACACTGCCTACCAATCCAAACCTGCACTCATTTTCCACCTTTTCCCCACCGATCCCGTCAGGTTCCCACTGTTCTCATCAGACTTAATATGAAGTCAGCAACATGATCGGCTTTGTAAATGAATACCCATAAGCCAGCAATGAATGCTGGCATGGAAACCTTGGGCGGGTTAACATGGTAGCAGCTTTTGTTTTGATGAACATGATATGATGTGTATTGAACACCTGATATTGGAATTTCATGCAACTGAATATGAATATTTTTAAACTAATTAAAAGCAGGTCAGACTTTTGGTAACGAGTCTTATTTATGTGGCTTGAGTGGAATTACATATTTAACAATTAAATTACTCGATTAAACAAATTATTAGGCTCAGTACACGTGTAAAATCATAAATGAGGATATATTATTATTTTCAGTCCATAATTCCATAGGGGTGGAGTGGTGATCCAGTGGTTAACGTGCTGCACTATGAAACCAGCGACCCAAGTTTGATTCTCAGCTAGAGCAAATAGGGCGAGTGGCATTGAACCGGTTCTGCCCTCCCCACCTTCGCCAAACTCACAGTGACCAGAATGGTAAAAAAAAATCCATCCAGCAGTGGATTGGCAAAGGCAGTGGAAAAGCTTTCGAGTGTTCAAGCAGTGCAACCACACCAGGGCTCACAGGCCGGAGGGCCAGGATGCCGGGCTATGAAGTGGGAATAAATTGGACCTGGGCAACATTTTATTCCTTGCGCAATGCCCCGTGCTCACCACGCTCCACCACTGACAAAGGGGTGCACACATGCATGTACCCGTGACAAACTTAGGTTTACAGAAGACATTGGTAGCTTGTGTCCAGACGCCATGCTTTAAAAAAGAAGTTGTATGCCTGTCACAAGATTAATCGTCAAAACATAATTGGGTAAAGCGACACGTAAACATCACTCCCTACGTGGAAAATACTGCAGATTAAAGGCCGTGAAACATATTGCCTTTGTGATAGCTTTGTGCTTTAAGAATGGCGCAGACACCAAATGTACTGATGATCTGATTTGCCCAATGCGCGGCACGTGCTGCGGCGATTTGTACTGCGCTGACGGGACCGTCCATGGCGCGGTGTTGCAGGACTGTGGCCGCGGAGGTTCGCAAGCAGCTGTTCTCCCAGTATGGTGGCTCAGCGCACCTGTCCAAGCCTCTCCCGGGTGGCGGGGCCCCTCAGACGGTGAGCATCTTCCACCCGACTCCGATCGCCGCGCCAACGCGAAACTGCTCTTTGTACAAGCGCTGCCCTTCGTGTCCATGGAGGGAAGGGTGAACTATTTGTTTTGCAAAGTTGCTTTGCTCTGATCCGAAGGAAAGCCTCTCATGTTCCAGCTGTCTTGGGTATGTCACTCATCTCCACTCAGGATTTGGTCAATTGTTATCATCTTCATCATCAGCTGTGACCTCTTCACTGTTGGATGAAGGTCTCCTCAAAGCATTGTTATCTCTCACGGCCTTGAAATACAGCAATATATTTTGGTCCTTCACATGAGCCAATTTTATCTCTCCAGTTCCATGGTTCATTATTTTGCGTGGTAAGAAATGTGCTTACCAATCCGGATAATATATGATTCGAATCGGATGATAACTAATTTGAGGTTCTTAAATGAACCCGTTTGGGATGAGCTGTGGTGAAGATGGAGTATATGCGGTTTTATTAAACTTATGTGAAGCACTGTGTTTATACTTACATGGCGATGAGATCCTTCTAGTTTCATGAATGCTAAACACCCGATGGTGTCTGCCACTAATCCAGCACTTTGGAGCCTAGGGTTGAGGAAAAATTTAGATTTGCAAAATTCCCACCAACTGGACTTGAATTGGCAGGATGGGAAAGTGAGTTCATGAATACCTCTGTACAGTTTTAAAAAGGAATGTGCCCAACATCCCATATAAGACCCTCCTAAAGATGAATCTTGAGACTGACAGAATTGCTTGGATAAACAAATTGACACTTATTATAGATTGATAAATTGCATGACTCGGCATCCCTGGATTGTTTGGATTGAAGTTGGAACAGCTGCAGCTCTTGCCAGTGATGTTAACCACACCTCCGGGGAACTCGCAAATCGTTCCAGGCTTTTGCTAGAAATACAGCGTTCTGATTCTGGTACCTCCAGCCCTGGTGCAGCGTGCTTGTCCTCTGGTCCTGTCGGCAAGTACATTTCAAGAGCGAGGCACCTTGACGTTCCAATTCCAACATCATTCGGTGGCCACCCGTGACAACCACCTGTGGCCAAACTCGGTGGCATGTGGCCCGGTGGCTCCAACACCACAGTTGGTTATCCGTGAGGTCTTCGGGTGCCTTTTCTTATTGTGTTCTACTTTTCCTATTTTTTTCTGTATTGTGTTTTTTTCCCCAAATTTTATTGTGTAAGATGCTTTGAGATTCCGGAAATAGAATGCAGATCAACAAATCAAGTTGTTTTCCGCCGCTTGGCGGCCTGTTGACCCTGGCTGGTTGATTAGGTCCCTGTCGGTGGGCATAGTTAACCCGGTGGGGTTGAGTTTAACGTTTTGTGCTGAGCACAGAAACTGTTTCAGCTCCAGGTATTTTATGTTCCCGATGGGGCAGAGTATCCCTTTAAAAGCTTAAACAAATCCAGCGTTTTGGATGCTGGTGGCAGCTTTCACATATCTGGTTACTTGTGCAAGCTGCTAATTGGGCACTGATCACCAGAGTGAAGTCATGAAACGGTTTTACTCAAAAAGGAGGGGGCTCACTTAATTATTATACATTCATGCAGTTGGCATGCTGCAGCGATGACTCTTGAATTAATGGGTGTGTTTTATAATGTCAGTGATGCAGTGTATTTACATTTAGAACAAGCTGCGACCATTCATGGTGCTAGTATTTCGAGTGGCAGAGCGACTCGCCACAGAACTTTCCACCAGATTCCTCACTTTGTAGAGCACTACACTCGCGCAGAGCTGGGCGCTCAAGGATTACGTGGCTTGAATCAGATTTAAAACAACCACCGGCTAATCATTTGTTAGTGCAAAGGCAGCGGAGATTAGGAGCAGTCTCACCGCAGCTGGCCATGCTTGTTTTTCCACAAGAAAATGCAAAAAACAGATGGCCAGGCGTTCGGTGGTCTGTGAAAAAAAAAGCCAGTCCCCCTCAGCCCTGAAGCGCAGCACAGGGGTGCAGACAGATGCGAGTGAGCTGCTAACGCTATTGGTAGCATCTCGCTGCGGACCGACCGACCCGTTCTTTCCGCGTTGAAACAAGACAATCCACGGCGTTTGTTTGAAGCACGCTCGGACGCTCGTGCTGTCGCTCGGAGATCGTGCCAGCGGGTGGCGGCTGTGACCGCCAGCACCGTGATCATGTCCGCCCTGGGTGCACGCGGTGCCTGGCGTGTTCCGCTGGTTGTTGTGTCGGACGCCGACGATCGGGACAGACCCGTCCTGAAGAGCTTCTGCAGCATCACCGACCAACGCAGCAGCTGTGTTCGGAGATGCCTCAAGTCTGTTCACGATGTTAACTGCGTTTTGGTTCTCAAGATGGGAGGCGGCAAGGTATTGTAACGTGTTGTGTTGAGTGGGACTGAGAGAAGTACTTCGTTTCGGTGGGGATCAGTCCTGAAGGTGTTGAAGCCGTGTTAGCCGTTGGGTTTTTAAAATGTTTTTGCAGCTATGTGTTTTTTTTCTTGAGTGCGGGGGAAGTTAAGTGCTGTTGCCAAAGTGTGTGTACAACTTGTTTTCTTTCCTCATGTTGGAAACCCCTATTGTTCATATGTTATGTAATAAAAGGTTCACACGACCTCATCCATCCACTACACGGTGTTATGGAAATGATTTAGTCTTGAATCAAATCGTAACCTCAAAGTACAATTAATTGAGAGGCAAGGAGGGGGAATTATTTAACATTTTTCTCAAATGGGGTGACTGGGTGCTTTGAGGAACTAATACCCAAGTGAAAGTACAATGCTCTGACACTACTGACAATCCTGAGTCGGCCAGCCTTGATTAAACCATATTCTTAAGACCTTCCTCTTCTGTGCCTATGGTCTCTGTATGATATAATGTGCCCAGTGTTTCTGCACAGAAGCCTTGTGATGTTGTTGCATTGAGAGGTTCTGTGAATTCACATTTCATTGTATCGTATTGAATGTAGGACCTCTCGTGGATACAGCGTATTACAGGCCACACCAGTTGAAAACAATCGGTTCTCATGCACATGAGTGTCATAATTGCATTTGATCAACGAATTATTGCGTCTTGATTTGAAGCTTTCGTGACTGCAGGAATCCATACTCTGGTTCTTTTGGTAAAGTCACGTAGGTAGAAATAAAATAAAACAAATCACAACGTTTCGATCGCAACACAATCAATCTTCATCAAGGTAAGGCATTTAAATGAAGATTGGGTTGCATCTTGATATATATTTATGTATCTTTTACGTATTTATTTTCTTGATTTGCTTTCCTTTTCAGTACATTGCACTCCGATAGTTTTTTTGCATTGTAACTTTCTGACCCACCCCTCCTGGACATCTCTGAAAAAGAGCTTCATAGCTCATCGGATTTCTCCAGGATAAATAACGATTCTGACTGATTCTATGGTGAATCCTTGACTCGCCACACATGGCAAAGGTACACTGATGCAACGTGTGTGCTTTCGTGCACAATATACTCGTACCCATGCATGCGTTTGGCTCTCCTTCTGCAGATCCCGCTCACGGAGGTGGTGGAGCCCGTGGACTTTGAGGACTACCTGATGACGCACCCTCCGCCGGGCGACTCTGATGCGCTGCGCGAACTCTTCGAGTTTCCCGGCGACGACGTGGAGGTCACGTTCGTGCCGCGCGAGTGCCGCACGCTGCAGCCCTCCGTGCCTGAGGATGCGTATGTTGTACATGGGCATTGCCTCTCGGGCGACGGGCGGCATGGGCGCAAGCGTCTTGTGCAAGGGGAATCTGTAGCTAGCGATGCACTCGCTCGTTTACGAGATTGGACACCTGTTTCCAAAATTAGCCTTGAGGCTCTCCTGGGTTTACAAGTGATTTCTTGCGCAGATTCTCATGCACGCGTCACTTTTGTAAAAATGTGCATGACCCAAATGATGTCACTATTCTTGGGTAAATCTGTGGGGCTTTTGTGTGCCATGCATGGACAAATGTATGCAAAGACAGTTTAGCTGTCAGGGCTATTTTTAACCAGGCTCCAGCCTTTGTGTGCATCATCTATGGTGTCTGTGTTTGTAGTCTATATATATTTTTGTTGGGCTGTTATCACTGGGGCATCTGCTCTGTGCCTCTCCTATTATTTCCTGTCTTGATGAGCCACTGGAGTGACAAGCTCACCAACATATTATCGCCTGATAATGTGCCGACTGAGAAACAAAACAAAAAAAAAACACAAACTACCCATTGTGCAAAGAAAAAAAAAGTGTTTTTATTATGAATTCTTTCATGCAAATGTTTTTTTTTTCAGGGAGGTGGACCCACAGGTGCGAGACTGTGTACGATCGTACACGGACAACTGGGCTATCGTCAACCGAAAGTACGCTGCTGCTATCTTGCAAAGCACTCGGTTGCACAACATGTATTTGCTTCTTGTTCTTTAACTTTTGATATTTATTTTTTCCCATCAGCTGAGAAGGGCAGCACAGCCTTGGCAATAAGATGTGCGAGGGACCATGATAACAAGAGACATCATCTCCTGTGCACAGGTACCACAAGCACGGCACGGGCTTCAACCCCAACCATGTGGAGCGGCAGAAGGAGCGGCAGAAAGGTCTGCCGAGGCAGGTGTTCGAGTCGGACGAAAGCCAGAGCGACCGTAGCAGCATGCCGGATGAACCGGTGAGTGGGGGTCAGGGTTAGAGGTGGGGCCGCCATGTGCACTGATGTGGCGGCTGCCCTGTTTCAGGGAGTTATCCGTTGGATCGTGCCATTGGAACGTTCTTTATTTGTATTTTAGGAGTTTTAGGTTGTTAGGCTCATGATCTTTTGTTGGGTCTGGTTATTCTGATGTACTTGGTTCAACATAGCAGAGTGTGTAATCGTAACTCTGTGGGTTTTTATTGGTTGTGGGTGGCATATATTAATCGGTGCGTATGACATGGATCGGAAGCCTGGACGTTGACAAGAAATATATGAAGCATGCAAAGGAGCATTTAGAGGTGCATGATTGCGAATTACATTGAGAGAAAGAGGAACACATAGATTAGAGAACATACGTAATTAGATGTAATATTCACTGTTAATAAAAGTAAGTGGGCTTATGCACATCACATCGCTGAAAGGGATGCCAGCCATTGATGGAGACTTAACGTCGGAGTGGCAGCCACAAGTGAACGTCAACTGCGGAGACGGCGTTTTGTGTATTGTTGCTGGGTGGACTCATACATCGCAGGACCATGAGAGATGGTGGCAGCTGAGGGGAGGCCTCCAGTAGTGGATTGATTTTGCATAATAAAACTGATGACGATGCGTGGCAGCAGGAGGACACGCGGCGGTGCTCGGTGTCGGCCAACTCGCTGGAGGACACTCCGCGCGGGAGCTGGGCCTCCAGCATCTTCGACCTGAAGAACTCGCAGCCGGACTCGCGCCTGCCTGGGCTGCTGGAGCGCACACCGCTCGACCAGCTCGACCGTGGCAACGGCGAGCTGCGCAAGGCCTCCCGGCAGCGCGAACTCTTCGTGCTCTACCCGGCCGCGGACGAGGTGAGGAGGCCGCACGCCCGAGAGTGCGTCCGCCGCGGAAATGGAGCGACGGATCGGTGCTTGCGCTTGGCCACATGGAATGACTTTTGGAAGGCGCGTTAGTGGAGGCAGCCAGCGTGGAGGAACCGTGGAGGATTTTAGGGAAGCCAACGGGATTCTTGATGAATTTGTTGTGGAATTGTTTTATTTTATCTTTTGCTACATTTTATACGAACGGTGTTATCGGTGTAATGTTCGGAGATGATGTGGCCATTCATAACTATAGTCGAGCTCTTACAAAGCAGTGCATAATAGCTGTGTCTGCTAGATAATGATCCACGTAAATATATTTCACAAAACTTCTTTTGAACTTCATGTTCATGAATAACGGTCTTGTTTTTTTACTTTTCAGAGCTAGATTGTATTCAAACGAAAAACAAACAAATTAAATGCCATGATTTTTGTTCGTGGTGTCACTGATGATGGCACTGAAATCATCAACTCTTCACTTGAGAAACCAGTTTAATCAAAGGTGGCTACCTCGGTTCGAACACATGATCTCAGCAGTGCCAGCTCAGTGGTGTAACACCTGAGCCACCCGGCGACCTAAGAGTAGAGCATCATGCAAAGGATTTCTCGCGAGATTGCTTTAATTAATGGCGACGTGGACGGTATTGATGATTTTTACACGCTTTTATTTAACTCACTCTGTCTGTTGTTGTCGTCGTTGTTGTCGTTGTCGTATCCTCAAATCTTGTAACTCAATTTTAAGCCCACTTCCCAATATGATATCGACTGCAAACTTGGTATACTTATGTCATACTGATGACAATACTATATTCTATCATTAAAATAAACTAAACCATATTTTTTATATGTTATGTTTCGCCTTGGGTCTAATTGTCCACGCTCAAGTCACGTTGGCTGTAAATCACCACGGGCCCTTACGTTATGGCAAGCCTCCGGGCCACTTCCTGGAGTCGTGGAGTTCTGCTATTACTCGTACGGTACATTTCATTAAAGCATGTTTTAAAAAAAGTGTTTTTAAATGTTACTTATTCAGGATGAGATCATGGAGAGGAGGACTGTACCAGAGGTGCCCAAGGAACACTTTGGTCAGCGGCTGCTGGTCAAGTGTTTATCGCTCAAGTACGGCACATTTACACTGTCGCTTTCGGTCGCGTTTGCGAGTTTTTTCTTTCGGGCTGGTGTTGTATATCAAGCACCAAACCTTTGCTCGGTACTATTAACGGATGTGATAGATATTCATTTTCACGAAATATGTGGTGTTGGTTTTTGTGTACTCTTGTTTCGTTTTGTACGTTTGTTCATTCGACCTCGGGTCTCCTTTTCAAAGTAACGATTTGCATCAATGTACTCCCATCTGGTTATAAGTAAAGTTAAAATGTGATTTGTATGTTAGTTGTAGGGCGCCTCAGCGGCGACATGTTTCTGCCTTGAACGGTAGACAAGAGGTCGTGGGTTTGATCCAAAGCCTGACTCCTATATATTTGGAGTTTGCATGTTCTCCTGTGGTCGTGTGGATTTTTCTCCAAGTCCTCCAGTTTTCCCATCCACATTTAGAATCAACATGCGTTTATAGTATTTGGCTACTATAAATTTCCACGTGATAAGCCACTTCGTTGAGCTATTATTTGTGGCCAGGTCGCTACTGAAAAAGAGCTACATAGCTCAGTGGGCCTTACTTGATAAAAAAAAACATTGTTGCATGCGTGCATGTGAATGTGCTATCTGGAGAATCCGATTTCTGTTTTTGCTCAACATTTAAGTAAGATAACACGGAGAACACGTTACATTTGTGTAGGTTTGAGATCGAGATCGAGCCCGTATTTGCGTCGCTGGCGCTGTACGACGTGAAAGAAAAGAAGAAGGCAAGTTCCAAATGCACTGAGCAGAGGCACCTCGTCACGACAGGATGCCCGCCGCCTCGCGGTAGCGCCACAGAAGCTGCTGCTAGCACTGATTAGGAAGGTCCTTGAGCTGTACGGGCATGGAGTAATTCCAGCAGCCGCTAGAGGGAGCTGTCTACCAGTCTTCGCGATTCATCTTCCTTCACCCCACTCAGCGGTTCAATTGTGAAAATGAATCGCCTCTTGTTATAGAAATAATAATTCCCCTTTACCGCCGAGTTTATAACTGTGTGTACTGTTCTGTATCGTTGCTGCTGTCCAACTCATTTAAGTAGTCTGTCTCGTATAAGGTGTCGTTCGCTCCAATGGAAGAAATGTAACATATATCCGTATAAAGTAATTTGTATAACTTACAAACAATCGATTCTCAACTGCATGTACCATGAGCGTAAGAATAAATTTTTGTATCAATTAATTGACCTATCACCACGTGTTTACTGCCCACTATGGAACTAATGTTTAGATAATTTGGCTGCTATAAATGTCCACATGATAATCCACTTTGTTGAGCTATCATTTGTGGCCAGGTCGTTTCGAAAAAGAGCTACATAGCTCAGTGAGCCTTACCTGGTAAAATGAAAAATTGTTTATTTTAATAGTTTTTAGTAATGAGATGGCTGTACGCTCCTCAATTTCCCCAGATATCGGAGAACTTCTACTTTGACCTCAATACGGACCAACTCAAGGCCATGCTGCGTCCACACGTGCCCAACACGTCCATCTCTTCGCTGGCGCGCTCTGCCATCTTCTCCGTCACCTACCCGTCGCAGGACGTCTTCCTCGTCATCAAGGTGCGACGCGGGACCCCGCGCGCTCCCCGACACCCGAGCGATCGCCGCGTTGTGTGCCGTCAAATGACTGAGCTTTTCACCCTGCTGAATGTGCCCAGTCCAGTCAAATTGCGGAAGCTAAGGAGGTTTAATGCACCGGCATATTATGACTTTGATGCACCGGCATATTATGACTTTGAAAACCCCCCGCCCACCTCCTACGCATTTCACAAGTAGTGACTAATCCCATATCTGCATTTCCCATAAATATGCTAAATTTCCTCGTGATATGCAAATTCATTTGTCAAGGCGCTCTTCCCCCTCCAACCCAGCTTAAATATACGCTTCCAAGCCTGGTGGTGTTCATTCAGACACTGTCTTTCCGACAGACCTGTTTTTCACCTGAGGACAGCTGCTTGCGTTGTGGCCGAAACGTCGTGAGAATTATTTTATTATATTTATTTGTATTACTTTATTATTTCCCTTCTACGTGACTTTACCGAAAGAACCAAGAAGAAGGTTTAAGCCTGTTTGGTGTTTGGATGGGAGACTGCCACGGCTTAATAGGTGTTGTGGGCTTGGGCTGCGATGTGGCCAGGAGATCACTGAACGGCGTTGGATTCTTGAATTCCATGTGCGCGGTGGTTTGAATTTGTAACCTCTCTTACGCATGTGTTTCCTCCGGATACCGCAGTTTCCTTCCGCCTGCCCAGCATTCGTTAATGGTCAAACATCCCATTGTTGGATCCTCTTGACAAAACAGTCTGGAGATTGAGTGATGCTTTCCTGGGTAAATATTTAATAATAAAAAAGGCAGCGTTTGTCATTCCACTGCTTGATGAAGGGTTCCCCATTCCATGCCGATCATAGTCGGACGTTTGACCACATTTCACCGTGCCCGTCAGTGTGGTGAAGATGGTCGGAAATAGGATCGGTTCCTGGAGTGGCGACGCACGTGATTTAAACATTCATAGACTATGCGTCACAGACGAGTTTGCATAAATGTCTTGTGTTTGTATGCAGTGCAATACAATTTGGATTTGTAAAATAAATAGTCAATGTAAAGCACAGTGTGTTTGTGTGCTGTGCACATGTGGTGTCCACCCATGCAGCTGGAGAAGGTCCTTCAGCAGGGAGACATTGGGGAGTGCGCAGACCCTTACATGGTGATGAAGGAGGCAGACACGGCCAAGGTGTGACTCCCGGCTCTCTCGCTACCACCTCCCCGCCATGTCTATCCTCCCCGAACCAACCGTTCCTGCTGTTTGAGGATTTTTTTTAGACTGTTAACTGTGAGTATGTGCATCTTGTTCTGTTGGGTGATTGTGAAAGTTGTTGCTGATGCTATTCATTATGTATTTCACATGAGCGTTTGGGACCGGGATTCATATAGTTGCATCTTGCAGAATTCTGTCCCCGCTGATTGGATCATTAGCTTTTCAGGCAGAGCGGGGCCCGGTACTGACGGAGGGCGTAACGTGAACGCTGAATCCATTGCCCTTCCGCTGATGCTGATGTTCTGCTGGAACAGAACAAGGAGAAGTTGGAAAAGTTGCGCTCTGGCGCCGAGTTATTCTGCCAGCGCCTGGGAAAGTACCGCATGCCGTTTGCGTGGACGGCCATCCACCTCATGAACATAGTGAACAGCGCCGGCAGTCTGGAGCGCGAAGCGGCTGACCCCGACAACCCCATCCTCGGTCAGCACCACCAGAATGACCGCTACCGCCACCAAACCACCAACTATAACACTGTCACTACAGCCAACAACACCACCATCCTTACCACTCCCACCGCAATCACTACCTCATCCACTACAACCAATGGCACCACCAGCCCTACGAAAGCTACAACCATCGCCACCTCTCCTCTCCTACCACAGCCGATAATACCGCCGCCCTCATCACGACTATCTCCAGCACCACCTCTCCCACTTCAGCGACTGCGTCTACAACCAATACTACCACTATCTTCACTACTACAGCCAATACCACCACTAACAACCTCCGATCACTTAAACTACATTCAATACCACTTGCACCACCACTCTTGCCACCACTATTGCAACTGCTCCCAACGCCGCCACCACTGCTGCCGCTACCGTCCGCGTCCCCTGATTCCGGTTGCGCGCCATCTGCCGGTTTCTCGACGTGGCCTCCCCTGCCTGCGTGTGCAGAGCGCAAGCTCTCCAGCTGGGCCGAGCGGCGCAACTCCAACGCGTCGGGCAAGCGGTCCCTGGAGCGCGTGGCAAGCGGCGGCGACGAGCCGTGCAGCCTCGCCAATTTCCGCCCAGCCACCCTCACCGTCACCAACTTCTTCAAGCAGGTGCCGCCCCCCCTTCCCCCGGCCTGTGTTGATGTCAGCAGGTGGCGCCATTGACAACAGACTGCCCTGCGATTGAAACTACTGCATCTACACTACTACAGCCAATACCACCACTACAACCTCTGACCACTTAAACTACAAACACGCTCAGGAATCCTGTTACTTGTTCACATTACAAGCACGGGGGGACCTACCCCAATTCCACCTTTGAACATACAGGGCGGTGATAAGAGCAAGGGCTCGGTTTGTGTTGTATGGTATGGTGATCCTCGGTCGGCTGAGCTTCAAATGAGTACCTGGTGTGGTGTGTAAACATCGCCAATGGATAGACAACGGCGGCCGGCCATGTTGCTGGCCACCCACCCCCTCGTGTGCCATGCCGGCCTTCAAAGGTGCTCGCTAACAGCACTTGCCCCAACAGTCTGTTAAAGCTATACAGGGGGTCTTTGTCTTCATGAGGATTAAGCTTATGTTAATGTTATATACCTAACAAACCTAGGATTTGTGTCCTGGACTGCCTAACATAAGTTTGATGTTTTGTTAATAGCAATAAGGGCTTTAATGTGCCTGTCAAGCCCACTACCTTAGCACTCGAATGATGTCACTGCTCTGAAGTTTTTAAATTAATGTGAGTGTAGTAACAGTGATATCACAAATGAATTCATCTTCATACTAGTTTTGAACACCTGGGATACAGAGTTATGAGGTAAGAGCCGGGTGTTTTGTTTACGTTGAACGATCAAGGGTTGGGTGAAACTTTGATTTCTTCATACCATAGCAGATTTCATAGCGTTAGGCACATTTACATTTTTTTTCATAATCTAAAAATTGTCAATGTGGGATTGGTAAGGATTCGTTTTATGTATGTATGCTGAACTTTTTTCGCACCGTACCTAGACAACACTGCTAATCGAAAGTGCGTGGGGGAGAGGGGATCACATATGAGCCGGGGACCACGTCCCTGACCCTGGTTGTGGTCGCGTGCGACACAGGAGGGAGACCGGCTGAGCGACGAAGACCTCTTCAAGTTCCTGGCTGACATGAGGAGGCCGTCGTCCGTGCTGCGCCGCCTGCGGCCCATCACAGGTGTGCCGGTGCCCACCCAGGTGGTGCTCATCCCACCGCCTGAAAATACCCGCTCGGTGTGATTCAAATTCAGGGGGGTGTACAGACCCATGTGCCTGTCGGTGTATGTGTTACAAGATTAGGATGTTCATCATGGGGGGTGTACCAACTCAGGGGTACCTGCTGGTGACATACTTGCCAAGCCTGCTGATTTAAGCAGGAGGCTGCCACATTTTAAACACGTTTACCATTGAACCGATTGTCAAAGCTGATCATATTGTTTGGTTATTTCGGTAAAGTCACATAGGTAGGAGCTCCTACGACAGCAGTCCTCCTGTTGTGTTTGTTTCACACCTGATTATGGTTGCTTGTGTTGCGATCGAAACGTCGTGATCTATTATTTTTGCTACCTACGTGACTTTACCGAAAGAACCAAAGAGTATGGATTCCTGCAGTCACGAAAGCTTCAAATCAAGACTGATCATATTGCTTCATAACACATTTGGGAGCAAATAAATATGAATGCAATTTTTACTTAGAAAATTGGCCTGCCGTAAAATGATATCAAAACCTGCAACCTATTTCTTCAAACGGTAGGGTTGAAAAGATTGCAATGGGGATGTTCAAACCTAGAGATGCCCAGTAGCAAAGGATGCGATCCAACCTTGGGATACCCGCCTGGGGGTGCTTATGGACCTGGGTGAGCCGGCCAGCCAGTGGTAGCGTGTGCTAGCCCAGGTCGGTCTGCATTCTGCTGTTGGGGCACCGCGGTGGTGAGATGTTATTTGCCTCGCCTGGTATGCAGGAGGTCGTGGGTTCGATCCCGACCTTGACACCTAAATATTTTGCATGTTTTCCCCATGGTAGTGTGGATTTTTCTCCAGGTCCTCCAGCTTTTCCCTCCACATTTCTAAACATGCGTTGAGAGTATTTGGCTGCTATAAATTTCCGCCTGATAAGCCACTTCGTCGAGCTGTCATTTGTGGCCAGGTCGCTTCTGACAAAGTGATATATAACTCAGTGGGCCTTACCTGGTAAAATTAAAATATCGATTTAAAGCTTTCGTGACTGCAGGGATTCATCTTCTTGGTTCTTTCGGTAAAGTCACGTAGAAGGGAAATAATAAAATAATACAAATAAAACATTCCGACAGACCTGTTCGTCACCTGAGGACGGCTGCTTGCGTTGTGGTCGAAACGTCGTGAGAATTATTTTATTATGTTTTATTTTTATTATTTTATTATTTCCCTTCTACGTGACTTTGCCGAAAGAACCAAGAAGAAAGATAAAAATAGTTTAGTTTGTAGTAGGGGTGGTGGAGTGCCATGTTTTTGCTGGGCTGTATTTACCTTGACCGAGAGCGTGCAGAGGACTTTGGTCTTCCACGTGGCCTGTTCCTTGTTAGCTTAATTGCCCTGCGGCACTCATGCATTTATATTGCAGCTCTCTTGGTTGCCTGGTGCTTGTAAAAGCCTATCTTGTGAAAATCTCCATTGTTTGCCTGCTTGCAATTCAAAGTGATGTGTTTTACAATGCAGTGTATTTGTTTTCAAAGCAGAGACTGTTGATTAAGCATTGGTTTCGAAATGTGCTCATTTATGGCACATTTGTTCTCAGGGATTTTAGGTGGATCCCCCCCCCCCGCCCACGAAAACATTTGTGGGAAATTCCCTTATTGCATGAGTAACTCCATGTAAAACGAAACCACAGATCAGGTAGTGGGGGCATGGTAATTCAAGGGTTATGGCACTGAGCTGGCAACATCGATGTCCTGGGTTAGAGTCCAGGCTTTCGTCTGTAATTCAACCGGTCTCTCAAATGCAGCAAGCTGAAATTTTCTCTGTTGATTCCCCAAAGATTGCTTGTGATAAAACATCAAAATAGGAAAGGAAGTGCAATTAAAGCAATGAGCGTGTGTCAACTGAATTGTCGGGTCATGGCTTTCAAACAACCAATTCACTCCCTAGTCCAGCCGATCTCATCAGAACTTAGAAGCTTAGCATCATTTAACCTGTTTAGGACTTGGATATGGAGACTGCCCGGTGATACCAGATGCTGTAGGCTTGGACTGCAGGTTGGCCAGAAGATGGTAGTTCAGAATTGGATTCTTGAATCCATCTGTTCAGTTACTTGGGTGTGTTACTCCCTCATTTTCTCTGGTGCACTTTCCACCCACATGCCTAACAATCATTGATAGATTTGGTTAAACATTTCAATGCAGAACCTCAATGAATACGTCTTTGGACTCGGTGATGCTTTCCTGGGTAAATAATAATGCACATCTCTTTTTTCAATCCACTACTGGATGAAGGCATCCCTCTGCTATTTCAGTTATAAGGGTTGATTCACCATAAATTAGCAAGCTGATTGGTGCAGGTCGATAATGGAGGAACCCTGAGACCAGTTCAAATATCGATCACCACTGCCAGTAGCCGGGGCCGGTAATCAAACAGATTGGTATGTCGATCGCACATTGTGTGAACCGTTGTGCCACTGCTCCCCCCCTGGGTACGTTATGTATCTAATATGTAATATTTTCTGGCTAAACTAGTGTCCGTATTATTATTGTCGTTATTGCGTGCACTCACACGCTCATATGTGTATGTGTGTGTGCTCGCTCGTACAGCCCAGCTGAAGATCGACATCTCTCCATCACCGGAGAATGCCCCGTACTGCCTGACTCCCGAGCTGCTGCAGGTGAAGCCGTACCCGGACATCCGCGTGAGGCCCACACGCGAGATCCTGGAGTTCCCGGCGCGGGAAGTCTACGACCCCTACACAAGCTACAGGTGGGGCTGAGCTCCCCCGCTAATCCCTGCCCTCCCAGTGTCCTTGCTGCTGGTCTCTGTCCCAGCTTCTAAATTCCTGATCCCCTCCCTCCCACTGCGCATCTCTAACTCCTATTTTTATACCTGCTCCCTGCTCTTGCTCTCTGTCCTGGCTATACCCACTCCTTGATCCCTTCCCTCCCACTGCTTTCCAACAACTCCTCCCCCCTTTCTACGAATCGCTCTTTGCACATTGTTCCATCGTCCTGCTCTGTTGTTGTTCTGTTCTCTGCCACCTCGTTACTGCTCCCCGCTCCGTGTTCCCTTCCCCCTTCTTCTTGTCTTGGCTACCTGCTCCTCTGTTGGCTGCCCCTTTGCTCCCCTGATCACTGCTTCCCATCCTCTGTGCTGTGCTGGCAAACACAGAGGGCAGCCCGTGGCTGTGTTGAGAGAGTGCTTGTTGCCGCTGCCAACACTGGGGGGAGCATTGCGTGGTCGGAACTCCTCGCGGTGGGTGAGCCTTGAGTGTGGCAACGTTTGAGGATGACGAAATTGACGTAATTAACGTAATTGGAAGGTAGTCTCAGCCAGTAAATTACCGTGTTCCATCGTTCTTGTCTCAGCGCTCCACCAGCTGCTGCGGTGCTTTTGTTTGTTCAGGGTTGAAGGCTTGGTCAAGTCCCAATGAACGATGTTGAGAGCAAGAAAGAGCATTTTATGAGCAGGCTTTTAAAATCAACAAGTCGTAAGCATTTTGAGCTAGGTTTTTTAAAGCAGGGTCAAAGCTACAGTGATATTCCTGGTAGTGGTGTAATAATTCACCCACCACCCATTACTGCCTGATGATTCATTGTACAGGGTGGTCCAGATGTAATTGACCCCTTACATTTTTTCCTTTGGATATTCATTTCTGTTTCAAATTATCCTTACTTTAAAAATATTACGTTTTAGAGAATTAAATGGAGGTCACAAGACATCTGGATCACCCTGTACAGTATTTCTGCAATTTAGCTCCTTGATTGGATTAAGGAATCATTTTGTTTCATCTTATTTTTACCCTCTCGTTGGTAAAGTTTCTCAATTTTCTTGTCTGTCTCGTTTGCTCATTATTGCTCACTGGCCTAAATATAACGATTACTTATAATTTGGACAATGATTCTCATGAATCAGAACAACATTGGTTCTTACACACGCAAGTCAACACATGCTGGCATCATGAGCGTGAACTAATGAATCGATGATACATGCTCGTCACACTCCTAAATCTTGGCCTGAGAGTCGCGCTTTGTTTTAGACGAGCCGAGAAGGGTGCAAGTGAGTGAGCGCAAGTGAGCGAAGGAGGGAGGGAAGAGAGGGAGCTGGCTCCCGGGAAGAGCTCGTGTGTCGCTCTGCCATGTGGGTGTGTGGGTGTGTGAGGGGGCGGGCTCTCGTCCGTGGGGAGCACCCACTCCACTTTCATCGTGCAAAAAAAAGTCTACGTCCAAGAATCTGGGTGAAAGTTGAAAGCCGTTGCCGGGCTGTGTGGGTTTGCACGTAGAGAGAGAAAGGCACGTGCATGCCCTTCTGCGCGTGGGGTTTCTTGAGTAGATTCCAGCGCACGTGGTTGACGTGGCTGGCCCCCCCCTGCCCTGCTCGCCTGCCCATAATAGTTGAACGCACGCCATGTGTCCGTTCGCTCAATACCCCCTAACCCAACTGGAGTGCCTTCCTAAAGCCGAGTTTGACATTTCATGTGTGAATTGTGCAAAGTGGAGAGTGCTGTCTGAATGCCGTGCATTCTTCTTCTTTGGTCTGTAATGTGAATAAGAGGTGTGCAACAATTCACACAAAGATTAGATGAATTGTCACAATGTTTGGTAATTGATTGAATTATTTATTATCTTTTACCACTTTTTATCATCTAATTTCTATTGGAAAAATGTCTGTGTTAGCCCATCCCATTCACATAAAACCTACCATTGGCAGAGCATTTTCGTAATACTTAAAATAACAGATACTTGTATGCATATATATTTTTGTACATTTCGAGAATACAAACACAATATGCCTTGCATTTGTTTACGTACATAATACATAATCAGTTCTTTTTCGCATGATTATATGCTTGTATTAAGTGTATGAATCAGTTTTAATCAGTGAATCGATGCATGGTTAATAGAGTTTGCATGAAGCATTGACTGCGCTGCTCACAGTGGTACTACTGTTTATCCAGTATCGGCAATATGATGATGATGGCCGGTCTATAGCCCTGATGAGGTCCTGCCATAGTACACGGCTCCTCCGGGAGCCGATAGACCAACAGATGTTAAGTTTACTACACCATGACTCATTTAAGGTAACTGCTCGTAGAGGTGGAACGATGGATGCATCAATTCCCCGATTGGTATAATTGTTTTAAGCTCACAATAGTGGCACTAAATCACGTGTGTGACAATGTTTCTCTATTTATGTCCTTGCGTCCACATTGAGCTCATGAAGGCTGTACCTCTTAGGTTATGACTGGAGAGCCTTGAATGCAAGCTTTGAATCGGTAATGGATAATGCCTGCTCGTTCCATATTTGTCCAAAGGGCTTCTCTCTGTATTGTCATCTCTGCCCGTGTCCCATTGATGAGTTCACTTAATCCATTGATAGTTATGGAAGAGAGGCACAAGTTGTGCCGAGCCTTTGGTGCACAGCAAGCGTTAATCTATTTTTTTCGATACATCTTGATCTTATTTCAAAGTCTTGAAAAGCACAGAAAATAGTTGACGTCGTTAAAGTCCGCCCAGCTTACGGCGCATTCCAGTGCGCTCGATTAGAAAAGTGCTCGGAGCAATGTGGGTGAAAAGTTACGTTACATTGAATTGCACAAAAGCTTTCCACTGAAGAGAGCAAACAGCCTCGATGTGTTCTCTGCGGAAGTTGTAAGGACGCCTCTGCGGGGGTGGGGTGTCAGTAATGGAGAGAGAGAGAAAAAAAACTGGGTGAAAAGTCAAAGCCATCAGGTGTCCAAGGGAATGCCATTGAGGCTTCAACACAAATGTCCCCCACGGAGGTTATGCGTTTGCAGCCAAGGTGTTGCCTTGGGATCATGTTTTTTTTGCAATTTATGGTGAATGTGCAACTTTAATCGATTTGGTGCCGTGATGTGTGGTGGCGGGATATAAACCGCAAAGTGGAGAAAAAAAAAGCATAATTTAGATTAGTCATTCAGGCCCGCTTGACTCCCAGTGTAGAACAAACCCAGTTGCAGCTTCCATCAGATGGTGCTGAAAACTGAAAAGTAGGTGAAAGTTGACACTGGGATGAGGAGGCGTGCGCAAGCGTGCAGCCTGTATTGTTGGGAGTTGTGAATTGATCACCAAGTTGTTTTTTGCACAAGCAGCTGCCAGGATATGCATGCTTAATGAGGTGGATAGAATTTGGCCGTCAAAGAATGGCTTACACTCGCAAAGAGCTGCAGCGATTGGGGGGGAGGAAAAGTTTAACAAGGCTCTTGGCCATTTCTTATGCCCGCATTTGCTTGTCGAATCGTGACCCTGAGAAATTGTAAAATTGCGCCCCTGTTATAAAACGTGGTAAATCATCTGCATCCAGAAACAGAAGGGGCTTGACTAAGGCGGAGATTTTATTTTTATTTGCACACTCAAAGGTTACGCGTTAAGTGGTCCCTCAAACCACTATGTGTGAAAAAAAATGTGGCGGTATCTGGAACAAGTTGAGGTTCTTCGGTCACACGGAGCGTTGCAGGAGATAGCACCTGCTGTGTCAGCACGGTCATTCGTGTCCCTCGTGTGTCACCGCTTGTGGTCCTTCCACCCCCCCACCCCATGAAGAAAGCGGCTTAGGAGAAGAAAAAAAAAGTGGGTCAGAGGTAAAGCTGCAGCCTGTGAAAGACGACGACTTACATTGGCGTCATCACGTTGTCTTCCTCTCCACATACTTCTCGCATTTGCGTCGAGATTCCAAAAATGTGTTTGCCGGCTGAGGCTGACATGGGGGGTGACGTTTGTCATCGCCGTTGTGTAATCCCAGATGGTCAAACCACAGCCTTTACTGCTTCCCCATTTTCCGTGGCATATTGACAACATTGAATGAGTCATTTAATTGGCTGAAGCAGGACCACTGTAATTCTCTACCACACTGTAAACGCTAGCTAGACATGGTAGCACACGCCTGTTATCCAAAGCTTGGGGGGAAAGGGTTGATGGATCATGTAGATTTTTTGAAACGCTTAAACCCGCTTCAGCTGTGAGCTGATTCATCTGTGCGGACCTTCGAGTTGCTATACTCTCGTACATGTGAGTTTTCAACTTATATTCTTTGTTTCCTTACCATATCTAAAACGCACATTAGTAAAATTGGCCAAAACATCCCAATGCAGGATCCTCATGAAAACAGTGTTGAGGCTTGTTAAGGTTTCCAAGGTTAAATAATGAAGTTATGGATAGTGAGTGGCAGGGTGCTACAGTGGTTTGGTAACACCCTGTGCCTCAGCAAGAAGCGCCTGTGTGGAATTCCCAATTTGGGCACCATTGTGTGTGGAGTTTGTGTGTTCTCCCCCTGTTCTGCATTGGTTTCCCCTGTGTCCTCCAGTTTCCTGCCATAGGTAAAAAAATAAATTTCGATTTAATTTCGATTTAAAGCTTTCGTGATTGCAGGGATTCATCTTGGTTCTTTCGGTAAAGTCACGTAGAATGGAAATAATAAAAGAATAAAAATAAAACAGAATAAAATAATTCTCACGACGTTTCGGCCACAACGCAAGCAGCCGTCCTCAGGTGGTGAGCAGGTCTGTCGAGTAGACAGAGTCTGAATGAATTACCGAATAAACCAAGAAGATAAAAAAATAAAGCTTGCAATTTAACTGGTATTGGCCAAACATCTTAAAAAGCTATCTGCGAATTATTCATTTTGGATTACACATGGCAGCATCGGCCCTGACTTTGGCAGCTTGGCAGGTCCGTTCGGAACAAGGGTCGTGAGGCTTTGTTCGGTAATCCAGTAAAATAAATAATAATAATTGGAATGAACTTAAGAGTTCTAGTGGATTTAACTGGGTCAAAACAGAAGCAGTGTTTTCTACTGGCACTCAGTGTTGATGATGCTGATAAACCTTAACAGTACAAATGTAATGAAGTATCACTTCATTCCTTTTAAAATCAATTCTGACTCGTGATATCTACGTTGAATCGTGTATTTGAAAACTGACTTCTTTGTTTCATGTTGGTGTAAGTTGTATGTGATTAGTTCACGTGACTAATGACGCTACGGAAGGGGGCTGCGTTGTACCACACTAATCATTGACTCTTGAATCAAATCGGGACCTCAAACTGTGACAACTCGTCAAGTTGATAGGAAGCGGATTGTTACAGGCCTCGCGTAAATGAAAGTTGAATGACAATTGTAGTACTTAAACAAATATATTGGTGTACTGTACTTCCAATCACAAAACCCAGTGGAAGAATGAATGTATATGTAACCATCCTTTATTGATGATAACACCATCTATTTGAAAAAATATCACATTTAAACACAGAAAGTTTACAGTTTTGTGTGTATGCTTTTTATATATATATAAAAAAATCACGATAAGCATAAAACATGTATGTACATTACACAAAATGAAAAAAAAAAATCCTAATACACACATTCAAAGCTGTCACTTGTCAAAAATAGGATTTCTGGTTATCAGGTTATTAAAACACTATGAACACAACGAAGGGCAATCAGTAGTTCCTGAAAGTGGTCATTGGATAAAATAAGTTAAGCTCAGAGTAACAGCAGGGACAGCGTGCCGCTACGATATGACATACATTTGCAGCTTTTAATTTACACAAAAGAGAATCCACGTAAGCTACTCCATCACAGGGTAAATATATATTTCGTGCGTACGTTTGAAAAAGCTCCCCGGCCACAGTGCTGTGCGTGCATTTTTGTCGTTGTTGTAAAAGTCATCGTAGTCATTGCAGACAAGCGGCGGTGTCGCTTTATGGCCGGACCCATGGGTAGGGGTGGTGGCTGCTGGGGCCGTCGCACAGGTCGAGTTAGTAAGCTGCCTCGGCAATGATGCACCGTCGCCGAGCGCCCGAAGCTGGCACAGCGGCAGATGACGGCGAGCGTGAATTGGTCTGCCAGACGTTCCGGCGGGCCTCCTCGTGCGTCTCCGCTATGGAACAGCTGTTGGACAGAAACATCGTTATTAGTGAGAATAAGAACGACAGCAGCAGTAGACATGGTGGCACAGTGCCACGTGTGTTCTGCAGCTGAGCTGGTGGCTGCTCAAACCATTTGCCTATAAACCACCTGGAGTCACTTCCGTAGTGCCGTGTGTGCGGCTGGATGGATTTGCAGTGGGTAGTGAGTGGTGAGCGTACTTCTGCAGTGAGGGTGTTTGATTAGTGGTTGGTGAGTGTAGTGCAGGAGTGGGAGTGTGTGGTCGATGAGCGTCGTGCTGCGGTGAGGGTGTAGTTATGGTTGTGAGTTGTTGGCAAGCATCCTTATGTGGGATGTGCTGAACCAACTTGGCTGGATAGTAGGTATGTAACGATTAATCAATTGAAATTAATTACTTACAGAACCTTTTAGCCTAATTGAATTCCAGCAATTGAACAGGACAAGCAATACAGAACATGTGGGAATTTAGTTCGTAGCATCGTTGGGGTAAGTCGGCCGAGTCGTCAATACACGCTCACTGGACCGGACCAGGTCTCCGCAGATCTTTGTGCGGCATGTCTGAGCGGGTGGTGTTGGTCTAGGGTACTCACCGGTGCTGTCGTTCTCGGCCACCGCAACCTCGCCGCTCGTTCTTGGGTAGTACCGCCGGGCTATCCTCTCCCGGGAGCCCCTCCGGAATTTGTTCACTCGTGCCTTGGTGGCCTCGACCTGGAAAACAAAGGTTGACACTTTCAGTCGCCGTGCAAAGGAGAACACGGTGAACGGGTACTGTGATCCACGGTCATTGCTACCGTCAAAACATGTGTAGGTGGTGCTGTCAATCCCTTCAGTTAACGCCTGAAAACTGTCGTGGCCTCCCTGTGTGGCCTTTATTATGGGTCAAGTGGGGTGTGACGATGCATAGCTTCGACAACTATCAGATCTTTAGCTCACATTGTTACGTGCATCAAATCGGATAGGCAAGAACCAGTGTTTGTGTTTTTCAATTTGTGTGCAATGAGTTCTCACGACCCTTCTTTCTACCTGCTGGAGGCTGCACCAATTCATGCAGCAGTGCAGCAACAACAACAAACGTTAATGATTCATGATCCTGAATTGTGGCAACCCATTTACATGGGGAGGTGAATTGCCCACAGCGTTTCTTGCAGTGTAAAATCTCACCATTTCTAGTCGATTGTTTGAACTGTACGTGGTTAGTACAGTTAAAACAATCGTTCGAGGCAGGGTGAGTGAGAGAGAGGGGTCTATATTCTTGGTTATTTCGGTAAAGTCACGTAGAAGGGAAATCATAAAAGTATCACGACGTTTCGACTGCAACACAAGCAATCATCGTGGTGATGAATTTTATTGTTTGAGGTTTATTTTTATTCTTTTATTATTTCCCTTTTACGTGATTTTACCGAAAGAACCAAGAATAGGTATCCCTGCAGTCACGAAAGCTCTAAAGAGAGGGGTCTGTTTAGGCTATTTTAATAGTGGGGGGTTCTTTGTCTTTGGGGTGCACGTGACCCCCTCCGGCAGACCACGTGTGTTCATTACCTTCTCCTCCAGGCCCTGAATCTTCATCGACTGCTGCTGCAGCCTCTCGTTTTGGTCCGACACTGTCTGCAGCAGGTTCGAGATGTTTTTGTTCTGCCCGTCAAAAAACGACTGCAATAAAAGCGACAGTGATTGAGAGAGGGTTAGCTCACGGACGTGCACATGGCAACCATGCCCCGTCGTAACGCATCAAGTATTGTAATCGTAAATAGTTTTACCACCCTCTGATATAATCTGGACAGTGATAATGGTTCTTTGTCCGTGTTTATGAGATGGTGTGCCAGGCTTGCGTCGGTGCTGTGATGCACACGGCCAATATCCTGCACTAACGGTCCCGTCGCACTCTCGACATGGTGGTCCAGATGTCTTGTGACCCCCCCCCCCCCCAATTAATTAACCCCTAACATTTGTTTTCCATTGCATATTAACTTCTCAATACATCTGGAGCAGCCTGTACGAGAGGCCAGCGAGGCTGAGAAGATTGGCACGTGTGGTTTCCACGCGGTTTATTTGCGGTCACCACACAACTGGGTTGGCATGAAACTCCGATGATTCGGAAAGTCTGGGTGCCACCTGTAGCTGCCCTCATGAAGTGAGATGTAAAACTGAGAACTTACTCCCGTGTGTTTGTTTTGCCCAAGAAAGGGTGAAAAAAACATGTTCCCTTCCGCCAGTTGTTTAAATGTTCCACCACAGGGGCATGCGCGCCCGCGTCTGTGTTTTAAATCTTTCTGCAAATAAAACAACTTCGACCCAACCGAGCAAGAAAATAACCCCTTTATCGAACCAGTGAGGCCACCATCCAGTCAGGTTATGGGTGGTGGTGGTGGAGGTCTCACCTTGATGACAGCGAGGTCACTGGATTGCAGCTCTCCGCTGCGGTTCACCAGCCGAGCCTCCAGCTCGTGCACCTTCTTCTTGAGCACCAGCTCCTCCTCGGACAGCCACTCGACGCGGTGCCCCAGCTTGGCCGACTCCACCCGCAGCTCCATGTTGCTGCTCTCGAGCTCGGCCGTCTTCTCCTTGAGCTTCTGCTCGGCCTCCTTGAGCTGCGTCGTCTCCTGCTCCAGGCGGGTGTAGGCTGAGCCCTGCGCCTGGATCTTCTGGAAGGCGTCGTTGACCTGCACCGTGAGCCTGTCCACGTAGTGCTTGAAGGTGCTGCCCAGCTGCAGCAGCCCGTACGACACGAGGTTGACCTCGTCCTGCAGGGCGTAGCGCGCCTTGCGAGAGCGCTGAGCGTGCGGATCGCGCTGACGGTGGTTGGGAGCCGGGCTGCACTGCCCGGCAATTATCAGCAGCAGCAGCAGCAGCGACAGCATTAACGTCGCGGGCGACTTCATGGCGCGTGGCCGAGGAAACAAACGTTCTGCACGCTCGGAGTGACTCGCTAACTCTGCCCAATCCCGCCGACTTGGCAGTGACTAAAACTGCCTGGCGTTAAACCGCACGGCGGGTTGAATGCAGCCGAGCCTACAAGTGTCAGGGGATGAGAATTTGCTCTGCGATGGTTTTGCTTGCAAGAAGAGAGCTGCGCCTTCTCTGATGAACACTTTGCCCCTCTCCACAGCCTCTGTCCTTCCCAGAGATTAACTGAGACGGTGGTTGCGGCGCATTGCTTTATATCTACTCCCAGGGCTCGGGGCGGATCGTGGGGAGGGGTGGCTGGGGAGGAGACTCGGTCCGTGATTGCAGGGGGTGGGGGTGCCTGGGGCCCATGGCAGTGTGGGTGTTTACCAGCACACGACGACACTGCCTTGGGGTTGCTCAAGCATGCACCGCGATTACTTTAGCAACTAAACGTGCTACATTATTTATTTTCCATTTTAGGAGCTGTCATTGGCCATCTCGTTTTTGACCCGTGTTAATTAACACTTTGCTTTGCTCTCTCTTTTTTTGAATGCTAATTAATTATGCATATTGCGTGTAAACAACATACCACATCGATGTTTTACTCAACCAACGTTAAATGCTTGTATCAGGCAGCTCAGTCACGGGTGACATATTTTGCTGTATTTGATATCGGATCATGATGGAGCGCACAAAGACGAAGACCACCCGTATAGCCTTAACACACACACGCACGGTTACATTACCAAGGCTGGGGCACGTCGTTCGTGTGATTGGCGGACGAGACGCGAGCACGTGGAGCGAGCGTGCGGAGAGGCACGTGATGGGCCCCCGCGTGTCACCTCCTCCCTCCCTGCCTCTATCACCGCAGGGCGGGCGGGCGGGAGGGCTCGAGACTTCGGAGTTCACAAAAACACCGTCGCACATACGTGCACCTCTGCACGGCAGAAACAGTCCGCTGTTGTTTACCGGATCTGGGGATTTCCCCCCCCCCCCCCCCACGGTGACCAACTTAGAAGTAGAGGGGGGCACGTCTATTGTGGTGAAGAGTCTCCGATGCAGCGCACGGCCTCGTGCGCACGTAACCCGTGCGCACGTAACCCGTGCACAGCCCTTCTGCCAATCCACTGCTGGATTGAGAGTTGGGTGTGAATAGGAGGAGCATAGACGTGGGAGTATCAAAGCAGAGTGCAGTACAATGGATGTTGCTGGACTGCCCTCTGCTGGACGCCACGTGGTACGGGCTCGCAGATGCCCATCGCAACCCGGCGTGCATGGAGCTCGCCCATTCAGCTTCCCAGAGCTGACGAGCTCTCGTGCACTCCGGGATATGTATATTGAACCATTGCTGTAACTCAGTACCTTGTATTTTAAACTAGCTTTACGACCCGGCTTCGCCCGAGACTTGGATTCACCACGCCCGGCCGCCTTTGTCTCCCCAGTGGCGATGTTCACACACCACACGAGTTGCTCGTTTGAGGCTGAGTCGACCTAGGGGAGGCCCAGGACCGGTTCAAATAATCGTCACCGGTGGTAGCCGTGAGCGGGAATCGAACTGGGGTCACCGGGTTCGTAGCGCGGCGTAGCGCTAACCACGACACAGATGTGACGTCACAGCTCACTTGCCGTGCAAAAATCGATGCATTATTGCGCCCCCACCCCCCAAAAAAATACAAAAGTGTATTTTTATTATTTTTGCATGGTGTACAGTCTGGAAAGTACCCACATGGCAAATTTCAAGTGTGTTGCATGTCGGGAAGTACGCTAAACATTTTGAACAGATACACATTCACAAATTTCCCTTTAAAATATATGGAGATCACATATCGCATGTAACAGTTCGGTGTTGTTGAGGTCTTGAAGTTTCCCATGAACATCGATGTGAGTAATAGCTCACCGGTGTAAAGAAGATGTTAAAGTCTATGCAATTAAATATATTCTTACACTCACGACATGCGCATCGAATCGTGCATGCTCGAAGTTACTCTATAATTTGTAGTGCATGCACATTATATGCAAATGTTATATTTAGGCTATTGGGAGTCAAACACATTTGACAATACAGTCGAGAAACAATCCAACTTAAACGATGAAAACTATTTAAAACAAATGATTAAAGCAAAATAAGGTGACATTTAAAAATAGCTAATACAACATGGAATGAAATGATAATGTAAACGTGTATACTGTACTATAAATTTAGTCGGGAAATATTAAATTCTGCAAGCACACAATGACGCAACGTGGCCTGGGTACACACGAAAAAACGACAAAAAAATTGGTGCGTCTTGTTCTGAAGCATCGTCGCTGTTTGTGGGTTTTTGTTAACTAAAACAGTTAAGGTCTGTGCAAGCAATCACGCCCTCCTCGTGATCCGAGCATGTATGAGCACAGCAAACCGCAACCTGCCGAGCCAAACGCCGTGCACATCCCTTGCCTGCACACCGTATGCACACGGAGTTTACCACTTGCAGGCACACACACAGTACACCACTGGCTGATGGGTGTAACCCTAACCAAGCATATTTACGATGTGGGTGTAGATACCATCTAAATGCGGACCGCTTCTCAAACCACTAAAAAACCCACAGATGTCATGGTTATTTTATAGAGAGACCTCTTCATTGATGTGCTGCCTGAACGACAGGTCCTTATTTGCCGCCACCTCCGTCCTCTGTTCTCTGCCCTCTTCATTTCCACAAATGTCCCTTGCTTCAACTCCTCCAACATTTCAATTGTCAGCCTTCCGCTCAATGTTTTCCCTTCCATTATTCCTCCCACAATGCACGTGTAGTGACGGTAAATCCGCCACTTGGGGGATAGAGCGCGCAACAGGATAAGAGGGGAGCGTGGAGATTATTGAGGGTCGATGGAGTGATTAACGTTCGGTGGGGCGGGTCACGTCGTCGGGTCTGGGAGCTGCAATCGCCTCGTGTATAGGGGGTCACGTAGTGACAAGGACGTCTACACCAATGATAGAGCCAGCTCCGAAAAAGGTCCTGATTAAAGGAAGTGTTATACACATTCCTGCGGAGGGAGCTGGTAGGAACGTTGGGTTGCTCGGTCAATGGCCAGGGTCAACGGCGGCGTGGTGTATTCCGCAAATATGCCCGACTGTGAGGGCGGGCACAAGCCGGCGTGAGTAGGTTAAACGTTGAGTTTTATAAGGGTACCACGGGGTGGCCAGCCCCTCCCCACCCAGCCCCACCCTCCCCACCCATCCCCTCCCCACCCAGCCCCACCCTCCCCACCCATCCCCACCCTCCCCACCCATCCCCTCCCCACCCAGCCCCTCCCCAACCTTCCCTCCCCACCCAGCCCCTCCCTGCACGATGGACGGACACAAGAATCCCCTGTGGGCTGGTGTAACCAGGAGGTTCCTACCAGTATTAACGGATTGCCTCCAACCACGTAGTGTGTGTCTTCATTTAAGAGCACTACATCTGTATGTATGTTGAACTTCTTTCGCACCGTATGTAGCCAACCGTGCTAATCGGAGGTGCGTGGGAAGGACAACGAACTAAACACAACGACAAGCAGTTCTAAAGAAATGAGTTTTCAATCTAGATTGAAAAGTGCATAGCTCCAGTGGCTTCCTAATATCGGAAGGAAGAGCGTTCCAGATGGCCGCAGACACGCATCTGAAAGCGCTCGATGCAGTGATTATCTTTGTTCGATCACCAGGCAAAATGCCCTTTCTCAAACCAAATCCTCGTACAATGTGTCCGATCCAATTCCTATTCCCCCTTCTGATGATTTCCATTCTGATTATTTTTCTGCAGGGTGCCGTAGGCGGGGGGAAAACATGGAAAATCTTGAGACTGGATTTGAACAGTGGCAAGGGAGTCGAGAGCATGGAAGGCCAGGGGAAGGGAGTTCCAGTCTATGGGGGGCAGCAGAGGAGAAATGGGTCAACTGGTAATGGTTGAGCAGGGCTCTACAAGGTTTTAATTTCCAGTTTAAGTGATATTTCTAATGGACAAATGTATGGGTTTTTTTTAGGGTGCGTGTGTCACTTTAACTGTTTACATTTTCCTCCAAACATGAAGCACTCCGTTTTTAGTAAAATGTTGATGCCATGAAGCTAATGTTAATGCCAGGATGTTTCATGAGCAAAGAGTTGGTGTTTGGGAAAGTCCCTTTGGTTTTGTGCGCGATGTGGGTGAAAGGGTAGGCTTCAGGTAAACACATTGATATCACTGAAACCACGTGATTGCCCCGATTTTTATCCCCCAATTTCCAATTGTTTTGTCAGTGGCCTATCGTGAGATGAAGATATTCTGTTTGGAACTCTTGCAGAGTGAAGGATATACTGTGGCAGAGAAAGGCCCTACAGAAAGAAAGATAACTAGGCAGAAATACTACAAAGTCCATTTGACACCCCTCTTAATTCCTACGTATACACCCTGCAAAGGGCATGCATCACATGTCATTCCAAATTATTTTTTGAAATTCTCATAGCTACAGTGTGCTGATGTAAGGGATATTTTTTTTCAATACCGATGGCTCTTTGTGCAATCATTGATTGATGAGCAGGCCGACACCATAACCTTGCAATACTTGAGAAACCGGTTGAATCACAAGTGGCTGAAACCCAGTGATGCAAACTCAGAATCTCGACGATAGCAACCCGATTCTGTTGACGCTACAGTATTAGCCCATTGAGCTGCCGAGCCTACCTCTACAGTGTCAACAGTGTGGCTTTCAACAGATTTAGTAGAAATGTGAGTCTCGATTATGGCTGCTGTGCCTCCGGTCCCTCCCGGGCATGAGTGTACCTGCTTAAGACCAAGTCCTGTTTAAGACCAAGTCCTGTTTGGCAGGACCTATTGTCGCCTGTTGATTTCGTGTCCTTGACTGCACGTGCCTACATTGTGCTTGTCCGTGCGCCATAACAACACACCTCGCTGCACCAGGTCGGGTAATTCCATTTTTTATTAAATGAAAAAAAATCCATCAGAAATGCAATTGAATAATATACTTTAGTACATGTTATGTAATCTATGTCGCAATATACCGTAGTACCAATTAGAATGATTAGCTACGTACGGTGTGAAAAAGTTCAACAACAACTACAACCACCAGTTTTACGACACATTTTATAAATAACGCGATCTAACCCAAAAACTTTATTATGAACTACAACCACCGTTCGCCACGAAGAGGCGGTGACGTCACCACGGTGCTTGTGCCAGGCTAAGTGCACTTTAAGGCCGCGTGAAGTGTCGAACGCCTGCTGGCAGGCGATCACGGGACATACCGAGGTGCCACGGGTCGACTGACTGAGATCCCTGGCCAATTAACCGCGTGTGCCCCCTACTGTGCTAACTTGCTGCGTTTTAGCCCACCCAGCGCTCTGCTCGTTGTTGTGAGCTATGCTCCTCTCATACATACATGTACAAATGAACTGGAACAGGTTTTATCGTGTGTGTGATGTATAAAATGTGAAGTGTAACATATGTACTTAGGGATATAAGTTAGTGGTTGCGAATGGTGGGGGCGGGTGATAGGGGAGGGGTGGCAGAGGATGGGGAGACCGGAATATCCTCGGACCTACGGAGATAAATATTGCACAGCAAACCTTACCGTATGTCTGAAGCTCTCTCTCTGGTCGTGGCGAGGCAAACCTCCACATTCGCACATAGCTCCTAAACATATTGCCATTTGCAAGAGTAGAATAGAATGTGTTGGTCTGTACAATAACACACGACACACACTAATACATTCCCAGTAATACATACCGTACACAGTAACGCAGGGATGTTGTGTTTTTTTACATAGATTTTAATCATTGTCGGACCAGGGTCCCCTCCCCCGTATTAGCCTGGCTAGCGAAGGGTTTTACGATACTATTGCATTAATTTGCAATAAAAATGTATGAAATAAGGCCTATTGAGAGAAAGTGCTATTCACCGTAAAACGTTTGCACATGAGTGGCTCGCAAACTAGCCGGGGTCACTTTTGACCAAAGGGCGAGTGCCGCTTGGGATTTGCTAACTCGTCGTTTTTTTTTTAAGTTGCTGCCGTTTGTTTGCTCCGCACGGGCACTGCCCGCATGGCCCGATAGTCGTCAGAGCAGAGCAGGCCGCTGCTTTATTGACCATCTGATAATTCGTGGTGTCAGAGAAATAATCTGTATCTCTATCAGTGTTTGTGCATTTTGGAGATTTGCGGTGAGGAACTGCAGTCAGTCATGCACGACCGCGAGTGCTCAATTGCAATTGAGTGGCGTGTTTCACTGAATGCAGTCGGTCGACCGTGAAGCTCCGTCTCTGCCCGGCTGGCGGCTTCTCAGCCACTGGGAGCCCTTTTTGCTGCCCATTATCTCACATTAACCTCAAAGCTCGGGTGGGCCCTGCCAAACCAAAGCAAAAAATTGCCACTGCTGGGATTTGTTATATATTTTTTAGAGTAAACAACAGGCACATATCCAAAACACACGTCCCTCACACGGAGATAGCGTGCCCCAGATTGTCACCATGCCGTCTACATGCCTCTGGCACCGTGCGGCACACAGTCCCCAGGGGCCCGGTGATGGGGTCTTCTTCAAGAAGCACTGGCGAGGGGAGGGGTGGGGTGCAGTCGTGCGGCCATTTCAGGTCACACCTTCCCCGGAGCCTCGGTCTCTGCGGCTCGTTTCCACTGCACCGGGCGATTAAACTCACCCATGTCTGACATTGGAGCCGCTTGGTTCCCGGTACCACCGCTAGCAAATCTTGTCGGGATCCTGTGGTGGGTGAGGGGTCTGGAGTGGAGCACTCAGGCTGCACTGTGGCACAAATTCCAGCGTCATACCACTTGGCAGGCTGTCCAGAAACACTTGTTTCTTACCTGTAAACACCTGCTCGTGTTTCAGTTCCCCTGAAATCCTGTCGGCTCATTCCAAACTCCACCCCCTCCTCTCCAGCCTACAACCCCCCCTCCCACCCGCATGTGCTTAGTTTAGTGGATGACAACTCGTTGGCTTCATTGTGGAATGCGAAAGCTCGCAGGTGTCACCAATTGATACAAAACTGTAGTTAAATTTGGATTTGTAGAGTTTCGAAATGTGACTGCATCACAAGATGCTGTTCAGAAACAGCGGGCATAATTATTTCGTGTGACGGTGGTGGTCATATGGAGAATAAAAAAGGAAGTTCTTGAGCCTGGACTTGGAACAGCGCAGGGAGTCAACAGCATGGATGGCTGGGGGAAGGGAGTTCCATACAATGGAGTTATCAGAGGGGAATGAGTGATGTCCCACTGAGCAAAGGTTGACTAGAGGCTCTGACAAAAAGCGTAGAGTATGTGGAGGAGATAAGAGTGAGATGGAGGATCTTGAAGATGGTCAGATGGAGAGAAATAGGGTGCACATAATCCCATATGTCTCCAATAGCGGCAATTTCAAATTACATTATTCTTGCGCTTTTTGCTGCACAAGAGCTCATTCTCTGTGTTCTCCTGTTGACGCTGCACTCGTTTTTGTTGTGTCCTCGCACAGGAACCTGCTGCACATCTACCCACAGAGCCTCAACTTCGCCAACCGCCAGGGCTCGGCACGGAACATCGCCGTTAAAGTGCAGTTCATGTCCGGGGAAGATCCCAGCAATGCTATGCCGGTGGGCACCACTCCACACCACTCCACACCACCTACCCCCCCCCGCGCTGTGCTTATAATTCAGCGACCCGAGTTCAATTCCCGCTCACGGCGGGAATTGAAATCGACCCGTTCAGACGATTATCTGAACGGGTCCTGGGCCCCCGCTAGGTGGACTCAGCCTCAAGTGAATGTCTAAACATCGCCACTTGGTAGACAAAGGTGGCCAGGTGTGGTGCTCGCCACCCACCCCCTCGTGTGCCGTGCCGGCCTTCAAAGGTGCTCGCTAACAGCACTTACCCCAACAGTCTGTTAAGGCTATACGGAGGGGATCGTTGTCTTTGCTTATGACCAAATCCGATCTCATCAGATCTCAGAAGCCTAACAGGGTTGAGATTTGACGGAGCGTGAATGGGTGACCACCATCTACAAAGAGGTTGTCACCGGCGACTGCGGAGGGCTACGCTGTGGACAGCAAAGGGCAGTGCAGCAAAATCCGTTGTTTTGTTCTGTACTATGTTTCCACATCCGTGCCCTCAGCCTTCACCAGCCCGTGTTGACCAGTCGGGTGAAGTATGCTCAATTAACCCGTAAGACCCATAAGGCATGGGGAAGCCCTCTTCCAGCAGTGGATGGACAAAAGGGTTGTACGTGTCAATCTGTGTGTGATTTTCTGTGTTGGCCCGTGCGCGTGTTGAGCATTTCCTCTCTCAAGCTCTCTCTATGCACCACTGCGGGCATCTTGGGAAGTTGAAGTAAAACTTACCTGCCACGTGCACGTTTACTGCACCTGGCAACGCCTTCTGCTCAGGTTAACCGTGATGGTGCCTCCTCCTTGTGCGTGTCCACCGTGGTCGACAATGCCTTGTGGTTTCCACATACTCGCCCGCGTGTTTGCGCGCTCGTCAATCGCTGCCAGTTGGCCGTCCACGTGATGTAGTGCCGGCCCCTGTGCGGTGCCTGACCTACAGTAACCCCCTTTGTTGCCATGCATCCCCACAGAAATAGTCCCTTTCCTGCCATTCATTTGAAGCGAAGTGGCAATTGTAATCGACTCCACGAGAAGTCGTCGCGGCCAAATTCCTGGACGAGTTCGACAGCTGAGCCGACCTCTGTGCGGGACGCCCCTCTTGCCAAAATCTCGTCCGCACTCTCCCCTCATAACTCCCCCGTGGCCTCGTTGTTTTCGTCAATTTACTCTTCTGGTGAAAAGCCATTGTGGGGTGCTGCTTGCCCGCAATAGGTGGACGTGTACAGAAAGATTGTTTATAATAATTCAGTCGTTATGTTGTATCATATAGTTCCCTTTGATTCGCAACATCCATTGAACTCTGGCATTGCCTAACAATCAGCGTAAAGTTAACAGGGTTTAAGTGATTCCTAAAAATAAACTGTTTACGTCGGTTAACATTTCAGCAGCTGGTTTTTATTTCGTGGCGGGTTTTAATTTCTACGAGAAAGAGTTCTAAAATAAGAATCAACCCGTAAATCAAATGTCTCTTATCCTTTGTAAGCGTATATCGAGGCTCGGCCCCACATGAGCGGGAAAAAATATACTTTTAAATCACTGTCAGCCGCTCCTTGATAGCACTTTAGTAATGTCACAGATTGACTTGAGGGCTCGGGCTTGAGCACTTGACTGGTTTTAAATTCTGGTTTTCTTACCATTATTACAGTTAATTATTTTATTTTGTTATTATGCTTTAACACGTAGGCTTTCGCGACCAATTTACGCGATATAACCCAAAAACCTCTTATGGATGTTATTATGCTTTGGTTCTTTCGGTAAAGTCACGTAGAAAGAAAATAAATTAAATAATCGAATACGACGTTTCGATTGCAACACAAGCAACCTTCATCAGGTAAGAATGAATGAGAAATCAAACCTAGTAAACTTAGAAATGTAATGCAAGTTTACTAGGTTTTTTATTTCTTTAAAGCTTTTTGACTGCAGGGATTCATATTATTGGTTCTTTCGGTAAAGTCACGTAGAAGGGAAATAATAAAATAATAAAAATATAAACCAATAAAAATTCTCACGACATTTCGACTTTCAACACAAGCAATCACCATCAGGTGTGAAATCCACGGCAAGAAAATTTCAAATTTTTTTTTTTTTGCTGTGGATTTCGCACCTGATGATGATTGCTTGTGTTGCAGTCGCAACGTCGTATTCTATTATTTAATTATTTTTCTTTATACATGACTTTACCGAAAGACCCAAAGAGTAATTCCTGCAGTCACGAAAGCTTCAAATCAAGTTTGATGTTATTATGCTTGTTTATCCAGGAAAGGCCTCACTGAGTCTCAAGACACTTTTAGCAGGAGGGCTCCCCCTCTCATGTTTTGGCGGTAGAGGGAGATGGTTGATGTGTGTAAATCTCAACGAGTAGTTTGTGGGTATTTTTTTAGCATTGGGATCTTTGACGAATAACAGTTATGTTGTGGGTTTTTTTTCTCCATTCATTAGATTTGTGGGGCCTCAAACTAATATTTATATCTTTGGGGCCTTTACCATTTGTATATCTGCATAGCTACTGCACTATCCTCAGCCGCAAGGATATCGGGAAAAATGGACGTGGTTCCTTTAGGTCTCACGATGCCAAACTTAATTGGAGCCTCTTCAGTTCAATGCCAACTCCATGCTGAACTTTAAAGCCACCCCCAGCCAGACACAAATCCCTTAGTCTACATTTTCAACAAAAATGTTTTGATTTGTACATGACTCGATCCTTCTCTTCCCCCGCACCTCCTCTGTTTCCGGCAGGTGATCTTTGGGAAATCAAGTTGCCCAGAGTTTCTGCGGGAGTCGTACACGTCCGTGGTCTACCATAACAAGTGAGCCTCTGCGTTAGTTGATTCATTCTTTATTTTGTACGGTAGTTGGTGCAGCAGCGTTCGCAGTGCTCTCGTTATACCGTCCGTGGCGGAGCGCAGTGACATCTCTGTGCGTTCGGCGTCACTCAGGACATGCTCGTCCTACGCCGCATTGTGACTGAGGTGACGATCGGGCGAAGGGGCTAATGTCGGACATTGACCCGGGGTCTCCGGATCGGGGCTGCGATAATGGCAAGGGCAGTTCCCCAAAACTCTTCCGGCAAACGCGCAGAGGTCAAATAACACCAGGAGCAATTGCATTCGGAGGAAATTCATTAATCAACGTATCCTTGGGAAACGGCAAGAAGTCGTTAGGCGTGGCGACCGTAAATTACCACGCCATGAGACCCCACCAGAAACGACTACTATTGTTTCATTTCATGAGAATAATTTGGATCTCGGTGTGCAAGGATGAGTTATTTCGCAAAGCTCGTAGCAGCCGCGCTATTTGGAGGTATGGGGGAGGAACAACAGACTATACGCGAAAAGCAGTGCTAAATAAAATACATTATCATTTGATAAAACACGAGGATGAAACAGATGCGCGTGTTTGTTTGCAGAAAAAAACAAATGATGCAGAGTGAAAAATGTAATCCATGAGTGTGCACTGGCAGGTAAGGCTTCATCAGATGTAGCTGCATCAGTTTGGTCACTGCCAAGTCCTGCCGGCCGTGTATTTCACTTCCTCGCGTAGATGATATCCTCCCAGTGGTTTGATTGCCTGCTATAAAAATGTATACTTGCAACAGCAGCACAATGCACTGAGTCGTGCTTGTGAGAATAGAATAGTTTTGAGCCAACAGAACGTTGAAAAAAATCTATAGGCTACCTATGAGTTGCTGAATAAAAGACAAAACCAGATCAATTCTGCAATCTTATCGTGCCTTTGAATCACGACAGTTTATGAAATCATTGGGGAAGGTGGGGTTGAGGTGGGAGTGTGGGGGGGTCAATGTTACATGTGCTGCCGACAAGAATCAACATCAAGGTCATTACTTATTAACAGCTTGGAAATGATTTTCACGTCTCTTATGATCACAGCGAGTATCATGCACTGCGGCTGTCAAGCTGCCCCAGACTTGGGGTAAACACGGTCAAGTCCCATAAGGGCGGCATTTGCCACTGCATTGAGGTGCAGGGTGACACCATAAATCGTCGACCCTCTCACCACCCGCTCCCTCCCGCCATCCCCATTCACCAGTTGTGGTGGTTTTTACCACGTGCGGATTTTAAGGCCCATGCACAGTGACCACGATCAACCTCACTGGATGCTTTTGAGCCTTTAACAAAGTTTGGCAACCTCTTCTTGGTTCTTTCGGTAAAGTCACGTAGAAGGGAAATAATAAAATAATACAAATACAACATAATACAATACAATTCTCACGACGTTTCAGCCACAACACAAGCAGCTGTCCTCAGGTGAAGACAGAGCTGTCTGAAAGACAGCACTCCAATGAACGCTGCTAAGCTTGGCAGCGTATTTTAAGCTGGGTGGGAGGAGAAGAGCGCCTTGACAAAGGAGTTTACATATCAACAGAAGAATTTAGCATTGAATAAGCTGTGTTAATGTGAGAGAATTAGCAGGATGTTAAAGTCAGAAATTAGCATGTAACTGGGAGATTAGCATGATGTTAATGTGAGGAATTAGCATGTAACTGGTCACGGAAGTGGCTCTGTTAAAGTTTGGCAAGTGCATCCGAGCTCCTCTTCCTTGTTTTTTTTATTTATCGTACCCATTGATTGTGTGTGACGCACCGAAAGTCAGAACTGGCAGTAGCTGGTTAGGAAAGTCTCCGTTCACATCCCTCGCGGTTGAAAGTTGTTGCACGGTAAATGCTGCTGCGTAGCGCAGGTGCTGTCACACGCGGTACCCTCGATGGAGGCATTTCGTGACTCAAAAGTGATGCCTCCTAGTGATGAAACCTGCACATCCTCTGGCTGCTGAATGGTGTCGCCAATTCATTTGTTGCCCAGCGCACAAAGTGTGGATTGTACCCGACAGTAACGTGTGCACAATGCGCCAGTGTTTAGGCCTTCACTTTGTCCGTGTTTGACCTGCCATAACTTCCACCCAAGGGCTTTGTTTTTCCTTCTTGTGCTTTATTTTAGCTTTGTTTTAACATATGCAGTTCTATTCTGCTGCATCACTTATATGCCAAATTATAGCCGCCACTGTGGTATATAGAAACCACCATGAAAGTGCAATTTTTAAAGGCTTTAAAAGTGAATAGCATTACAAGCAAGATGGTAAAAATTAGACCAAAACGTATATGCAGCATCGTTGAATCAAATCGTTACTGCCCATAGTGTCAATAGAATCACTGCGGGGTCAGAATCGTAACCTGCCGATCGGCCACGCTGATTCCTTGCCACGTCGGTTATGCTTCCTGTCAACCGCAGGTCCCCAGATTTCTACGAGGAGATTAAGGTGAAGCTGCCGGCCCACCTTACCGACTACCACCACATCCTCTTCACCTTCTTCCACATCAGCTGTCAGCAGAAGCAGAACACCCCTCTGGAGACACCCGTGGGATACACGGTACGGATGGTGGAGGCTCGTGGGGCCCAGGTAGTCTCCAGCTCGGATCAGTTCCCTCGCTCGTTTCTCACTCGAGCGAAACAAATTCAACCGTTGCCCAGTGATTCTCGGCCCGTTATGATGCATTGAATCGTACGTTAAAATCGATACGACTGCGTTGGTGCTCGCAGTTGTGCTGTATATCTCTCCGATGTGATTTGTACTGCTATGTTGTCCAGCATGATCACCATGCAGAACAATGTGCTGCACAAATGTAGTCAAATATCCGTGCTCATCTTTGGCTCAGAGCAACAGCCATGAGAGTAAGCAATATTTATTTTCATAATAAACAATCCTCTCTCGGTTAGATGTCAATGCCACGGGCATGTCCATGTGCCTCCACGCTGTTGTCGTCCAGAGTGGGGCCCTTGAAAGGCTTTAAATAAATGCTGTGGTTTGCTTACATAAGGAGGTGGTTGGCGGGAGACAGCGCCTATTTAAGGTGGGAGTTGACCTGTGTTCTCATTAACCTTTGTGTGTTCTGGTGAATAAAAATTTAGATTATTTAATGGGAAAGGATCTCGATTGTTGAGACGAGGCACCGAATAGTCGTTCTTCTATGGAAAACATCAGTGCTGTAAATACTTTGCTGTTGTTATCCTTTGTAAAGAAAGATCTCCTCCTTTCAGGTCGCTTTGCTGCTTCACAGTAAAAAATTTTACCCTGCCTGCCACGAAAAAAAATTACCTTTAGCATGTACTATTATTATTATACTATCCACAGTTGTCTCTAGATGCTATTAATAGTACGGTGTCCTTTTACCAAATCGCCCGGAATGTGCCCGATCTCGTCAGATCTCTGAAGCCAACAGGTGCTGAGCCTGGGTCCTGTTTACATGGTTAACCGCCCTGCGTAACACAGGCGTTACAGGCTGCCGCAGGAGTACTTTGTGGGCAGCAGAGGGCAGTGCAGCAACATAGATTGTTAGACTGTACTTCCCAGCCTTCGCCAACCTGCGCTGTTGACGAACCGTAGAATGACTCCCACGAGCCGCACGGCATTGGGAGGCCCTCATCCAGCTGCGGATTGAATACAGGGTCCTGTACACGGACAATAGCAAAGCGACGTACAGCTCGCAGGCTTGTTTGTGATCGCAGCAGCAGCGTGCCTGCACGTAGAACTGCTTTTTGTGTTTAGTTTGTTGTCCTTCCCCCGCACCTCCGATTGCCACGGTTGGCTACGTACGGTGCGAAAGAAGTTCAACAAACATACACACATGCGAACGAGACTCATCCTGGTCTCTTTGAGTCCTCAGCCGGTCAAACAAAATAAGCTTGAAACCTGAACCGTCGTCTCCCCACACAGTGGATCCCCCTGCTGCAGAATGGACGGCTACGCACGGGCCAGTTCTGCCTGCCGGTCTCGCTGGAGAAGCCTCCTCCCAGCTACTCGGTCCTCTCGCCCGACGTGAGTGCCACCGGTGATCGTCCCAGCCCTATTACTGCCCCCCCACCCCATCCACCACCTCATCTCGGCTGTGGTTAAGCCTATGGGAGTAATAATGGTTAGCGATATTGCTGGAGTTGGAATTGGGGTTAGAAATAATGATACTCCCATGGTTAGGATGAAGGTTAGGGACTGTTATTGCCATTGCTTTGATGAGAATTTTGTTTCTGAATAATGCTGTAGTTAGGATTATGGTTAGGGGTGTTACTCACTGTTGGTATTGTGGAAAAAAAATAATGTTTGGGCTATGATCACAATCAGGATATTGCAAGGCTGAAATTAGTATTGCAGATAGTCTTGGATGTAAGGTTGGAATTTAGCTACAGTTAACACTGAGGGTAGGGTTAGTATTGGGGTTAGGGCTAGTGTTGCACTTTGAACTCATGTTAGTATTAGTGTTAGAGATATTCTTTTAATTCGTCCTATCATCAGGCATAGGACTAGGATTAGAGCTCGTGCTATGCTTAGAACATGGCCAATTTATATTTGCAGCAGGATTTTGAGTAAGGCCGTGTTGTGGTTCCTATACCTGCTTTGTTCTCATGAGTTAATGGTTCCATGACGTCTTGTTCAACCACACAGGTACAGCTGCCTGGCATGAAGTGGGTGGACGGACACAAGGGCGTCTTCAACGTGGAGGTGGTGGCCACGTCCTCGGTTCACACGCAGGTACACGCCGTGCCTGGCCTGCCACAGCCTTGCCAAACCCTGAGCTAATTCTGCAGCTGTTGTCGGTGATCCAGGTGGTTGTAGTGGTGCAGGAATTATGAGTGATTGCAGTTATTGTTATTGGTACAGGCATTGTCGGTGGTACAGGGGTTGCGAGTGGTGCAGGGGCTGTTGAGTGTGGCAGGCATTGTCGGTGGTACAGGGGTTGCGAGTGGAATAGAGGTGAGTGAGTGGTTCGGGGTTAACCATTGCTGGATCCATTCTGCTCTCGTTGGACACCGCGTGCTATGTTTTCGCCGCTCAGGATCCCAACCTGGACAAGTTCTTTGCGCTGTGCCACGCGCTAGACGAGCACCAGTTCCCTGTGCGTGTGGGCGACGTCCGCATCACCGAGAGCAACCTGGAGGCGGAGTTGAAGGCGAGCGTGTGCAGCTTGAACGCCGCCGCGCTGGAGCCTCTCGTCCGCTTTCTCCACCAGGTCCTGGACAAGCTCATCCTCCTTGCCGTGCGTCCACCTGTCATCGCCGGCCAGATGGGTGCGTAAAACATGCGCGCGTGATCTTGCTCGCTCGCAGCCGCAGGAGTTTTAACCGCGAGGCGTGCAACGATTCGTCGGTCCAACAGTTGACATCAAGTTTAACGTTCGCTATGTATGCACGCGTCGAATTGTACGGGGGGCAGATTTTATTATTTGTGATTTATACAAGCTGCAGGCATATGTTACGATGACTGATGGAATGAATGAGACGAAAGATATGACACAGCCAGTATGAATGAGACGGCACAAACAAGACGCATAATTAATTTATTAAGAAATCGCATTGTGACCATAGATTGTGACATTTCATGAAATTGCATGGGGTGAATCATTACGAACTTTGCTCATCATTGGCCTGGCTTCTGAGTGGTAGCAGAACGAGGCTCGAGGCTTCATACCAGTTCGAGATAGACCTAACCCTGACTTTCACGTCCAAATGTCCTAATGCCCACACAGTGTTTTGGCACGGGCTTAGCTGCATATTACATCGCTACAGCTTTCATTTGTGCGCTTACGACCGCGTTTTGTCAAACATTTAGAGATAGTGCCGGATATTTGGCTCTGCAATTCAGTTCCTGTTCCAGCACTGCGGCCTTGACTGAGAGCCAGTCACACCCCTCGGCCTCACCCCACAGTGCCCTTGCAGTGCTTATTCATGATGAGGTAGCTCTGCTCTGGTTTCTGCAGCGGCAACTTTCACAATGCTTGCATTTGTGTTGAGCCTACAGCCCCACCACTTGCAAGCGAAGAGCTGTTTTCATGCATGCGCTGGTTCTTCGCACTATTTTTAGTCGTAGTGTAATTTTTTCTCGCATATTGGACAAAGTGCAAAACAATCATGTTGAAGCTTTTTTGGCCAAAGGTTGAGCGTTTTGTGTTCTGTGGACTCAATGTTATTGTATATTACGCACGTGTTTTCTCCAAATTATGTCGTAGTTGTGATATAATATGAGACATATTTGTGAAAATGATATCGGCATGCAACAGGGTGAGAGGTCACTGGGAGTGTACGTGCCAATGTAGGCTTTGGGAGTTCAACAAGTCCATTGCAAGTCCGGGCTCAACACTTTCCCATTGTGCATGTGACTGACCCTTTCCCTACGAAGTGTCTTCATTTGCACTTCTGCCATAACATCGTCTCAACTCCACCACGGCCTGTAGCTTTCTATCCATCACTCCTTGCTCTTAAACAGCTATTCACTCAATATGATACAAAAATAGGCCCGTGCTTGTGTAGTGGGATCCACGGAGGCAGACGCTTCTAACTTGGAGGCAACACGTTTATTACACAGCCCAACGGGGTAACTACACAAACGAACACTCTAGACCCTAACAGGGTAACGACTCTACTTTAATCGGGTAACTACATAACCGGGTCAGTCAGACTGATCCACGATGCCAAGCGGAGACCGAAGATTGAAGAGACGTAGCACCGAGGGTTGATTCCAGAGAACAGCCCCGCTCGGCTCACAGTACCCACTTCTTATCCCCTGAGCGTGGCCTTGCTCTGTCCTCGGCCACGTCCCCTTCAGGATCTTCCCAGAAGGTTCTGGGACCTCACATCACATGTCCCCGCAGTGCCCTTCTGGCCCCCGTCCTTATCCTGTCCTGGTCACGTGCCCTCTCCGGTTCACCTAGGCTGTCCCGTATGCCATGGTGACAGAGAGAGGCTCTAAGACGCACAGTTTACATTCTTCTCACAGTGGCTAGCGAGTGCTAACACCACAGTGACTCAATATACGTCACTACACTTGAAACGGTATAAACATGCTCTTTCTTCCCGTATTTGTATCGCATTTTGAGATGCGCTCCCATTCAGACACTTTCTGAGTCCCGGTTGTGCTCCGTTGTGTCCTCTGTTCACTCGTTCCACAGTGAACCTGGGTCAGGCCGGCTTCGAGGCCATGGCCAACATCGTCAACAGACTTCACCGCAGCCTGGAGTTCAACCACGACCAGCACGGCCGCAACAGCCTCCTCGCTTCCTATATCCTCTACGTCTTCCAGCTGCCCAGCACGGAGACCTGCTCTTCGGGTACTCACTCACTCGCTCTCTCACTTACTCATTCACTCGCTCTCTCATTCATTCACTCATTCGCTCGCTCTCTCTCACTCACCCACTCGTTAGCTCGCTCTCTTACTCACTCGCTCGCTCGCTCTCTTACTCACTCACTCGCTCGCTTGCTCTCTTACTCGCTCGCTGTCTCACTCACTTGCTCTTTCACTCACTCACTCACTCACCAACTCACTCACTTGCACGCTCGCACTTTCAGTCACACTTTTCACACTATTGTACGTCCGCCCAACCGGCTCCGTCTTTGCCGTCTGTTCTCACGTGCTGACCCGCCCGCCCGCTCACCCACCCACACACGTGCCCCACAGACGTGCTGCTTTTTGTCCCTCTAAATCAACATTGGTGATGGGTTAGACCATCATCTCCCTCCACGGGGTCGTTTAATTAAAGTGCCAATGTCTCTGTAGCAAGGCTGGGTTTGGCGAATGCGAACCAGGTTTTTAATTGTTGATGCGACATGTGCCAGATAAGCTGGCATTTTTCTCATGTTGTGAAAAATAAGTCGCGTGGCACGCATTTTGTCGGAGAGCCACTTGAGGGGCGCTTATATTAAACCTAATAATGTACAGTACATTCCTTTCACCATTGACCGCTGCATTACGGCCTTTATACGCCGTTTCAGTCATGGGGGTTGTTATGACCTTAGGGATCTACGGATGAAATGCCACGAACTAATTATTGTTATTATACTTCATGGCACTAGTGGGACTAAACACAAAAACATCAGCTTTTAAAGAGTTTTAATGCCATTCAGTCGTGAACCTCAGCAAAACAAGCTTAAATGTGGAGAAAAACACAATATTCATCTTTGTCCATTGAACAGCAGACTTAGAACATATTGACAGAATTGAACATTTAGGTTACACTTGAGGGTAAGTAATTATTTGTGGAATATCAAATGACATGCGGTATGTGGTGAAAAAATTATTTAAATGGAACCACTTTTTTAAGTTTAATTTTTACCCTGCAGCGAATAAATGAGCATTTAATGTAAATTTATTCGTGTGTTTTCATTAGTTGTGTGGTCAGCGCACTGCTCTACGAACCTATCAACCAATTCCGGTAGTGGCCAAAAGCAGTGGCAACCTATAGGAGACTCTGGGCCTCTAATAGGTCGACTCAGTCTATGAGTACCTGGTGCGGTGTGTAACCATCAGCACTGGGGAGACAAAGGCAGCCGCCAGGCAAAGTGTGGGCCGCACCAGCCCCTCGTACGCCTTGCCAGCCTCAATAGGTGCTCACTAACAACACTCTCTCCAACAGTCCGTTAAAAGGCTGCACGGGGGGGATCTTTGTTTTTTGGGGCGTGTGAGCAGGTCCCAGCTCCCCTGTGGGCGGCTCGCTGCACTACGCCACAGTGGCGCGCTCAGGCGTACGCCCCGCAAGCCTCAACCTGTCCCACTCACGCAGCATCAGCAACAGCAACCCCGACCTGGCTGGCACACCTACTCCATCCCCGGACGACGAAGTCAGGGCACTCACCGCCAACAGGGTGAGCAGCTCACCGCTGCGCTGCGTAGTTTAAATTCCTGCCGCTATTCCCAAGCAATGCTGTCAGCCCATTGGCGGTGGTGGTGGCGGTGGTGGCGGTGGTGGCGGTGGTGGCGGTGGTGGCGGTGGTGGCGGTGGTGGCGGTGGTGGTGGCTGAGGCAGCCACTGCTGTTTTGTGTGCATGTGTAGAGAGGGTCGCAGACGTGTGGTGTCCATCCTCCACTAGAGCCTCTGAGTCCCTGTTAGGGATATAACGAATGGCGAGATCCGTAAAGAAAGTGCCGCCCTGCAAGCAAGACTGGAATGCAACGCGAGGAACTGTGCGAGTTGTTGAGACTTTATGCTCATGCAATGCCATTGTGGGGCCATGATTGTGGCCAGCAGTGACGGCCACAGGCGTTGCCCTCTGTGTGGATGTCAGCGGCATAAGTGGCCTTCACGGCCAAAGTGTGAATTCCATTTATTTATCAACTTCCAAAGCCATGTGAGAGCCCATTGAAACTGACTATCTCTTTTTCAAAGGAGACCTAGGTAAAAAAAAGGCAATACTTTTAAGCTTTGATAAAAGGTAGCTAACATTGTACAAAACCTTATCTAATTCGATGACATTTAACAGTCGGCATTCATTCAATAGTTGGCCAATAATTTTTAGATTTAATTTGGAGATTGGCTCTGCAGTGGTTTGAAGGCATGTTATACTCTGCCCATGCAGAATTGACATTCGGGATTAAACCGAAGATGCGTTCTCCCGCACGGCAGTGGATGGAGGCTCGGCACACTCTGAGTTTGCGACCCCTAGCCCAGGCCACGAGAGAGTGTAGCCCATTTCCCATCCTGAGTGTGTTAACCCATGTTCATCCTGCATCCCATCTCATCCCTAGGCTCCGGAGCGTGGCGGTAACCGCATGTCTTCCTATGCGGAAACATCCACTTTCTTACAGGCCCTATCGGGACGTGTGCCCACCAAAAAGGTAGTCGCACGGCCGCTATGATGCTCTCTTACCTTCCTGTCACGTTTCGGCCCAGTGCTGCCTGGATCTCCAGGGCATGTGTGACTGTGGCCTCTGTCCTCTTGATAGGGCCAGTGGGTGCCAGTGACAAGGTGTGTGGGCATGCGTGTGATCAGTCGCGTGGATTTCATGATTCCCTGAAACTTGCTGGAAAGGATGACCCATTGTTAGTTTATTTTTTTTAGCAGTGGTGTCAACTTTCTAAAGTCCACGTTACAAAGCTCGCTTGTGTACGAATGGCCGCACACCTTTGCACCTCCACGGTTAAACCCTGGCTATCTCTATACCAATCCTAAGGCAATTTTCCCTTTTGTTAAGTGCACACATTTTTATGAAGACTTCAGTGCGGTGGTGGAAACGCTTTGTAAGAGGAGTGACCTCTGGGCGCCCAGAGGCGGCTGGAACTACGCGGTGTCGGCAGAAGGCTTCGTGTGAACCCACGGCGAGCAGTCTGACCACGCGCGCGTGCTGTGTCCCCCTGTCTCAGCTGTTCCACGAGGAGCTGGCCATCCAATGGGTGGTGAGCAGTGGCAACGCTCGTGAGACCGCTCTCCAGCAGGCCTGGTTCTTCTTCGAGCTGATGGTAGGCGCGTGCCGGCACGAGTGAGGGGGAGGACTTCCTTAGCTACTCAGAATGTCACCGGCACATCAAAAACTAATTTAAACTATTTTTTTATTTTACTAGGTAAGGTCCACTGAGCTATATAGCTCTTTTTCAGAAGCAACCTGGCCACAAATGACAGCTCAACACAGTGGCTTATCACGTGGAAATGTATTGCAGCCAAATACTCTCAACGCATGTTTCTAAATGTGGAGGGGAAAACCGGAGGACCCGGAGAAAAATCCACACGTCCACGGGGAGAACATGCAAACTCCCAATATACAGCAGGCGTCGAGGTCGGGATTGAACCCACAACCTCCTGTTGACCAGGCGAGGTAGTTAACATCTCCGAGCCACCGTGGGAAACTCAGGGCAACTCGGTGTCTCCACTCGTCATGGTCTCGTGTCATCACTAGGAGCTCTTCCCACGTAACACAACGTGCGTGAAATATCTTTCCGCCGTGTTTGGTTCCCGCCCATCAGTGATCGTCCTCTTCTTCATTTTACATTTACCAGGACCGACACGAAAAGCCCTGCGGCGCTCTTTTTCCGACACCATGCAATGCACACGAGTCATGTCAGCGTTCATATCCCAGCCAATTCAGGCCGTGTTCCTTTAGCGCTGATGCGACGTTTTTGCATTTCCATAATAGCCGCTATAAGAATCACATACATTCCAAACGTGTCTAATAACTGAATGGCAGAGTATACTCTTGGTTCTTTCGGTAAAGTCACGTAGGCAGAGAAAATAAAAATAAAACAAAACACAACGTTTCGGGTGCAACACAAGCGTCCGTCATCAGGCGGGGAAAAGTCTAGAATGAATGGCAGAGATCGGTTTTTTGACGGGCCATCCTCATTTGCCTCTGTGCCCATCTCGTACCCACACCGTGCTCGTATTGTACCGGTGTTGCCGTGCGTGCGGTGTCGGCGTGCGAGATCGCGGACGCTAACCCTGTTGCCTCGCTGCCGCCCAGGTCAAGAGCATGAGCCTGTACCTGTACTACGCCGACAAGCTCGACGCGCCGCGCAAGAACCGCTTCCCCGAGCAGTTCATGGACGACGTGTCCGCCCTCGTCATCATGATCACGGGCGACATCGTCAGCCGCTTCCAGAAGGTGCCACGCACAGGAGGTCTCGACTCGGCTTTTGCGCAGAGTTCCAGCCATGCGTGTGGACAGGGTCTAACCGTAACCCCTAAGCTACGCAGGAGTAAAGGAACCTGAGCACACGGGGCAGTCCCCACTGTGCCAGAAGCTGGAGGATCCCTCCGTGAGCTCCTGTTTCGTAGGCCTCTATTGCCCCTGTAACATTGAGATAGAATTGTGTCATTCTGGGTCATGATTTGATTCAAGAATATGTTCTCGTTTTAACAGGGGTCATCTGAGCCCATATGTCAAACGACAGTGATCGATTGTCACTCGCGTGAATCGATGCACGTGTCGTGAGGTCATGAGCGGAGGGAGCCTGTGATTACATGGAGGTGTTTGACGGCTCATGGAGCTTCACATGCCAGACTTTAAACTAAATAAATCGACCTTTATATCTCCACGTGAAGATAAAATATATATTTTTAACTCTTGGTCTGTTGCCATCCTAGATTTATATTAACCATCAGAATATTTGTTTGAGTAAGAAAATCCTGTGTCAGAGTAAACCTTGTAAAACAAATATTGCTGGCTTTGCTGTCAGCAAAAGCATTTTGTCCTTACAGTTCAACCCTTTCAGTGCCATAAACAGTATTGCATAACAACTGATTATGTGATGTTCGTCATATGTGAAACATGACATCTAGCTGTGTTGCTGACTTCTTAATGCTTGTTCTCGAGCGGGGTAAGACAAATCATCTATATACGTAGCCTGCTGGACACCCCAATGCTTAACAAGCGCTCAGCTCTGAGTCATGCACGCGATCCCCACTGGGTCATCAGGAAGGCCGGGTTCGACCACGAAGCCGGTAACGAGCGGGCATGACCCATGTGCTACAGGACATCGAGCTGATCGAGAGGCTGAACGTGAGCCTGGCCTTCTTCCTCAACGACCTCTTCTCCATCATGGACCGCGGCTTTGTCTTCAACCTCATCAAGACCTACTTTAAGCAGGTGCCGTTCCTCACGGGACGCTCTTTTCATCGTCCTTGCTCGGCGAGCTCGACATTTCTCCGTCATGTGGAATTTCTAGAGCAGCGCTTACGAGGCTTCCGGTTGGCTCGTGCTGACTCCCTCTCCCGTCGAATCTCACTCTACTCCCTTTCACTTGTTTTCTGATCCAGCAACCCAGGCAGGGGCGGTTTCTTCATTAGGGCGATTGGGCGACGCACCACCAATGTCATTCAACCACAGAGTCACGCTAGCCGTCACTGTCAGCCTCTGGATATAGTCCAATCAGCGTCATGTCACGTTCTGTGGAGTACCGCCTCTTTTTGGGCGATTTCACTCCGGCTGAGAATCGCCCCGAGTGGTCCCATAGACTTACATTCAAAGATGTTTTTTTTCGAACGGCGGGCGCTCCAATGCATTCTCTATGGCTTCCGGGAGGGCATGCACTAGCGTGCTTACGTCATCATACGTGCTAACGTCATCATACGTAAGCACGTTTCATCCAACAATATAATTTATCGCCACCTAGTGGAATCTTTAATAAAATAAACTTGAGTGGTTTGATTTAATAGTGAGTATAGAAACAAACAAGATGTATTGTAAGAGTCACTTTATTTTTCATTAATATTAAAGAAGTGAAGTTGCCTTTACATGCTTAAGCTGTTAATTTATCCATTGCATGGGTGGACCTTATCCTTATCAATCATCCAGACATTTGCCCCCCCTGAGAGATTTTGCAGGAGCCGCCACTGAACCCAGGCATTTGGTCAAATCTCCCAGTCAACCTCTGCTCAATGGGCGTCTGCTGCTGGCCAGCTGAACTCCCCCTTCACCTGATAATTGTTTTTTTACCCTTCTATCTGGCAACAAAACTGACACCTTTTTTACAAGGAGTCATGCTTGCATAGACCACAATACTTGCAGTCATAATGCAAACAAAAACATAACTCTGATAATGTGCACTGTCCTTGAAGTTGATTGGTCCACACCCGAGACAGCTTTCCTTAGAGCCTAGTCTCACATGGGTTGGACCAGATGACGGGTGTGGACCAATCAACTTCAAGGACAGTGCACATTATCAGAGTTATGTTTTTTGTTTGCATTATGACTGCAGGTATTGTGGTCTATGCAAGCATGACTCCTTGTAAAAAGGTGTCAGTTTTGTTGCCAGATAGAAGGGTAAAAAACCAATTATCATATTTTTTTTTTTTTACTGGCAAATGAGGTTCCAATGGTGTAAATCCCTTCACCTGGTCATGTGCGCTGCCCTCTCCCTGCCCCTGTTCAAGTTCAGGCTCAAGATCTTCCTCTTTTCTGCCTATTCTATGAGGTGTCTTCAATGACACCTTACCTTTAAAAAATATACATAGACCTCTCTCTTTTAGTGGCCTCTCTAAAGCATATCCACTATATTGTGCATCATCTTGACATCCAATTGCATTTAGAAAACTATATCGGTCCAAATTGCACTCGTAAACAATGCACGTCCGAAAGTGCAAAACTAAAGTTGTCTTGCATAATTGACATTACTTGAATGGTTAAAGGTAAAGAAAAGTAATAAACCAGTTGGTTACCTTTACGTGAGTGCTGCAGGTCTCGTCAAAGATCAACTCGCTGCCCACCCCCAACGTGCTGATCTCGCTGAAGCTGGAGTTCCTGCGGATCATCTGCAGCCACGAGCACTACGTGACCCTCAACCTGCCGTGCAGCTCGCTCTCCCCGCCCTCCTCGCCCTCCCCCTCCGTCTCCTCCGCCACCTCCCAGGTGACGCCAGCCCTGCCAAGGGGGCGACCTCACCACAGCGCTATAAGTAGTGAGGCTCAGAATGATGGAGATGGGAGTTGTAGAGCTGAGAGTGTTTGGGATGTGAGCGGTGGAGCTGGGAGTGCTTCGGTGGAGTGTGCTAGGGGAGGGGATTAGCAGTGGTGAGAAATAGAGTTAAGATGAGAGTGTTGGAGTTCAAATTGTTTGGAGCTGAGAGTGTAGGGGCTGAGAACAATGGGCTAAGATGTCATGGAACTTATTGCACAAAGCCCCACCATGGGTCACACTCGCAGCGTGTGTAACGTGCAAACTTGTCTACACGCACGCTCGCGCGCATGCTCACACACAGAGTTCGGGCTTCTCCAGCGTGCATGACCGCCGCATCGCCAACATGTTCGAGCTGTCCCCCGAGTTCCGCCAGCAACACTTCCTGGCCGGCCTGCTGCTCTCGGAACTGGCCATCATTCTCGACCCTGACGTGGAGAGGTGAGGCGTCAAATGTGTTCGTTTACTCGAGCCTTTACATTTAACATCGCCGTTCTTTATAAAGTAATTTTTCTGAAATATTTGTATGTGTGTGTGCTTGTCGACGACGAAGGAGAATGGTAGCATAGTGGTCGCGCGCTGTGCTACAAACCCGGTGGCCCGAGTTCAATTCCTAGCAATGGCTGACTTCAGTGGTGGTTATATTAACTGGACCAGGACCTCCCTAAAACAACGAGTCCTTAAATGATTGCCTGGTGTGTGTGTAAAACATTGGGGAGACAAAGGTGCTGGCCACCGACCCTCTCATGTGCTGTGTTGGCCTTCATAGGTGCTTGCTAACAGTATTTGCCCAAACAGCCTCATAAGACTTCTTCTTCTTCCTAGCGTTGTTCCCGCTGTGGCGCAGGGTCCGCTTTTCGGCATTGTCTTCTCCATTTGGCTCGGTCCAGGGCATCTTCAGGGGATGCGTTGACCGTCTTCATGTCTTCCTTTATTCGGTCCATCGATCGCTTCTTCGGACGTCCGCGTGGACGGCGGCCCTCCAGGAGATCTTTGTCTTTGTGTGCGTTGTCGTGTTTCGCTCTGTGCTCGCGCGTGCAGCTTGTCCACGCTGCACAAGAAAGCCATCAACACGGTGCACAACCTGCTGTCGTGCCACGACGCGGACTCACGATTCTCGCACCCCGACGTCAAGGCCCACGTCGCTATGCTGTACCTGCCGCTCATCGGCATCGTCATGGAGACGCTCCCGCAGCTCTACGACTTCACGGGTAGCGGAGTGCCCCACGCCCCCCTCGACTCAGGCACCCACGCAGCGTCGATTTAAATACAGTTCGCGTTCAACTACATCTGTTGGCGGATTTTGCTCTATCTCATGACCACGCAAGGGCTAAATCATGTTCTTGAGATGAAAGTGGAATGATGGAGAAACAAACTAATTTCACAAAATGTGCTGTAATGGTGGTGATGATTACGATTGGAAATATATTTAAATTCAGCTGTCCGTCAATAGATGTCTCTCAAGTTATCACAATCAACCAATCGCTCCAGTCAGGTCATGCTGCCATAAAAAAAAAAAAAACTTGCATTACAGAACGGGGAATCTTTTTTTTTGCAGATTTTTATTGTCATCCTTGGTTTTACTGAGTACAATGACAAAAATCTGTTCAAATAAATAAACAGTTGAATGATCTTGCCTATTGCCATCTCCCCCTGGCGCTTCTGTGCGAGCAGAGAACCACTCGCAGCGACCGCGGGCGGGCGGCGCGTCCGAAGAGGGCGAGCAGGACTCGGGCGGCACCATCAGCCAGTCGGTCGCCATGGCGATAGCCGGCAGCCCTGTGCCGCACTACACACGAGCCGGCTCACTGCACCTGCCCGCCGCGGTGAGTCGCTCCTCCGCCTCCTGTTTCCCTTTCCTCATTGCACCTCCCATACGCGCGGTTGGCTACGTACACAGACATACATTGCTCCATCTCCTCTCTCCTCCTGGGCTTCCTCAGCGCAGCATCTTCTTCTTCCTGTTCCTTCTCCTCCTGTTCTTCTACCTCCTCAGTGCAGCATCTCCTCCCTCCTCCTCTGCTGTCTTCCGCTCATCTTCATTTTAGAGGGTACGGTGTTACCTGGGGATCCTGAGCATCCTCAACGTTTACTGATCGTAAAAGGAGCACCTGTTGAAGTGTGTTTGCGAGACTCTGCGTTATCGGCAGCGATCGTCACTGCCAATGCATTTGTTACGAACAACTATGACAACTTGTTACTGGCAGTTCCATGTATTGCACAAGACTACGTTGAGGGCAGCAGGAAACAGTGCAGCAACCTCCACTGTTGTATTGTACGATGATCACACATCTGTGCTCTCCAGCTTCACCAACCCCCATTGACCAGAGTCATCAGCTTTTGTCTGTCCACTGCTGGATGAAGGCCTCCCCACGCCATCACCGTCCATCTCACTCTTGCACACAAACCAAACTTATCGCTCCATCTCCGCGGCGACCGTTCCTCGTAACAAATCCCCACGACACGCACGACACCTTATCCAGCAGCGGATTGGCAGAAAGAGAGCTGTATGTGTACACATGCATCTTGGCCGACTCGATAACCTCTGTCCATTACATGTGCTTGCTGGCGCCAGTCGGGACGGCAGTGCACGCCGCTGACGGCGGAGTCGAGCCGCAGCCTGCTGCTGTGCCTGCTCTGGGTGCTCAAGAGCGCCGACGAGGAGGCGCTGCACAAGTGGTTTGCCGAGCTCTCCGTGCCGCAGCTCAACCGCCTGCTGGACCTGCTCTACCTGGGCGTGTCCTGCTTTGAGTACAAGGTGTGTGCCGACTCGGTTGCTCCGAGCCAATGTGGATGCTGTGCAGTGCGTGTTTCTTCGTGTGTGTGTGTGCTTCTTTTTGAGTGTGCGTGTATCTGTACATGTTTCATTGCGTGTGCGTCCGTGTGTTTCTTTGCGTGTGCTTCTGTGTGCACGTGTCCCCCGTTTGTCCATGTCCGTGTATTGTCTCAGCATGTTGATACGACATCTGAAGATGACTCGCTTTTGCGTTGAGGCTCTCACTGCGTGTGCTCTGAACTGTCCCTCTGCCTGCGCCTGCGAGGACTTGCGCGCTCTCATGCCCGGCTTGACCTTCGGCTCCGCATCCTGGCGTGACCAATCCCAGTCGTGCAATCCAGCAACACAAGTGACCTCCGGCGGACACCTTTTCCTTGCGCCGTTGCCTTTGCGAGCGGCAATACATCACAGATCCTGAGCCTCTTTTCCCGTGCCCGTGTGTGCAGGGCAAGAGGAACTTTGAACGTCTGAACAGCGTGGTTTATAAGAAGTCCCAAGACATGAAGGCGCGGCTGGAGGAAGCCATCCTAGGGAACATCGGGGCCCGGCAGGAGATGGTCCGGCGCAGCCGTGGTCAGCTCGGTAGGGCCCAGGGCTCGCCCTCCCTCCAGCGGTTTCTGCGCAAATGGGACGGGCCTGGCCGCGACCCCACGCCAGAAAGCTTGCCCAACACGCGCCTTACAGTCTCGGCGTCGTTAGAATGCCGCGGTATTTTTTTGTTTACTCAAGCCTGTTGGATAAACACTGTTGACGTCTTGTAAACTTGTCGCAACACTGTGTTTTTTCATGAATTCACGTGTTTTGTGCATGTTACATAGTCAGCAGTGCTTGTTTGTGTAGGGGTTAGATTAAATTCTGAATATTACGAAGGACACACGGTGCTGTCGCCGTTAAAGGTGGCTTTGAGAAAAGTATTGCGATGGTGTACATGTACCATTAATCGGCACGCACACACACACACGCAGTTGGCACGTGGCCATCTAGGCCACCAGGCTGCATCGCTGCTGCTAATTGCACGCACCACGGTCTACACGGCAGCGTTGAATCTCCACATTGAGCGTGACGTTGAGTGACGGCGCGCGACGTCTCGGTCAGCAGAGCGCAGCTCCTCGGGAGGCCTGTTCGGCAGCCAGGAGAACCTGCGGTGGAGGAAGGACATGACGCACTGGCGGCAGACGAGCGAGAAAACGGACAAGTATGTGGCGGGCTTGGCATGGGGTCACGGGGGCACCGGAGTTTGGGGGCACAGAGTCACAGGGGCACGAGGGCACGGTGGTCTGGGGACACGGGAAGCAAAGAGGGCGTTAAAGTTTGGGCCACAGAGCTGAGGGCATTGTAGGCAGAGGCAGTCTATTGTCAGAAAGGTCGTGAGAATGGCTCCGTGTTTTTGTTTCATTAGCCAGCACCTGCTGCTGCTGTTGCTACTGCTGCTGATTTCAGACCAACTGATCTAAGTTTTCACTCTTCCTAAAATCAGACCTGAGTGAAAATCATGGGAAGACGCATAGTGGAACATGATGCTCACCCGTAACGGATTTCACGCACGACACGGAGAACACGCCACGTCGCCTGCACCTCACTCGTCCCACTGCCATACTAATGCCTGTTCAGTCTTTTGACATACACCACGGTAAATGCTTGTGCTGCCTTATGCTTATTAAGCCCACAGTTTTAAAGGTGGTCTTGTTTATAACAAAAAAAAGCATTGTAGGTGCTTATCCACTTGTCTCTCTTTTTGTTTTACCACAACTTGTGCACGGTAATTTAAGGAGTCAGAAAAACATCAGGTACAGTAACCCGGCTTCACGCCTGCTTGTGTGGTCACCCCCTTTCATGCGTGGCTCCATCGTGTGAATTCAGTCGCTTCCTCCTCCGGCATTTCAGCTGCATGGCCCTCTGGGAATTACATCTGAGAGTCATGCCCGTTGAGAATCAGTCACGTGTTCTCAGAATCATATCTGCTCCGAGTAAAGCACATGCTCATAATCCCAAGGTGATACCGTTAACACGTGTTGAGTCTGCGCTGCCGGCCGATAAAATATAATAGGGCCTCATCCTCGTGCCTTCATTGCTTACGGGCCCAGGAAGATGCCTCTCCTGTAAGGTGGTAGCAGGGGCAAGGAATTCGTGGTCGGGCTGCCATCCAAGAGTGCACGTGTGCATCAAGAATCTAGAACCCACGTCTCGCGCAACAGACGCCACAGACGACCTCTCGAATTTGCCCAGCGCGTTCGAATTGGCCGTGACACCAGCCAGAGAGATTCCTGCCTTAACTGGAGAACCTGGGGGGATACGAAGAACCCTCGTTGGGTGAGACGTCATCCAGGCCTCGCTGCATCGTAGATATTTGTGAGACTCGATGGAGCCGTTTCTGTGAACGGGTATCAGGATTTCTCTCACGTGGGGCTAAACTGCCGGTGTTAATTGGGTTGTTGCTAAGTGCTTCCACCTGCTCTGTGTCGGCCTTTCCTGCCGCGCCTCTGAGTGAGCGGCGCTTTCCCGCTGCGCTTGAAGATGCTTGACGCTGCTGGGCTTGTGAGCATTTGTAGGTCATCGGCTACTCTGGGAGTCTTGAGTGGTCAGCCTCTGATTAATTCTTGCTGATTTTAACACAACCCAATAAATACCCAATCTGGAAAGGTGTTGTTAGGTGTTTGTTTCCTTCTCCGGGGGTGGTGCTGTCCGTTTAGTCTGGTGCATTGTGGGTATTGTCGCGACTGCTATCCCCCAGGGTGATGGGATTTGCAGTGGCTCAGAGTTCACTGTCTTGCCCTCTGGCACAGGGACTTGCGTCTGTGACAGTCCTCACTTCACTCAGGACTTTATCAATGCCTTGTCGTTGTGATTAGGCAAGGACAACCTTGTCCTTAGAACTGTTTGGATGTTGAGCCTCAGCATGATAGACTTGCTGCTCGCTCCATTACATCTCCGCACTAACTCATCTACGTGTCACCTTCTGAACCTTTAGAGGCTTTTCTAAGAGAACCATCGTTGATGTGGCTAATGGCATTGTAGTTGCAAAGTTTTGGTCCCAGGTGTTGGATGTGATTGACATTTCGAGCTACAACGATTCAACCCCATCACTGTTTGATCGAAGAGTTGAGTTCATAACCAAAGAGTGGCAGCAGAAATCACGTTAACCCATTGCATACGAGGCAAATTTTAAATAGTCGATGTAGGTATGGTGAGCGTAATAATGGATTTTAATCGACACATTGTTACCCCCCTCCTGACGTTGACCTGTGAGCGGTCCCTGCCGCAACTCAATAACTGACCGAGATATTCCCTGACGTGGTCACAACCGTAGTGTGCGAACCTCACCTGGGCTGACACTGGACCGGCAAAACGTGATCGTAAGCGAATCGGCCGTTTGTCCAAACCGTGGTGTGATGGGCGTCCGTGGGTCCCTGGCAGAACCAAGGCGGAGCTGGAACACGAGTCCCTGGTGGATGGGAACCTCTCGACGGAGACCAACATGGTGGTGCTGGACTCGCTGGAGATCGTCGTGCAGGTGACAGCCGCCTTTCCCTGCAATGTCCGCCATTTTATTTTTATAAAAAATTCCACGCTACGTTTACTGTGAGCCCTCCACCACTGTCTGTGCCGAGGTAGGGGGGTGGGGGAGTCTGGGAGTCACTCATCGGGACTCTCTTTTGCAGTTCTGGCCGACACGCTGGATTTTTTTCCCCACTCCCCGGCAGACGGTGTCCCTGTCGGAGACGAAGGACAGCGTGCTGGGCGGCGTGCTCAAGGTTCTGCTGCACTCCATGGCCTGCAACCAGAGCTCATCCTACTTGCAGCACTGCTTCGCCACGCAGAGGGCACTGGTCTCGCGGGTAAGGGGCGGCATCCTCCCAACAGTTGGGAAGCTCTCGATAGAACACATTTTCCCCGCTTGCGATTTTAAGAATTAGCGCAACTTTTGATGTCACGATTTAATTCGCGGATCGATAGGGTTTTAGATATCAAAACGCAAAAATCTATTGTTTAAGGTGTGATGCATTTAAAGTTTGGTCCGTGGTGAGTTGTGTTGAGTAGCAGTAAGTTGTGGTGGATACTGGTGAGTTATGAGTGACGGTGCACCCTGCTAAGTTCTAGTGAACTGCAATGAGGAGTAAATAGTGATGAGTTACGTTGAGTTGTGAGGCATAGTTTCGAGTTATGGTGAGTGCCAGTGAATTGTGGTGAACAGTGTAGAGTGGCAGTGAATTGCAGTGAGTGGTGGGGAGTCACGGTGAATGCCAGCGAGCCGCGGTGAGTGGCGGCGTGCCGTGGTGAGTGACGGCCTGCCGTCGTATGCACCGCAGTTCCCGGAGCTGCTGTTTGAGGAGGAGACGGAGCAGTGCGCTGACCTGTGCCTGCGGCTGCTGCGACACTGCAGCAGCAGCATTAACAACACGCGCTCGCACGCCAGCGCCTCGCTCTACCTGCTCATGCGTCAGAACTTCGAGATCGGAAACGTAAGTCCTGGCGTGACCCATCCCTCCTATGTCTGTAAGCATTCGCAACAACTGCTAATCCGGGGCACGGGGCAAGGTCAACAAACTAAACACAAAAAGCAGTTCTAAAGAAATCAGTTTTCCATCTAGATTGAGTTTTCAATCTAGCTAATTGAATAAACAACCCTATTATATTTGCCTTCTTCTACTAAGCCAGAAGGCCCATTATTGCATGGGGTCAGGTATTTTGAAAATCCGAGTTTTATTATTTTAATGGCCTATCCTTTGAGCCCAGTTGCTCTGCCCAGATGGCAGGAGGAGGTGGCCTTTCTGCCAAATCCGCCATTGGGGTCAACGAGGAACTTTGGAAAAATGTCTGTGGATTTTATGAAAATAGATTTTAAAATAACCACACAGAGAAGGCTAAACAATAGAAATCAGTGAAGCTTTCCGATGTGTTTTGAGTTGCACCCCGTGTTCAGCACAATGTCTGATATGCTGATTGTCCTGGGAGCTTCTTCAAGAACTGAATAAGCTGCCGGTACATGCAGCTGAAGATGCTCCCAGCACCTGGAGCAAAACGTCGGACATCGTGCCGAACAACATGCGGTGCAAACCGTAAACACAGCGAAGAGCGGATAAAGCGCAAACTAAAAAACTCCGCAAGTAAAAATAAGCAAAGATTCTGAGAAGCAGCGCTCACATGGCAATCCCCACCCCGCCTCACCCCACCCCACCTCACCTCATCCCACCGTTCCTCACCTCGCCTCACCTCGCCTCACCGCACCCTGCCCCACCTCACCTCACCCCGCCCCACCTCGCCCCTCCTCGCCCCTCCTCGCCCCGCCCTGCTCTGCCGTGCGCGTGCAGAACTTTGCCCGGGTAAAGATGCAGGTGACCATGTCGCTGTCCTCGCTCGTCGGGACGTCGCAGAACTTCAACGAGGAGTTCCTCCGCCGCTCGCTCAAGACCATCCTCACCTACGCCGAGGAGGACTTCGAGCTGCAGGGCACCACGTTCCCCGAACAGGTCCCAGAGGCACTCCCCTCCTCGCTGCGGTCGTTTACGCTTTACCACTAAGATCGAAAGGCTCTCCGTCAGCCTGTCTGTCTGCGTGCCACGAGGGGGCATGATAACTTGCGTCAAAATGGTCCAAGATGAACGAAACCTGAATATAAAGTTGTCTTGTTATTTGGGACTGACCCTTGAGAAATTTGTCCTATTGGTACAAAGGGTTTCCCATGCCCTCCCTGTCACGGCCTTCAGATGTACTGCTCACTGTGCGCCTGGCGCAAGCGCTACCATTGTATGCATATGCATAGTTTTCTTCTGTTTTATTTGTTGTTTGCTTTTAGTTGCATTGTTTGGGCATTGAGCACTTGTGTGTCTGAATGTGTAGGTGCAAGACCTGGTGTTCAACTTGCACATGATACTCTCTGACACCGTCAAGATGAAGGAGCACCAGGAGGACCCGGAGATGCTACTCGACCTCATGTACAGGCACGTGCTGCTTCATACCACACCAGAGCATGGTACACATTACTCCAATGCCACGCTTTGTCCAGGCTGCTCCTCCACACCTAACCCATGACACATCAACAAGTCCAAGTGATGTCATCTTCAAGAAAAAAATTCCACACTGGCTTGTTCAGAATGATTATTGTTTTATTATATGACGATGTTGTCTGTGCGTTTGATTGTTTCATGTTCTCGTGCACGTTATTACATTGTAATTTTTTTGCCATTCAAAAGCGGAGTGCATTGCAAGAAAGAATATTCTTACATCATGACGGTCATAGCTCACTGAACCTCGCCACTCCTCTCCACGCTCACAGCCATCGCCACCAGCTCAGCTGAGGTGTCCTACGGCACTCGCTCGGAACACTGGCCATGTTGGGGTGCCACAGTGGCGAAATGTTAACTACCTCGCCTGGTATACAGGAGGCTGTGGGTTCGATCCCGACCCTGACGCCTGTATATTTGGAGTTTGCATGTTCTCCCCATGGTCGCATGGATTTTTTTCCCCGGTTCCTCTGATTTTTTCCCTCTACATTTATAAATATGCTTTTAGAGTATTTAGCTTGTATATATTTCCACATGATAAGCCACATCTTTGAGCTATCATTTGTGGTAGCCAGGTCGCTTCTGCAAAAGAGCTACATAGCTCAGTGGGCCTTACCTGGTAAAATAAAAAATAGTTTAGTGTTAAATGTTGACTTGAAGCTTTCGTGACTGCAGGAATGAATATTCTTTGGGTCTTTCGGTAAAGTCACGTAGTTAGGTTCAAAGAAAATAACAAAAACCTACGATGTTTCGATCGCAACACGAGCGATCATTCTGATGACTATCGTCCTGATGACGATCGCTTATGTTGTGATCGAAACGTCGTAGTTTTTTTGTTATTTTTTTGTTATTTTCTTTGAACCTATCTACGTGACTTTACCAAAAGGCCCAAATAATATAGTTGAGTGTTCCACTGCAGGGAGGTCGGCGTCGCTCAACGGCTCCCACTTTGCAAGTTTTTATTTTATAGTGTTTGACACGTCGAGTATCTGAGCGTCTGAGCGCTGGCGTGGCTGCCCTCGCGCTCGCTTTCCCCGCAGGATCGCCAAGGGCTACCAAACGTCGCCGGACCTACGGCTCACATGGCTGCAGAACATGGCCGGCAAACATTCGGAGCGGGGCCAGCACGCGGAGGCGGCCCACTGCCTCGTGCACTCGGCCGCCCTGGTCTCCGAGTACCTTTCCATGCTCGAGGACAGGAAGTACTTGCCCATCGGCTGCGTCAGCTTCCAGGTGAGGGGTCGACGTAGCTCCCGTCGTTGTTTCCGGGAGAATCTCACGATCGCACCACGGCACCCAATCTGGTGCTTTTGGGACACGTCTTGTTTTTCGAATGCGGCGTCCGGCTCGTGACGGCAGTCAGTTTTTTGGGGCAAGTGGTGCAAACTGTGCCACTCGCTGGCACACTCTCACCTTCCGCGCGTGCCCCGGTCTGCGTAGAACATTTCTTCAAACGTCCTGGAGGAGTCGGCCGTGTCGGATGACGTGCTGTCGCCCGACGAGGAGGGGATCTGCACGGGGAAGTACTTCACCGAGTCTGGCCTCGTCGGCTTGCTGGAGCAGGCAGCCGCCTCCTTCTCCATGGTGAGGGAGGTCGCTGCGCCACGAAGCGGCTTTCCACGTGCCGCTCAGCGCAAGCGTTTTGACGGCAACCGCGGGCATGCGATCGAACGGGCGGGCGTCTGACTGGGTGCGCACGTTCAGGTGGGCGCATGCCCACTTCAACCTCAAATGAGTACCTGGTGCGGTGTGTAAACATTGCCACTGGGGAGACAAAGGCGGCCGGGCGTGGTGCTGGCCATCCACCTCATGTGCCATGCCGGCCTTCATAGATGCTCGTTAAGAGCACTTGCCCCAACAGTTTGTTCAGGCTATATGGGGAATTTTTTGTCTTGCGCAGGCTGGCATGTACGAAGCCGTGAACGAGGTTTACAAGATCCTAATCCCCGTCCACGAGGCGCATCGCGACGCCAAGAAGCTGGCTACGATCCACGGCAAGCTGCAGGACGCCTTCAGCAAGATTGTCCACCAGGTGACGCAGCGCGCGGCAGGCGGCACGCAGTCACGCTGACAAGGACGTGGGGACGTGGAGCAAGGGGCCGTGCCGGACGGGACATAGGGACACAACACCTAGCCTGTGCTGAGCAGTACACGGCGTTACATAGGGAGTTGGGAAACATGAAGACCAATGGTATTGGACTTGACTGGGTGTAAATCAGGAGAAATTGAAGCTTGGGCTAAGATATCGAGTTTTAGGCTGTGTACCACCAAACAGTGGAGGACTTAAGACGAGGAAGGTTTGTGACGAGCGGTGTATGAATTATATGAGCCCTACCAGCCTACCAGTGTCATCCCCACAGCTGGACACGAGTAAAGACTCTCACGTAGGTGAAGACGCATGCACGGTGGGGCGCGAGCCACGGCGAGTCTCCCGCACACATGGAGGGCAGCGCGGGGCAGGGTGCGGAGTCGGGCGGGCCGCGCCCGTGCGTTACTGTGTGCTTAACAATCGACATGTTGCCCCTTTCCCCTGTGTTAAAACTGTTCTTTGTGCAGAGCACCGGTTGGGAGGTAAGTGGCGATTTTGGAGAAAGGGTGTTGAGCTCACGCACGCACTCACGCCCAGCGTGGCGTAGCGGCGGTGCTCTTGCGCCGCGTGGTTCTCGAAGGCACGCGCCACGGCCGTGCCTTCCCCATCCTCTTCGGCCTGGTCAGGAGTGCACCAGCCTGGCTGTCGGGGCGGCCGGCAGCGCCCGGTGGTAACATTGATCGCGTTTGGCTGTAAGGCGGTTCATTTGCGCCAGGCTCTTTCCTGCCACCAGCTCTTCATCTTGTCATGCCTTCTGCACGCTCACTCACTCGCTCACTGTCCAGTTCTTTAATTCACCACGCAGCCCACGTGGATTTTACTGCCTTCGTCAAAGCCGCACTAGTTACACCTGTCAGTGGAGTAGTTTGTCGCTTTGTACTTCCGCGGTGTGATATTTTTAAGTTACCCTTTAGTTGATATGACTGAAGCTTGAAAAGTATTTATTCTACAATTGAAAATTATAATTTAATGTCAATCTTAACGAGGTGAGTGATTTCCAGCACTGGGCTCTTCATTAACACATGATACACGCGAGTCATAATCCTACCCATAATAATCCCATAATTCACCACGGAATAATCCTCTGCTCGTTCTCATGCCAATAAAACGGGCAGCACTTGCACCGAGTGCTCAATGCCGGCGCTCAATGAGTTTCGCGAAAGGGGCCGATCAGTCTCACCGACGGGCCTTTGCAAGGCTGCTGCGTCGGTAGGCACGGAGGGCACGGTGGTGGGCATGGTGCTGGAATCATCACATCGGCGGGTCCAGGACTCGGGACGCCTGTGTCTCTGATTATCGCGTCAGTGGTGTCGCGTTGAACCCCAGTCCCAATCATAGTGCTTCGACCCCGGGCGTTTCAATCCCGTCTTTAGTTGTCGCCGTTTCTTACACCCCCTGTTTACCATTTTAGTTTTACTCCCCCCCTCCCCCCCCAAAATGCAATTATTTGTTCAATTTTATTTTGCAGCACAGGCGTCTTTAAGCAAGCAGACACAACAAAACTTTTACGTGGGGCTTTAAACCGAGCCTTAACGTAAAGCTTTTAAAAACCCCACGTGTGCTTAAAGGCTTTGGGTAGCCTCCCGGCCGTCTGCGACGCTTCACGCTTGGAGTTTTGCATGCCCTGATGCTCATCATTTTGCATGGAAAATCTATCCCTCATTCCCCCATCCCATTGTTTTTGGGTCTCTGTGTGTCGTGAGTATTTTACGTTCTTGCTGTGGCCCTTTTGTCTCCTGCATGCCGCGCGCTTGATGTGAATCCTTTGAGGCTGCCATCCACAAAAGTTGTACACGTTCCCATTCATTAACTGACATTTCCATTCTTGATGAACGTGGAACCCAGAGCTGCTAGACGCCGATTATCAGATCGTTGGATTAAACGCATGACCGTGAGCCTCGCAAAATGTCACCAAAACAGTACAGTACCATTACAGTTCGCATTCATAGAGGATTAAAATGCAACCGCGTCTCACGACGGCATTCGGTATCTTGGGGCGCGTGCACTAGCACAGTGCTGACATTTCTTAAACCGTTTTCCGTCAAACTCGTCGCTGTGGAAAGCGGAGCGAGCACCTACGCCGGCGTGTCTGCATAACGGCTGTCCAGCTGCTCTGTGGTTCTTTGATCTGTGGGTTGGACAGTCACTCGATTCACGCAGCCCCAGAGGCCTTGTTTATCTGTCCTGGTGTGTCATGCCAAAGCCAGCGGCTGCACAGAATAAGAGGGAAACCGGCCCACCCGCCCTCCCGCCTGCGGGACGGTCACGTCCATCCCCCCTTCGGAGGGGCGGGTGAGCTTTATCAATTAATGCCGCCATAAACCTTTTAATGTCCTCCATGGTACACAGTGTGTGCAGCATAGCGTAGCGCACGCTGTGTGTACGGTCGACTGCAGAGGCAGCAGCAGATTGGCTCGAGTCGAACCATTGCCGGCAGACACCTTGATGATCAAACATTGCCACCAATGGGATGCTTTCTTGTAGCCGTTACGTTGTTTTTAACATAGCCTGGCTTTGTGAATAATAATATGTATAACCCCTTGTCCTGATTTGAAATGACCTCTCTCTTTTGCTCCCACCTCCCGGTCCCCAATCCGTCCCTGATCCCCTTCCTCCTCCCCCTTCCCCTCCCTACCCCTTCCATGGTGACCCCAAAACCCCCACTTTTGCTGTCTCCCGTGGTAAGTCCCTATTTTTGGTTTTGCCCGTTTTTTTGTCCCAACCCTCCTTAACTCCTTCCCCAAAGTAACATGGTTGTTTGGGAGCCCTAAGCCCTCCATGGTCTCACACGTGTTGGCGTCGGTCCCGGCAGTCCCTACGAGCGCTGTTAGAGTTGTGTTGTCGGGGTCTCTGCGTGTGCTCATCGTGTACAATTTTGGGGGGTGGGGGGGGGGGCTCTGCACCGTGCTGACTTCTCCCGCACTGCGTTGTCGCAAACTAGCTCCAGCGTGGGTCACGGTGGCCGTGTCATTGTCTTCCCGTGTGTCCACTCCCGCATGCTCTTCCCACAGCACTGAGTCGGCGCAAAGCCTCTCGTGGTTCCAGTGCGCCGAGTGAAAATAACCCCTGACATTGTGTGTCGTTATGCGAGAAATATCATTTAATATGCATGTCTGATTCCAGGAGCTTTGACTCTTATCACTTGATTCACCACACCCTCCAGATGTGTTCCCGGCTTCAAGTGACAATCCATGCCTCGTGTTCAGAGTTACCTCCCTGACTCCTAGACTTAGACCGACCTAATAAGATCTCGAGGTCGGGATGGCATCAGTTCCTGGATGCTGTGAGGGAGCAAATAAAAGTTAACCCTGCATTAACCTGAGCGGACCAGGGTATAACCAAGTAATCTTTCAGAAATATTCCAACATTTGTTAGAAAATGGTTTAACTACCGCTGAGAAGTCACTCTGGCGAGCAACGGACGCGCTTGTCCGTGGATGGATGAGTTTGGGCGGCGGTCTGGATGCTGGGCGAGGCCCGAGCGATTGGCCAAGTGTAGCGGACGGAGCGGTGTTGGTGCCCCGTGCCGCTCGTTACCGCGCCTGCCGCTCATTAATCCTCGCGCCACCGCCACCGCCGCACCCGCGTCTCTTCCTCGCCGCAGGGCGGAAAGCGTATGTTCGGGACGTACTTCCGCGTCGGTTTCTACGGCTCCAAATTTGGAGATCTCGACGAGCAGGAGTTCGTGTACAAGGAGCCGGCCATCACCAAGCTGGCAGAAATCTCCCACCGCCTCGAGGTGACCTCACACACCAGTGGGCGCTGACCCTGGCGGCTCACAAAGGGGGCCCCTCGCACACAGTCTGATCGCTCACTCTCAGCCACTTTCATGATAATAAACCTGACTTTATGCAACATTTTTTTTTTATCCTATTTGCCGACATAACTCATTGGCCAACCTAATAGCCACCAATTAAGCGAGTGCTAAATGTACCCATGTGCCCACACTAGGTAAAACATTTGCTGAAAGCCCCTTTTTGGATCTCACAACTAATTCCGTGATATATCTGCTTTCACGGGCCATTGCCGAACACGTGGGGCGGAGCGCTGGTCTGCGAGGATGGGTGCTTCGTCTCGTGGCACGGTCCTTGAGTAGAACTGGAATATAATTGGGAAAACGCATTCTTAAAGACTCCCTCATGGCCACACGGCATCCTAACGTGGTGTCCAGTTCACCCCTATAGGCACTGCCCTTAATCGCTCGTGAAGTCTGTTTCGTTCCGCACGTGATTGAGACGATGTTTCGTGTGTTTTTCAGGGGTTTTACTCTGAACGGTTTGGAGAAGAAAACATGGAGGTGATTAAAGACTCCAATCCGGTGGACCGGAACAAGCTTGATCCCAACAAGGTAACCGCGGAGAATTGACACGGTGCTCGTTTGGACTCCATCGTGCACTGGTGTGGCTCGCATTCCCTAGGATTATGGAGGTTCTGAGGTCTTTCCCTAAGTGGCTCAGGGGCCTAAGTCGGCACTGCTCAGATCTTGTGTTTGAATCTGGTAATTAAACCGGGTTCATAAGTGCAGCAAGTTGATTATCTCTATCAGTGGTTGTCCAAAAAACACATTAATGTTAGTTTTTTTACTTAAACTTTTTCAAATGCTGAGAGGTACAAATGTCGGCTTCATTGACATGCGGTGAATGCTGGTTAGGTCTCCCGAAGAAATTCAGAAATAGTTCTGTTATGTCAACTTCCAGACCCATTTCCTGAAATCCATCATCTCTGTTCGAATGGATATGACTTGAGTCTCAACCATGGTGTCTGTTTTGTGAATCCACGATGTGCTGTTACGCTGCTGGTTGTGAGAATGACGAATGAACGTTTATTGCCCTGACGTTGTTGGCTCTTGTGGCATAATTTGTAAAACATAATCAGGATGGAATATCCCCAAAACAAGGAGTGCTGCGGGGGTGCAAGGTCAGGGCGTCTCCCCAAGTTAATTTGTCTGAGTACACAATCGATGTTTTTTTTATCGTTCTACACTTGATGAATGCCACCGTTCAGACGACCACTTTAGCTTCTCTCTTGTTCGTCTAATTTTCCATTATTTGTCAATGTACATGCAGTTGTTAACCGAGCGCAACTGAAACTGACGTAATATCGATTTAAAGCTTTCGTGACTGCAGGGATTCATTTTCTTGGTTCTTTCGGTAAAGTCACGTAGAAGGGAAATAATAAAATAAATAAATACATCATAAAATACATTTCTCACGACGTTTCGGCCACAACAGGGCTGTCAGAAAGACAGCGTCTGAACATTCAAACGCTGCCTTTCTGACAGACCTGTTCTTCACCTGAGGACGGCTGCTTGCGTTGTGGCCGAAACGTCGTGAGAATTGTATTTTATTATGTTTTATTTTTATTATTTTATTATTTCCATTCTACGTGACTTTACCGAAAGAACCAAGAAGATGACTTAATATCATCATGCCCACTGCATAGACTGTTGATGGTTGTGCTTTGTGCGTGCGGTGTTTTCCTGCCTGTAGGCTAGGGGACTGAAGCTTCGCCTCTTGGTGATTCGATGAATTGTAGCGATTAATTTTAAGAATTGATTATTTTTTTACAATCGCGGTGAATATATTGGGTCTCTAGCGGCTGCGTGGGTCGCCTGAAGTCTACAAACATTGTATAGGAACTGACATTGATTCTTACACAGTCGATTCTATGCACATATATCGTGAGCAGAATCGGCCCTACCGCCAATGACTGCGGTGAAAAAAAAACCATCGCATAAAATTTCCGTACTTAATTTGGCTGAATTCCAGCTGTGACAAATATAATCGGGGTTTGACTGTCATGTGACGAAAATAACTCTCATGTGGCAGGGTGGGCCCCACAATGGCGAGATGTTAAATACCTTGCCTGGTTTACAGGGGGTCGTCAGTTCGATCCGAATCCCGATGCCTGTGTGTTTGGGGTTTGCGTGTGCTCCCCGTGGTCGTGTGGATTTTTCTCCGGGTCCTTCGGTTTTCCCTTCCACATTTAGAAACGTGCGCTTACAGTATTTGACTGCGATACATTTCCACGTGATGAGCCACTTCGTTGAGCTATCATTTGTGGCCAGGTCGCTTCTGAAAAATATCTCTATAGCTCAGTGGACCTTACCTGGTAAAAGAACATTTCAAAAATACAAATTCTGCCCTCTACTGTGTGGACCAGAGTTCAGTTGAAGGGAGTGACCTCGGAGGTAGCTCCCTGGTTTCCGCTTCCAAAGTACGTTCTCAAACACAGTGGGTCACATTGCTCTGCGCGAGATCTGAATGGATTTTTTTATTTTATGGCACGATTGCCGATAGCTCAATCAGGATACATTTGGGAGAGAAGTTAGAAACCTTTTAGAGAATCGATATTAATGGATGAACCAATGCGTCGTTATGGCCCCCTCCCCCCCGCCACAGGCCTACATCCAGATCACGTACGTAGAGCCGTACTTCGACATGTACGAGCTGAAGGACCGCATCACGTACTTCGACAAGAACTACAACCTACGGCGATTCCTGTTCGCTACGCCCTTCACGCTGGACGGGCGTGCGCACGGCGATCTGCACGAGCAGTACAAGCGCAAGACGGTGCTTACCACCTCGCACGCCTTCCCCTACATCAAGACGCGCATCAACGTGGGACACAAGGAGGAAGTATGACCCCCCCCCGCACCTCCTAACCCCCCCCCCCCCCATCATTTCTGAGCAACTCGTCACGGCCGCTGCTAAACTGCTGCAAGTTGCGACATGCGACACGACTTTGTTGTACATTTTCAGAATGCCAGCTGCTCACTGATGCTACTGCTCACTGATGCTGCTGCTGCTCACTGATGCTGCTGCTGCTCACTGATGCTGCTGCTGCTCACTGCTGCTGCTGCTGCTGCTCACTGATGCTGCTGCTGCTCACTGATGCTGCTGCTGCTCACTGCTGCTGCTGCTGACGATGAGGTTGGTGGTGACATTGATTGCGGGTGGGTATCGTTGCGATGGCACTAACGATGGACGCGGCGGGCGTGCGCTCCAGATCATCCTGACGCCCATGGAGGTGGCCATCGAGGACATGCAGAAGAAGACGCAGGAGCTGGCGTTTGCCACGCACCAGGAGCCGCCCGACCACAAGATGTTGCAGATGGTTCTGCAGGGCTCCGTGGGTACCACCGTGAACCAGGTGCTGCCTCCTCCCTCGGTCCGCCGCATTCGCACCTCTAGCGTGATCACGTGCCCAGCTGGGAGTCTCTCGAGGTCTGGGCCCTTCAAGTTCATACCTCATGGCGCTGGTTGTAATCTGCGGCGAAACGTTATACTAAATAGTAAAAACTAAAATTGTCACTTTTAAACGTAACCGATTTGCTGAAAAACAATTAATTGCCACTCTCTGCCATGTAATTACTTGATTCCATTGTTGCGGTGTCATGCAGTGGAGGGTTTTAGCTCTAAATAACATCATACCCACACGATCTAACCCAAACAAATATAAATTAGCTGAGATTTTGTTTAATTTCTCTTTTAGTGCCCTGCTCAGTGTTAAAGTTTAAAGTCATTGTTTTTTTTTGTTTACATCAGTTTGTTGGTAAGGGTTTTGAGTAATTTGGTGCGGTGGTAACAAAATAAGTTGGACGGCCGAAAATGATGTATTGGTCAATTCCACGAACATGTCACGTAAATTATGGAAACACCAGTACATAGACAATCATTGTATGAGATTAAAAATCGATAATCTTGTGGATATAGTTGCCATGAGTATGAAACCATTAATATTTTAGCATAATTGCAATGTCTACATCCTTCTCCCATAACTGTAACCGCAGCATGCTCATGGAATTTTCCATTCCCCCCCCCCCCCCCCCCCCGAAAACGTTATTTATTTATACAAGAAAACGTCATTTATTTAGACAAAATAACGTCATTTATTTATACAAGAAAGCGCAGAGCACCGCTGACTTGAAGCTGTGCGCGGCACGTGCGCTTGGTGCCACCAACACATACAGGGCCCCCTGGAGGTGGCTCAAGTGTTTCTCGCCGAAATTCCCGACGATCCCAAGCTGTACCGCCACCACAACAAGCTGAGGCTCTGCTTCAAGGACTTCACCAAGAGGTGAGCGTGCGAGGCAGAGCCACGTCGCCCCGGGGGGCGTTCTTGGCGAGTCCGGGACAGACAAGTGCTCAGTGTGGCTGTTGTGAACGCACTTTGCGCAGTACCCCACCCCGCCCCACCCCACCGACCCCCGAGTGTGTCACACGGTTCTTTAGAACTGCTTTTCGTGTTTAGTTGGTTGTCCATCCCCCGCGGAGCTCGGATTAGCACGGTCGGATACGTACGGTGCGAAAGAAATTCAGCATACATTCGTGCCGCTTAGGTCACCACCTCCGAGTTACAAACTGAGACGTATCATGGGAGGAAAAATATCTGAGAGCACTGGAAGAGGGTTGGTGTATTAGTCGTGATGATAGTCATTTTTACACAATTGACAAAAAACGGGACTTTTAATATCCCGGGAAGCGTGATAGATTTCTCACGACAGTAGCCTCCTCGACAAGAAGATGATCCTGGGAAAACAAGGACAGCTGGCAATCCTCGTGGTATCCACCAGCCCCAGGCTTCATTCAGCCTTTTGTTTGTGTGTCAACGGCGCGAGTGACGCACGTGTTTGTGTCGCCGCGACGCGTGCAGGTGCGCAGACGCGCTGCGTAAGAATAAGGCGCTCATCGGGCCCGACCAGAAGGAGTACCAGCGAGAACTGGAGCGAAACTACCACCGGCTGACGGAAGCGCTGCAGCCCATGATTAGCCAGAAGATCGCGCAACTCTACAAGCCCCTCACGCCCACGCTGAGCAGGTGACAGCGCCCTCGTTGCCGCTGTTGCTAAATCGCCGGCCAGATGAAGTTGAATTCGTAGTGCAGTTTCTGCACCTCTGCCCCTGGCCCTTCAGTCTCGTTGATGTTCTACTTACTGGTTAATGCTGGTTGTGTTGGAAGGTGTCTGCCAAGCAGGCGTTTACCATATTGTTGGTTTTGCAGTGTGCATAACATTTGTGCGTTGCTCTTGTGCCATGCGGTTCAGGGAGTCTATCAACCGCTCCAGCCTGCGGAGGGTGGAGGCGTGAGAACCCAGCTCGCCGGCCGGCAAAACTGCCAGCCCAGTAAACGTGCACACGTGCACACGTGCACACGTGCACAAACACACACACACATTCACCCACCCACACAAACATTCAGCCACCCACACGCAAGTACCATAGCTTCTACCTACAACAATCCCTCCTTACACCAACACACACACAAATCGTCAACACACACAATCCTACTCGTATCACATGCCAACCTACGCACACGCGGACACATCCACACACTAGGCCAACTGCACGTCCACCCATTCATTTGAGTAAGTTTTATAGATGTGCCAGGCTGTGAGCGTTAATGCTCGTCACACTCAAACGCACGCATCTGGGGTAATCCGAGCCCCGCATCGACGACTGTGATGATGTGACACGACTGCATACCGAGTCACCATGAGCCAAACCCCGTTGTAATCGAGGCCTCGGGCACACCGACCGGGGAGTGTTGCGTTCTCCTGGGCTGGCAAGTTAAGCAGAGGCCGTCAAGGAAGCGAGCGGAGTGCCACTTGCACGTCCACACGATTTCGTCGCAAGCTTGGAATCGCATCGGTCGTTTTTCAAACCAAACTGTTTAACCGCGGTCTTGTTTACTCTGCGACTTTACACACTCGATTAATTTTGCACCTACGTTTTATTTTATCTTCTTTGTTAAACAGTGTTAGTGAAAACGATTTAGCATTTGTGGCAGAACACTAATTTACATGACTGCCTTATAGTAGGCCACCTAATTATTGTATGCACATGAATATTATATTTCTTTATCGCTTAAATCACTTTTAAGTACCGTGTTTAGTCGATTAACCTTTTTTAACTTTATTTAAGACCTGGAATTTCCTGCATGAACTGTAACTTTGTAACACTTGACGGAGATTGCGATACAGCCGTAACACGCGTGGGCAGAGGCGAGCAGTGTTATTTGATTTCTAAATTATTATTTTTTTATTCGAGTTAAAATTATTTTAAATGTCATTTTATTCGCTTGTTCATAATGACGGTTAACACGATAGATTTTGTTTTCCACTTGGGTCATAGGTCACGTAAAATAACACCTGGCAAATACGACCAAAGTGAGAGCTAACGGTTCCAAAAAGTAAAAGCACTCGCGCAAAGTTTTATTTATTTGCTACCAATACACGCCAAGGGGCAGGAGGAAATACTCGATTGGAAATTTGCGGGGGAAATGGCGGTTACATGATTAGTCTCGCACGCCGGTCAACTTCCTTTTGATCTTCAAAATAGTTTTCAAGAGCGTCCGTGTGTCAGCTAGAAGAAGTAAATAGTGAATAAACAGCGTGGGATCGTTTTTACCGTCATGCTTAAGAGACATGGAGCGCGATGTCGGTGGCAGGGCAAGTTGTGGGGGCTGTTGGGGGATTGCCGACGATTAGTTCCCCGTGGAACAGGAGGTGTGATGATGGCGGTGGGCATTGGGGGACCTGGGTGAGATGGGGAATGGCATTTGAGAATCGATCTTGAAGGGACTTGGATAAGTTGACGGAGCTTGGGAATTGAGTTAAAGTTGGAACAGTTGACGGATTTTTAGTAAGTAAATCTACAAACTTGAGTACTAAATTATAACTTGAGCGTGCAGACAGAGATTTGTCCATCTGGAATAGACGCATGCAGGGCTATGAAGTGTCTAAGGCATGTTGTGTTGAGAGCCACTGTGTAAGTTAGAAAGGGAGTTTCCAATTAGTATTTTTTTTATATAGAACCCAACGTGAAGAGCTGCTTCAGTAATTTTGCTGTATGAGAATGTGCTACATGCAAATCATTGACGTATTAGCATGCCAGTACTGTATACTTTCTTTGAAAATGTTTTTTTTAATTAAACATTCGAATGTTTGTATATTTAAATTTGATGCCAGGTGGTCTAGTTTTAATTCAGGCTGCACACCTCTACAGGCACCCCGGCTCCAGGGATGCGTGCCAACACTAGCGTGCGCCCAGCAAGAAACACTAAGGGTCGTGTTTGAATCGGAAATGTCATGTGCTGGTTGTTATTAAAAAATAATATTGTTTAAATGCTTTTTTGTTTAATTCCTTTTTTCGTCACAGTTGCACGAGTTTAATACCTCTCGTTAAAGAAAGTTGCGAAAATCTAAGTCAACTTGAGGCAACTGCTGTCCAGTGCTTGTCCATTTGTCTCACCATGGATATTTTCACGTTTTATTGGGTCCCTCTGTGCCTGCCTCTCTGATGGTGGCTCTGCAGGGTGAGGTTGCCCTTATTCTGGTAGGAACCTCCTGGTTACACCAGCCCACAGGGGATTGTGTCCGTCCGTCCTGCATTAAAAATGGGAGGGGTGGGGCTGGGTGGAGAGGGGAGGGTGGGGCTGGGTGGGGAGGGGCATGGGAGCCCTTATAAAACTCAACGTTTAACCTACTCACGCTGGCTTGTGCCCACCCTCACAGTCGGGCATATTTGCGGAATACACCACGCTGCCATTGACCCTGGCCATTGACCGAGCAACCCAACGCCCTCCGCAGGAATGTGTTTGAGTCGTGCTGTTCAACACACCTCCCCAACATTAAGGCACACAGCTGATTTTCGGGCGGTCACCATGAATCATGAAGTCAGCCATTCTCTCAATTGCTCAGGGAAGGCTTCCTCAAATCATTGCCATTTCTCAAGTCCACGGAGTTTTGTAAATTAGAATTGTATTTTCTGTGAGAAAAAACGCATTTTAAACACAATACGCATCACCGACACACATCTCGCATTTCAGTTTTATACGACTAGTTTTTTGACAATGTGATATTTTCAACATAAACACGTTAAGGCTCTTATCATGTAGTTACAATGAATACATTTTATTAAATACCTGCAGTAAAAACATAGTTCAACGTAGATATCACCTTAGGGTCACAATATATCAATATTTGTATACTTCAAGTTGTACTATATTCATCATACATTAGACATTGTTTATATCAAAAGATAATGGCAAAACATTTTTGCCCAATTTTAACACGAGTCCCCGAAAGTTAGCGCTGCACATTGTGTCCAAGTCACCTGATGGGTTGACTCCCTTTTCACCTCGACCCGGAGTGCGGACCCAGAGTGCGGACCCAGGGGCAATGGAGGGGAAACGCGCTCCCAGCTCGGCTGCGGAGGTACGCGTGCATACAGACGACCTCCGACCCGTGGCTCATGTGCCTCATGAGAGACGCACAATTTTGCTGATGTAAATGGGCCCAAAGTTGGCGGCGACGTGCGGAATCACCGTCTCGCCAAAACGGTCCTCCTCCTCCTGGAAGGTGAATGCGTGCGAGAAGAGCGCCCGCATGCCGGACAGGTCGCACGCCTGCGCGTCCACGTTGTGATTCGTCGTCGCCAGACTGAGGGCCGCTTCCACCACAGAGCTGTTCTGCAGCTGTGACAGGGAGCAAGTGGAGTACACCACCACCCCGCCCGGGCGGCACGCCAGCAAACCCGCCCTGCACCGTGACAGACAAAGACAAAGATCCACCGTATAGCCTTAACAGAATGTTGGGGCAAGTGCTGTTAGCGAGCACCTATGATGGCCGGCACGGCACACGAGGGGGTGGGTGTCCAGCAAACGCGCCCGGCCGCCTTTTTCTCCCCAGGTTACTCAATTGAGGCTGAATCGACCTAGGGCAGGCTCAGGACCGATTCAGATAATCACCACTGGTATTGGCCGTGAGTGGGAATCTAACTCGCGTCGCTGGGTAGCGCAGCGTAACGCTAACCGCTACACTACCACTACAGTGTGACAAAGACAAAGATCCCCCGTATAGCCTTAACAGAATGTTGGGGCAAGTGCTGTTAGCGAGCACCTATGATGGCCGGCACGGCACACGAGGGGGTGGGTGGCCAGCAAACACGCCCGGCCGCCTTTGTCTCCCCAGTGGCGATGTTTACACACCGCACCAGGTACTCGTTTGAGTCGACTGAGAGGAGGCCCATGGGGCCATGACTGTGACTCACACACACACGCCCCGAGTCACACCCCACTGTCAAGTTCTATCCTTTAGAAAGACAACCTCAGCTGTGACTGTCAAGCAACCTCCATTAAAGGTGGGTGCGATTGCTTGAGAAATCGATTACAAATGATCTGCTCGATTAACTCGCCTCATCAGATGACACGAACAAGGCTGTAAAAAGTCTCACCTCTTCCCCGATGCGACAATGTGAGCATGACCACAATTACAACAATGTTTAGTCGACTCAACAAACTGTTCAATCTCTAATTGCCCACACCGCAGGCTACGGCTCCACAGTGGTCGGGTTCTTACAGCAGCAGCTGGGTCTGCAGCGCCGGCAAGTGCTGACGCTCCTTCATCCTGGAGCGAGAGAAGATGTTGTTCTCCTCCTCGTGCAGGGAGTGGCGGTCGTTGGTGCAGGGCGCGTCGACGAGCACGCGGTCGTACACGCCGCGTTCCTCCGCGGACTTGAGCCAGAAGATGCCGTCGCGCGTCCTCACGCTCACGCCACGCGCGGGAACGCCCGCCTCCCCGGCGTCACGCGGGACGTAGGTGCGCAGCACGCGCTGCAGGCGGGCGGTGCGGGACGCCGACACGTCGTTGGAAGTCAGGTGGTCTGCAACGCACGGGTGCCCCCCGTCTCGGTCAGTTTGGGTGAAATGCCGTTCAGTGTCTGTCGCGTTTAACGCTCCACACTCAACAGCTGGTGTGGTAATGCTGTTCTCGTAATTTGTGTTCGGAGCGTTTAAGGATTTGTCAACGGGTCAGTGGTATCGCAGTGGAGCAGTGGTTAGCACACTGCTATGAGCACGGCGAGTTGTGATTAATATCTGGTCGGTGACGAGCGATATCCAAATCAGGTCCTGACACCACCTTTATGAAACCCGCACTGACCAGCGTGACGAAGCCAAACAACCCCCAGGACTCGCATGCGGGCTGTACATGTGCACAGGGTAGAGTCACACCATGTGCGTGTGCGTGCGTGCTTGTCATCTCGGTCATCTCGGTCAGTCGACCCGTGGCAACTGGGTCTGCCCCGTGACCTCCTGCCAGCGGGCGTTCGACACTTCACGTGGCCTCAAGGTGCACATGGCCTGGCACAAGCGTCGTGGTGACGTCACCGCCACTTAGTGGCGAATGGCGGTTGTTGTTGTGCGTGTGCGTGCGTGCGTGCGTGCGTGCGTGCGTGTGCGTGCGAACGACGGGGTGTCCACGGTGCCAGCTCACCGCAGCACGCCGTCTGCAGCAGCGCGAGGGTTTTGCCGCCGGGAGCGGCACACAGGTCGAGCACGCGGTGCCCGAGCTGCACGTCCAGCGCCAGCACGGGCAGCAGCGACGCCGCGTCCAGGAGGTAGTGGCTCAGCAGCCGCAGCGCTCCTGCGGGCCTGCGCAGGAGCGCGGTGCAACAAACTTGGGTCAATTGCAAGATAACTGCATTGTGCTTTCAGAAAGAAAACCACTGTAAATGTAGTTGTAGTTGAGACCCCAGGCCTGCACAGGACAACAAGCATCATGACCACCGGGGGTGTAACGATGCAATCGATTGATACTTTCATATCGATTCAAAAGTTCACAACACATGCATTACATTTCCGAAGAGTTCATGATTTGAGAATCATACAAATGTGCTGTTCTTCATCGTGTTGTGCCTGGACTGCGGCCTGCACCCGGGGCATCCCCTCACCTAGGCTGTGGGAACCGGGAAATATCGCCGCGGGGAAAAGTGAAGCATCTGATGTTGGGGCTCAGCCGGAGGGTGGACAAAACGCTGCCCTCCAGCAGCAAGGACTTTCCCAGCTCGCCCCCTTCATCAGCAGATGGAACAGATGGACACGGAGCGCTGTCTTCACGACTCTCTCGGCCGCCCTCATCACGCGGCTTCTCCGCAGTCGGCTCCACGGCGTCTCGCCCGGCAAGGCTCCTCGTCACCACGTCCCGCACCAGGTCGACCGCGCCAAGGCGCCGCAGCTCGTCGCCGGTGCCGTCAGTGTCGGCCCAAGCGTTGACGAGGGCCCCGTACTTGCGCTCGCACAGCAGCGCCAGGCGCGCCGACTCCCACATGTGGCCCAGCTGGAGACCGTAGGTCGCATCCATGAGCTGGAGGGCCGCCTGCGTGTTGGGCACCTTGGTCCTCGTCGCGGCCTGGGCATTGACGAGGCAGACGTTGCATTACGAATGAAATCGGTAAATGACGAGAAAAAAAACCATAGTGACAGAATGTACGCATGTATGTGTTGAGCTTCTTTCGCACCAACCGTGCTAATCAGAGGTGCGGGGGAAGTACAACAAACTAAACACATACAAAAACTGTTCTTGAAGAAAATGTTACCAATACTACCCGAGTTTGATTCCAGGCCACTACGAACATGATTGTGATTGACCGTTTCTCTCCACCTGATGAAGAGCGCTTGTGTTGCGATCAAAACGTCGTGGGGTTTTTTGCTTTTAATTTAGATTTTTGTTTTCCATCTACGTGAATTTAACAAAAGAACCAAGAATATGAAGAGTGATACTAGAACCGGTCCGGGATCTCCCTGCTTTCACTAAACTGCACTGAACTTTATTAATCCACTGCTGGATCAAGGCCTCCCCACGCTGTGCAGGTCGTGGGGGGGGGGTGATTTAACCATACTTCACCAGAATGGTAAGTGCGGGTCGGTGAATACTGGCACCATAGACGTTGGCGCATCGTACTGTAAGAGTAAAACAATGGAAATGTCTGCACTGCCCTTCTGCCGTCTGCCAAATCCCCCTTAGCCGCCTATGACAAGCTTGCATGCACGGTGGTTGTGTATCCCAAGCACTATCCAGTCTTAAAATCCTGCTTGGCTTCTGAGAATTGCAGAGTCAGCAGTGGTGGCTGAGCTATAAACTGGTCGGGAGGGCTTAATTTCAGCTGGAGCTCCGTAAAACATGTCCCGTACCCGGCACATCACATCCAGTCCACAGTTCGCTACAGCCCATGGTTTAGAGTGGTCACGGCGGCTATACCAGTTATAACAGTGGTTATACTCGTAGCCGTGCGACTACTGGTCAGCGTGAGAGCCACTAGTTACAGTGGTGAGTGTAACACTGATTACACTGTGTAACACGAGTCACACCACACCAGTCACACCACACGAGTCACACTACACCAGCCACACCACCCAATTCACACCACACCAGCCACACCACACCAGCCACACCATACCATACCAGCCACCGGAGTGACACCGCACCAGTCATACTACACCAGTCACACCAGCAACACCATTCACACCACATCAGTCACACCACACGCGTCACACCACCCGTCACACCACACCAGGCTCACCACACCACACCACACGAGTCACACCACACCATTCACACCACACGAGTCCCACCATACCACACCAGGCTCACCACACCACACACACCACACCAGGCTCACCACACCACACGAGTCACACCACACCAGTCACACCACACACACCACACCACACACACTACACACACCACACCACACACACCACACCAGTCACACCAGTCACACCACCCAGCCACACCACACCACACACACCACACCACCCACACCAGTCACACCACACCAGCCACACCACACCAGTCACACCACACCACACGAGTCACACCACACAAGTCACACCACACCACACGAGTCACACCACACCACACACACCACACACATCACACCACAGCACACCAGTCACACCACACCAGGCTCACCAGCCACACCAACCACACCACACGAGTCACACCACCCCAGCCACACCACCCCACACGAGTCACACCACACCACACCACCCACACCACACCACACACACTACACACACCACACCACACCAGTCACTTCACACCACACACACCACACCACACACACCACACCAGTCACACCACACCACACCACACACACTACACACACCACACCACACACACCACACCAGTCACACCACACCACACACACCACACCAGACTCACCAGTCACACCACACGAGTCCCACCACACCACCCCAGGCTCACCCACTTGTTCTTGACGCGGTGCCGCCTCTGCTCGTGGTCCCAGCCTCTCGCGGCGCGCGGCAGCGGCCGCAGCAGCAGCGGCCTCGCCAGCGGCCACATGGTGGCACACAGAGTCTCTGTCGATTATTACGATGTCGTTGTTGTTGTTGTAGATTGTTGTTGTAGATTGTTGTTGTTGTAACGCTCGGCGTGGGCGACTGTACAACACTGCGATCTATCCGAGGGCCTTGGGGCCTCCCTCCCGGGTGACGTCACTGCTCGGCGCTGATTGGCTGCGGGCGTCATCCAGCGTGGGGAAGGCGACGCCGGGCGACAGCGGACGGTGGAGGAGAGGTCACGTGGTGGAGAAGTCACGTGGTGGTGAGGTCACGTGGTGGAAGAGAGGTCAGTGTAGTAGAAGTCACGTGGTGAAGTCACGTGGTGGTGAGGTCACGTGGTGGAAGAGAGGTCACGGTGTAGTAAAGGTCACGATGGAGGAGAGGTCACGTGGCGGAGAGGTCACGGTGGAGGAGAGGTCACGTGGTGGAAGAGAGGTCAGTGTAGTAGAGGTCACGGTGGTGGAGAGGTCACGTGGTGGAGAGGTCACGTGGTGGAGAGGTCACGGTGGAGGAGAGGTCACGTGGTGGAAGAGAGGTCAGTGTAGTAGAGGTCACGTGGTGGAGAGGTCACGGTGAAGGAGAGGTCAGTGGAGGAGAGGTCAGTGCAGTAGAGGTCACGGTGCAGTAGAGGTCACCGTGCAGTAGAGGTCACGGTGTAGTAAAGGTCACGGTGGACGAGAGGCCACGTTAGCAGCAGCATCATCGTCGTCAACAAAGATCCCCCGTATAGCCTCTAACAGACTGTTGGGGCAAGTGCTGATAGCGGCACACGAGGGGGTGGGTGGCCAACACCACACCCGGCCACCTTTATCTCCTTCAGTGGCGATGATCACACACCAGGCACTTATTTGAGATTGCGTCGACCTAGGGGAGGCGCAGGACCGGTTCAGATAATACCGGACGGAGTCACTGATGTTGGCCGTGAACAGGAATCGAACTTGGATGGTCGGGTTCGGAGCGCAACGCACTACCACCACCGTCATCATCAACACCATCAACACTGAGAACGCTCATGAGAGACTACGATAAAGTCTGGTTCCCAAGAGTGACCTGCATCAGCAAAATGTACTGAAGCAATCGCATGAAACAATCCAACAATAAAGCAAATAGAAATCAGAGCAAAAACATCCGCTATGGAGGAAATCGAAACAGCACCAATTAATATTAAATAAAATAAATTTGTTGGCTTGGGCAAATTGATTTTAGAAACCATAGCAGAATTTAATGTATAGGAGCATCCAAATACATGTTTATGATAATATCAAAGGCAATTGCAATAAAGTATGACTTCACTATCATTCACAACTCTATCACCATTATCAACATCACTAAACCTTATCAACATCACAGTCTTCTTGGTTCTTTCGGTAAAGTCACGTAGAAGGGAAATAATAAAATAATAAAAATAAAACATAATAAAATAATTCTCACGACGTTTCGGCCACAACGCAAGCAGCCGTCCTCAGGTGAAGACCAGGTCTGTCGGGGAGACAGCCGTCCTCAGGTGAAGACCAGGTCTGTCGGGGAGACAGCCGTCCTCAGGTGAAGACCAGGTCTGTCGGGGAGACAGACCTGGTCTTCACCTGAGGACGGTTGCTTGTGTTGTGGCCGAAACGTCGTGAGAATTATTTTATTATGTTTTATTTTTATTATTTTATTACTTCCCTTCTACGTGACTTTACCGAAAGAACCAAGAAGATGAATCCTTGCAGTCACGAAAGCTTTAAATCGAAATTTAACATCACAGTCATCAATACCATTATCAACACGAACATAATCACTGTCAGCACCATGAATTACAATTAACGCCATCATTGTTGTTACTATCAACATTTAATCACTAATAACGTTGCTCTCATCAGTACAGTTTAAACTGATAACAGCAACCAACGAACATGATGACCATCAAGTTACAATCGACGCCACTACTCGAGGCGGCCAGCAGATGGCAGCGCATCAATGTGCCAGGTCCATTTGGATTCCGTGGCTGAGTCTTGCGAATTGATTCTAGATTTGAAGCTTTCGTGACTGCAAGGATTCATATTCTTAGGTTTTTTCGGTAAAGTCACGTAGGTAGGTAAAAAAATGTAAATTAATAAAAGTAAAATAAAATAAAAAATAAAAAATAAAATAAAAATCACGACGTTTCAGAGGCAACACAAATAAAAATCACGACGTTTCAGAGGCAACACAAGCTTCCGTCTTCAGGTGGGACCGTCACAGCACGACACCTGAAGACGGAAGCTTGTGTTGCCTCCGAAACGTCGTGATTTTTATTTTATTTTACTTTTATTAATTACCGACGTGACTTTACCGAAAAAACCTAAGAATATCTTGCTAATTGACTCCATCTGTGCAGAACTTTGTGTGGCTTTCCTCTTCGTTTGCGTGGTGGGGCTTCTCATGCTCCTCTGGTTTCCTCCCATACGAGGCCAGATTATCATCCCAATGTAACAGGTCCCCTCTGAAGGTGTTAGTTTTGTACCAGTTTAAAGGGTAAAAACCTACAACTATATTTTGCCACTGGTAAAGGAGGTCTCATAGTGTAAATGCTTCCCCCGAGTTCTCAATACTCTGATAGTGCACTGTTTTTGAGTTGTACGCCTTTTGGCGTCATCTGGTCCAACACCAATGGAGACTAGGCTCTAAGGAAAGCTGTCTCGGGTGTGGACCAATCAACTTCAAGGACAGTGCATATCATTACCATTATCAGAGTTTTTTCTTTTTGTTTGCATTTTGACTGCTTGTGTTGCGGTTATTGCAAACATGATGCCTTGTATAAAGGTGTCAGTTTTGTACCAGTTGAAAGGGTAAAAAAAACCTACTACTATATTTTGCCACTGGTAAAGGAGGTCTCATAATGTCAACAGTTGTGATACCATTAACAGGACAGCGCTGTGTCAATCTACTGCTGGATGAAGAGCCACAAGACGCTCCCCTCGCCCACTTCCTCGACACTGTGACAGTTGTGGGGGTTGTTTGGCCATCACCACGCTGGTCAATGTGGTTTGGAAGATGCCAATGACCAGTTCGGACATCACTCGCCACTGATATCAGCCGTGGCCGAGAATTGAAACTCGGCTCGCCGGGTTGAGAGCTCGGTTATATAAACAAGACAATACAAGAAGTTGTTTAAAAAAATAAATAAATAAACCATACAAGAAAATCTGAAACATTTATAATCGTTTTCTTTGATAAGGTTTGGTGATGTTGATAAGCAAATACCGCCACGTCAAGCTACAATGTAGTTATTTGTTATTTTCTTTAAACCTATCTTCGTGACTTTACCTAAAGACACACAGAATATAAATTCCTGCTGTCACGAAAGCTTTAAGTCAATTATAGTCGTGTTCACGAATCGTGACAGTTGATGGGCGATGCGTGACAAGGGGAACAGCAGAGCAGAGCAAGCAGACATCGTCACGTCAGCACTCTTCACACTCTTCACAGCCGAAAGCCACGTTGGTCGAGTAGAGGTGGGGATTTAATTTCATCCGGAAAATATGTCCGCATCCCCGCACACCAACATCCAGTGCACATCCCGCCCTGGCCGTGGCTACTCGTCACGTGCCACCTTCTGGTGTCCCAGCCTCCTGGGGAAATTCTAGATTTGAAGCTTTCGTGACTGCAAGGATTCATATTCTTAGGTTTTTTTCGGTAAAGTCACGTAGGTAAAAAATAAAAAATGAATAAAAGTAAAATAAAAAATAAAATAAAAATCACGACGTTTCGGAGGCAACACAAGCTTCCGTCTTCAGGTAGAACCGTCACAGCACGATAGCTGTATCAAGTGAGAACGGAAATTTTATTAATTTTAAAATTTTACCTACGTGACTTTACCGAAAAAATCTAAGAATATGAATCCTGGGGAAATATTGGGCGAGACGTTTAAACGTCGGTGTAGGAATTAAGCAGGAAATGTCTGTAAATAAAGGCAAAACTATCCTAGCAGTGGCAGCGTGAAGGACAGACAAAACCCGACGTTTTGAAACAATGGCCTTGCACAGCCGTGTCGTAATGGTGTTGAACTTATAATTCTAGATTTGAAGCTTTCGTGACTGCAAGGATTCATATTCTTAGGTTTTTTCGGTAAAGTCACGTAGGTAAAAAATGTAAATTAATAAAAGTAAAATAAAAAATAAAATAAAAATCACGACGTTTCGGAGGCAACACAAGCTTCCGTCTTCAGGTGGAACCGTCACAGCACGATTGCTGTATCATACAGCTTTTATTAATTTGAACTTATAAGCCACAGGTCCGGGGCATGGGCGTGCGCGTTTCCCGTGCCTCCACGCCCCTCCTCGACACGCTCCTGCTCAGCACATTCCTGCACAGGTGAAATGTGCCGCGGCCACGATCCGAGGCCCTCAAAGAGTCCGTGGCTCGCGATTCACTCCAGCACATGAAGGTCACAAAGCCTCAAGCCACTCAGCCACTCAGACGCAAAGACAAAGATCCCCCCCGTATAGTCTCGACAGAACGTTTGGGCAAGTGCTCGCCATTCGCAAGTATCTACGGAGGCCAACACAGCACATGACGGAATTGTGTGGTCAGCACCACGCGAGGCCAGGTGCTCACTTAAGGCTGAGTCGACCTAAGGGAGGCTCAGGACCGGTTCCCGTATTTGTCGATGGCGTTGCTAACCATCATCATCATCATCACTTAACCACGAACAAAACGCCCCGCGCGAGTGCGTGCGTTACATCCCACACGCTGCGCCACCCATTAGCCACTGCTCATGTGTCGTGACGAGCCATGATCTATCCACTGCTAGACGAAGTCGTCAATATCATCGTGCTCCTGCGATGCCGCAAGCCATCTCACTCCGCACGCGAGCTCATCGATCAGCTGCTTGACCATTACTGTACATCTTCTTGGTTAATAATAAAAATAAAGCATAATAAAATAAATATTTTATAATGCTTTATTTTATTATTTCCCTTCTACGTGACTTTACCGAAAGAACCAAGAAGATGAATCCCTGCACTCACGAAAGCTTTAAATCGAAATTTATTACTGTACACTCAATCAATACATACATTTTGTTTGTTTAAGATGAACATTATATGTTGAAATAGTTCATTAATATCCCTTGGGTGCTTTGTAGCCTGGGGAAACTTACTTTGGCGGTAACATGAATGAATTGTTTAACTTGTAATCATGGCCCAATGAGTAACTCCCAGCATATAGAACTTGACGGATCAGTCCCCACAAAACTGCATCTTCATCTCCGCGCGCCTCATCACCGGTCGTGATCGATCCACTGCTGAATGAAACCCTTCCCAAGCCCGCGAGGATTGATCGTCATGCAGACGATCAATCCTCGCGGGGGAGCTGCGTCCGAGCTCGTCGTATCGCTCCATCTCCGCAGGGTCGTCCTCGCGGGCGTCTCTCTTCGTGTGTCTGCCATGGTGATGTTCGAGACAGCGAGATTCGGGATGATGCTCGTGGGTTTTCACTTTGGACCATTCCTCGCCACCCTTCCTCTTGCTGCCCACGCAGGGACGTGACATGGGTACACTTCGGGTCTGGGGTGTTTGAGGATTGGTGGGGTTTTTTGTTGTGTGTGGTTCTTTGTTGAATTTCCTTTTGAAAAAGATAACATACAGAGAAGTAGTATACATTAGCCTGGGATCGATTAACTGCGTTTGTGTTGTATTCGCCCGTATTGTGTGGGTGTGTGTTTGTATGGCTCGTTTTTTCAATACACTACTGTAACTGCTTTTGTGTTTGCTTCTCTGTAACCCGGGTCTACCTCGCCAAATACGCAGCACAATATAACCTCAGCGACCTCCACCTACACGTACAGCCTTCTGTGTCCCCTCGCCTGTAGGTGCCGAAGTGGCCAGAGCCACGCCTGCTCGCCTTTGTCTCCCCGGTGCTGCTGATGTGTACACCCCGCGGCAGCTGCTCGCTTGAAGTCCTGAGTGGACTTTGGGGGTGTTCAAGACCAGTTCAGGTATTCTTCACCGATGTTGGCCGTGCGCGAGAATTGAACTTAGGTGACCAGGGTTCGTGGCGCGCTGCGCTAACCACTGCACCCCCCCCCCCCCCCCACATATGCACCCAGAAACAAAACAAACACACGCACTCACTCACTCCCAGACACACCGAGGGACGCATACAAAGACATGTCCAAAGAAAATTGCATAAATGCCCAAGAGACAAAGATCCCCCGTGTAGCCCACGTCGAGAGTGGGGCCGGCCGCTGTTGACCGTGAAATGGAACTCGGGTTGTGTGTTCGCTCACCACTCTGCCACCGCACACATACACAAACACATTAGGTATACACAGACACATTAAGTATACATAGACACATTAAGTATACACAAACACGCAAACGCGCGGACACAAAGACCTTTTGGGGCAAGTGCTGTTTGCGAACACATATGAAGGCCAGCACCACGCCCGGCTGGCTTTGTCTTCCTAGTTACGATATTTACACACAGGACCAGGTACTCGTTTGAGGCCGAGTCGACCTAGGGAAGGGACAAGGACCGGTTCCTATAATCGTCACTGGTTCCGGCCGTGAGCGGGAATCGAACTGGGGTCACCAGGTTCGTAGCGCAATGCGGCACCACCGCTCCTTCGACACGCAAAGACACACCCAGACACACACACACCCAGACACACACAGACACACACACGCACACACAGACACACCCACACACACACCCAGACACACACAGACACACACGCACACCCAGACACACACAGACGCACACCCAGACACACAGACACACACAGACGCACACCCAGACACACAGACACACACACACACCCAGACACGCACACCCAAACGCACACCCAGACACACACACACAGTCACACACACGCACACCAAGACACACGCACACCAAGACACACACACGCACACCCAGACACACGCACACCAAGACACACACACGCACACCCAGACACACACACGCACACCAAGACACACACACGCACACCCAGACACACACACGCACACCAAGACACACACACGCACACCCAGACACACACACGCACACCAAGACACACACACGCACACCCAGACACACACACGCACACCAAGACACACACACGCACACCCAGACACACACACGCACACCAAGACACACACACGCACACCCAAACACACGCACACCAAGACACACACACGCACACCCAGACACACACACGCACACCAAGACACACACACGCACACCCAGACACACGCACACCAAGACACACACACGCACACCCAGACACACACACGCACACCAAGACACACACACGCACACCCAGACACACGCACACCAAGACACACACACGCACACCCAGACACACGCACACCAAGACACACACACGCACACCCAGACACACGCACACCAAGACACACACACGCACACCCAGACACACGCACACCAAGACACACACACGCACACCCAGACACACGCACACCAAGACACACACACGCACACCCAGACACACCCAGACACACGCGCGAGGAATTCCAAGTCACGCCCGCCCTAGTTACACGTGTACAAGCGGCGATGACGCGCGCCCACGCGACCTGCTGATGATGATGATGCCCCACGCAGCGCCACTCCGCCGTGCACACTCCCATCGTCACTCCCATCACTCGGTCCATCGCAGCCAGGGCTAAGGCGACGACGGATAACCGCGGGGGCACCCCCTCTCGCCCGTTCCCCACTCGCCCTCCTCCTCCTCCTCCTCCGTCCCGTCTCGGGTAGGGACGCGAACCGTCGGCCCTCGCCCGCCTGGATCACAGCGCAGCGAAGATGCGCGCCGCCGCGTGGATCTTCGTGCTGGCTCTTGGAGTCTGGCTGCACCCCCTCGCAGACGCCGGTGAGTGACTCCCTGGGCAACCCCCTCCTGCACCACCCACCCCGCAGACACTTGGGCTAACGCAGCCTCTCCCGCACGCTTGACGCGAACAGCGTGCGCGCGTTTCTCGCTCGAAATGTTGTCGCGAACGCGGCGCGGCCGACTTGCGAGGCGGGGATTATAGGTGTGTATGGCACTGCGGCTGGAGTTCACGCGGTATGTCGGTCTGTCCCAATGGACCGGCAGCGTTTGACCATATGTTGCTATGATCCTGGCAAGCTCAGCATCGCGAGGACAGAATGAGTCGAGGTGGATGCGTGGTCCGAACAAAGCGCCCGGGAAACAGCGATCCGGACTGTCACGGCTGATATAAAGCGCCGATCTTAGCTGAAACTCACCCCCGAAACTCACCCCTGAGACCCGCACGCAGAGTGCGCTGCGCGTATCTGACTTACAACTCGCCCCAAACCTTACCCTCCGAGATTCCTGACCATTAAAGTTAACCCTGAGGGTAATCTACGGCTAACCTCCGAGCCCATATCCCTCACCCTAAGTAGCTCCGGCCCTGAACCTGACACCTGACTCGGAGCACTCACCTACCCACTCACCTACCCACTCTCACCCACTCACCCACCCACTCTCCTACCCACTCTCACCCACTCTCCTACCCACTATCACCCACTCTCACCCACTCACCTACCCACCTACCCACTCACCTATCCACTCACCTACCCACTCTCACCCATTCTCCTACCCACTCTCACCCACTCACCTACCCACTCACCCACTCACCTACCCACCCACTCACCCACCCACTCTCACCCACTCACCTACCCACCCACTCACCTACCCACTCTCACCCACTCACCTACCCACTCTCACCCACTCACCTACCCACCCACTCACCTAAGCTCATCGTAGCTGCTCGGCTGTGTACGCGTCAGTCGACGCTCTGAAGACCCTTGCACACGAGATGTTTTCTTTTAAACGCTTTGTTCTTCCATGAAAAAATAAAATAATAATCGTTCAGTTCCGCTTTCGTTAAGCAAACCGAAATAGAATCCAGTATCTAACTTCATCATCATCACAATCACTCAACCACTGCTGGATGATGGCCTCCCCAAGCCGCAGTCAGCTCCCGCGATCCTGCGATGTGATGACCCACACGGCACCTGCCTCTCTACACGAGGAGCTGATTTCATTGCTCCATCTCCCCGGTCGACGTCCTCTTGGGTGCGTTTCGTTCCGAATGTAACCATAATCACAAAGCAACAATAATCCTGGCCACACCATCACCATTCGAGGGGAGCGGGAATCGTGAGCGGGAATCAACGGATTCAGGTGGACACACGGAGGCGCGTGTACAGATACAAAGTATCCCAAATACAGACGTAGCCTTTAACAGACTGTTGGGGAAAGTGCTGTTAGCGAGCACCTATGAAGGCCAGCACACGAGGGGTGTGTGCACGATGCCCGTCGGCCTTTGTCTCCCCAGCGGTGATGTTTACACACCGCACCAGGTACTCATTTGAGGCTGAGTCGACCGAGGGAAGGGTCAAGAACCGGTTCAGAATCTGTATTTATCCTGGAGAAATCCGATGAGTCATGAAGTTATTTTTCACAGATGATGCCCAGTCGAAGCGGGTCAGAAAGTAACAACAGCAAACGATACACAAACACGACACGAGTGCACAGATGCCCGTCACTGGTGTTGGCCGTGAGCGGGAATCGAACTCGGGTCGCCGGATAGCGCAGGTGCGCTAACCTCTACACTACCGCACCCCACATCACACAGCACCGTGTGTGTACACACGTGTACACGTGCACGTGTGTGTGTGTGTATACACACAGCACCGTGTGTGTACACAACACACATACACTTGTACACACGTGTACACTTGCACGTGTTTGTACAGACACACACTTGTACACAACACACATACACTTGTACACACGTGTACACTTGTACGCACACGTGACGTGCGCACAGAGGAACGCGTGTCAGCAGAAACGTCTCGGCCGACGCGGGGAGTGATGGGATGAGCAACTCGTCCATTGTGTGTTGTCACGTGGGGGGGGGGGGGGGGTGCCTGGAGCAGCAGCAGCAGTCACGCGTTGTGCACCCTCGGGCTACACACACACACAGAGAGAGGGATCGAGGGAGGGGTTCATTGGGCCCTGGCGTACAGCAGCAGATACGATGCCGATGAGTCCCAATGCGATGCATGTACGTTGAACTTCTTTCGCACCGTACGTAGCCAACCGTGCTAATCGGAGGTGCGGGGGAAGGAGTGACAACTCACCTCTCCACTAAAGAGCACATCGCAATACTTTACAGTATAGATTGAACTAAGGTAGTCCTTCCTATAAAATCAAGACACGTAAAAATATCAATATAACTAAACACAAAAATGAGTTCAAGTGAAATGGGTTTTCAATGTTGATTCAAAAGTGCATGGCTCCAGTGTGCACGCTGGTTATGTTGTTTATTTTTCACCAGAAATCCCGTCGCGGAGTGAGTTGCTAGAATCGATCCTTGTCGATACGATGCTACACGCCACTCGTGCTGGCTATGTCGCGACTCAATAGTGATCGAATGTGTCAGAGAGCCCCGATATGAAAATTGCAGGACCTGACCGCGCTATCTTTACTCCAATTCCTGCACTCGCTAAATCCTCACCGGGTCCACGGTGCAGTGGAAGGAGGCCAAAGACAAATATCCCCCGTATAGCCTTCACAGACTTTTGGGGCAAGTGCTGTCAGCGAGTAAACACCTATGATGGGAATGCCCCCCCCCCCCCGTAAATACTCCCAACGCCACGCGTACGGACACGGATGAACACGATTTGTAAACAGTTGCGCACAGATGCGTTCACGAACCCAATTTGCTGTGCCCCGATAGCTGCTGCTGCTGGTAGGTCAACCTCGCAGCAAAATCGGTACAACTCCTACGGCAATACTCTTAGGTTTTTTCGGTAAAGTCACGCAGGTAAAAATAATAATTATAAATAATATAAATAATGATAGAAATACAATCATTATTATTTATATTATTTTTTATTTTTTATTTGTTATCTACGTGACTTTACCGAAAAAACCTCAGAGTATGAATCCTTGCAGTCACGAAAGCCTCAAATCTAGAATCCTACGGCAAATGTATAAGATATAGGTTGGTTTACAGCAATACAGTATATAATTTAATGTTGGGTTTATCTATGGCAGTATATAGTACGGTATATGCTCGTGTGATGTAAGAGAATAAGGTTTAGATGGAAGCATATTATAGAATTTTTACGAGGTAAAATTGTAATGTATTACTTGCTGTTAGTAACTCAGCTTATTATAGAGTATAGTAAGTATACTGATGGTGCGATGCAGTTTATACTTTAGTTTTTTATGTAGTTTATACTTTAGTTTTCTACGTGGTTGTTGAGTAACTGCAGCTACATATCATTAACATTCCTTTCCTTTGTTACTGCTAATCCCTGCACCCCCCTTGGTTGCTGCTGATCCTGCATAATGCATGGGCATAATATGACTTTGACACCCCCCCGCCCAACGCCTACGCATTTTCCATGAATATGCTAAATCCCTCTTCACATGCACATTCTTTTTGTTAAGGCGCTCTTCAACCCCCAATGCAGCTTATATATAAGCTCCTAGTTTGGTAGTGTCTCATTCTTCACCTGAGGACGGCTGCTTGCGTTGTAGCCGAAACGTCGTGAGAATTGTTTTATTATGTTTTATTTTTATTATTTTATTACTTCCCTTCTACGTGACTTTACCGAAAGAAACAAGAAGAAGAGAAATATCCACCGTCTCTGTAAATGCGCCTTAGAGACACAACCGCAAGTCTGTTGACGTATGCGCACACGAAAAAAAACACACAAGTCGACTGTATTTTTTGGTGTGGTTTTTTTCCTTAATTAAAAATAAATCGTTCGGCAAGGCGACGTCACCGCTGAGAAGTGCTGAGCGTGGAACAATCAACAACAGCGCCCAGGCGCCCAGTTCGGTAAAGTCACGTAGAAGGGAAATAATAAAAGATTAAAAATAAAACAATAAAATACAATTCTCACGACGTTTCGGCCACGACAGAAGCAGCAGTCCTCAGGTGAAGAACAGGTCTGTCGGAAAGACTGCTTATGCATAAAAAGTACAGAAAGTGGCTATTATTCCCCACAAACTTTGCTTTTGTGACCAGGACAGTGATATTTTGAAATTGACCTATTTTCAATGAGAAAACGGGCGAATTTGTGTCTTTTCGTTCACATAAAGTCAGAAAAAAACATTTGAATTAAAATTAACATGTATTTATACTAAAGTAATAAAAAAATACTACAAAATATTTAGACACCAAGGTGCTTTATGTGAACGAAAAGACACAAATTCGTACGTTTTCTCATTGAAAATAGGACAATTTCAAAATATCAATGTTCTGGTCACAAAAGCAAAGTTTGTGGGGAATAATACCCACTTTCTTTACTTTTGAGTCATAAGCAATTAGGAAATAACACTTACTACCCAGGAACAAAAAACATTTTTGTTACACAGTGTTATCAATGGTGTAGTAACTACATTATCAGTGGCGTAATAACGACATTACCAGTGACGTAGTAACTACATTATCAGTGGCGTAATAACGACATTACCAGTGACGTAGTAACTACATTATCAGTGGCGTAGTAACGACATTACCAGTGACGTAGTAACTACATTATCAGTGGCGTAGTAACGACATTACCAGTGACGTAGTAACTACATTATCAGTGGCGTAGTAACGACATTACCAGTGACGTAGTAACTACATTATCAGTGGCGTAGTAACTACATTATCAGTGGCGTAGTAACTACATTACCAGTGACGTAGTAACGACATTACCAGTGACGTAGTAACTACATTATCAGTGACGTAGTAACTACATCATCAGTGACGTAGTAACGACATTGTCAGCCCAGTGGGTGCGGCAATCGGTCAGGGTGGGGGCCCCCCAATATTTGATTTGTCTCGCACGGTCTAATCACATCGTTACATAAGTGTTTGTGCTCTTTTCATCGCCGTCATGGTGGTTGGCAAATATGAGGGGGGGGGTGCAACTTTTTGGCGCGCGTTCCCCGCTTATTTCAGAGGTTCACGGTTCGAAACCAGCGGCCGCCCTGGTTATCACTGCGATGTTTCAGTGCACGTTAATGAACGCCTGACGTCATTCGCAAAAGGATAGGGGGGGGGGGGGTATTGTGCTGCCGGTGTCAGGATTCAATTTTGCCAAAATTAGAAATTACAGTCCAGCACACAATTGTTATTAGAACAAAGATTTTCCCCGTATGGCCTTAACAGACTGTTGGGGCAAGTGCTGTTAGCGAGTAGCACCTATGAAGGCCGGCACGGCACTCGAGGGGGTTGGGTGGCCAGCACCACGCCCGGGTCTCCCTGTCTCCCTAGCGGCGATGTTCACAGAATACCGCAGGTACTCATTTGATGCTGAGTCGACCTAGGGGAGGCCCAGGCCCGGTTCGGATAATCGCACACAGACAGACAGCGGCAGAAATCCACGTTCACCCACTGCCGGCAGCAGACGAATGCCCCAAGTCACTCGTGCAAACGAGACTCTTCCCCAGGTCCCCGGAGTTCTCACCACCTGGGCGACACAATTACTGCGTCAACTCACGCGCTGATTCGACACGCGTACACGGCACGTGACTTCGTGACGTCACAATGCCCCCCCCCCCCCCCCCCCACATCGGCGTGGGAGCGAGACGCGGGCCGTTCCCCCGACCTTCAAGTGCTGTTAGCGAGCACCTATGAAGGCCGGCACACGAGGGGGTGGGTGGCCAACACGATGCCCGGCCGCATTTGTCTCCCCAGTGGTGATGTTTACACACCGCACCAGGTATTCATTTGAGGCTGGGTCGACCTAGGGAAGGGCCAAGGACCGGTTCAGAATCTCTATTTATCCTGGAGAAATCCGATGAGCCATGAAGCTCTTTTTCACAGATGATGTCCAGTTGAGGCGGGTCAGAAAGTAGCAACAGCAAACGACACAGAAACACGACGGATGCCCACAGATGCCCGTCACTGGTGTTGGCCGTGAGCGGGAATCGAACTCGGGTCGCCGGCTGTGTACACACACGGTGGGTGCTGTGTGCTGTGGGGAGCGGTAGTGCAGCGGTTAGCGCGCCTGGCGAAAGGGGCGGCAATTTCCCGACCTCCCGGTGTGCCACAGCCCAAGTTGGTCTTATCGCTTAAGGGAGCAGCGGGTTTCAGAGCAACGGGTTTATTTACCTGGCTCACGAGTTAATTACTTGATTCATTATTATCAACTCATTGCACGCGGTAACTTCACAATGCAGTATTATTGGCATGGACCTACAACGCGCCTCTCCATGTCTACCAGTGTTCGCCGTTCGAATACACATTTTGTCATTACACGCTCCACGACCCTGATGATTGCGAATAGATGTCGTGTGTGCGTGCGTGCGTGCGCGCTCGTCTCCCATGTGACGTAGAGACCGGTGTTAATTTGAATCGGGAGCTCGACGCATCACGTGGAGATATTGTTGACAAATCATCTGACGCGCACAGCGCGCACAGACTCTTTGTACCTGAGACGCAAAAAAGATTGGCGAGCGTGGAAAGGCAGAGGCGTTGTGGGTTGCGAGGACTGGAGTCTGGGAAACCTTTGAGTAGAGCCATTCGGGAGTCATTCCCTTGCTGATTCGAACACTGAACTCACGTGACCTGGAGTTGGGGTTTAACTCTGCGCTTCTGTCCTCACCACCCCCTCACAGAAAACACCACAACGACAACATTAACTGCGGTTCCATCCAGCACGGTGGCAACAACAACAGCCGTGACGATTGCCAGCACCACCACCACCGGCAGCACCACCGCCACTGCCGCCACCACCTCCGCTGCTGCCACCACCACCACCGCCGCCACCACCTCCGCTGCTGCCACCACCACCACCGCCACCACCACCGCTGTCCCCACTTCGGCCACGTCCCCAGGTGCTTCGACAGCAACAACCACTGCACTTTCTTCCCTTACAATATCCACTTCAGCCACATCCACCACTACACTTGCAAATGCATCCAATACTACACCTTCAAATACATCCACCGCTACACCTACAAATGCATCCACCGCTACACCTACAAATACATCCACCGCTACACCTACAAATGCATCCACCGCTACACCTACAAATACATCCACCGCTACACCTACAAATGCATCCACCGCTACACCTACAAATACATCCACCGCTACACCTACAAATGCATCCACCGCTACACCTACAAATGCATCCACCGCTACACCTACAAATACATCCACCGCTACACCTACAAATACATCCACCGCTACACCTTCAAATGCATCCACATCTCCAAATTCTACTGCAGCATCGCCGTCGATGGCACCGACCCCAGTACCAGGGAGCGAGCCGTCGGCCACCAGCACCACGGCCAACCAGACCACAGGTGAGGAGGGCCTTGCCTGGGCCCTGGGGTTCACGTGGGGCTGGGGGGGGGGGGGTAAGGGACCTTGGATTGGAGGGGTTCCTCAACACACATGTTGTACAGTTTTATGTGCAGTGGTACAAACTCTCACTGCACGTAAAACAATGATCTTCACTAACCTGCTTCCGTTTCTCCATTAAAACAACCCCCATCTCTTCTCCCCAGCCCATGTTGCTACTGCTGCTCCCTGCCCCCCAGCTATAACCAGGCCTACCCCAACCCCCATCACTACCCCTACCCAAATCACTATCACTACCCAATCACTACCCCTATCACTACCCCTATCACTACCCTACCCTATCACTACCCCAACCCCCATCACTACCCCTACCCAACCACTAACACTACCCAAATCACTACCCCTATCACTACCCCAATACCTATCCCAACCCCATCACTACCCCTACACCTATCACTACCCCTATCACTACCCCTACCCAAATCACTACCATTATCACTACCCCAATCCCCATCACTACCCCTACCCAACCACCAGCACTACCCAATCACTACCCCTATCACTACACCTATCACTACCCCTACCCCTATCACTACCTCAACCCCCATCACTACCCAACCCCCATCACTACCCCTACCCAACCACTATCACTACCCAAATCACTACCCCTATCACTACCCCAACCCCTATCCCAACCCCATCACTACCCCTACACCTATCACTACCCCTATCACTACCCCTACCCAAATCACTACCATTATCACTACCCCAACCCCCATCACTACCCCTACCCAACCACTATCACTACCCAAATCACTACCCCTATCCCAACCCCATCACTACCCCTATCACTACCCCAACCCCTATCACTACCCCAACCCCTATCACAACCCCTACACCTATCACTACACCTATCACCACCCCTACACCTACACCTACCACTACCCCTGCCCTTTTTAACCTCTCCCACCTGTTCTCCCTTCACCATAACTACATCACCACTTTTAATAACCCCACTCTTTGTTTCAACCATTATCATGTTATGTACAATTTTATAATCGTTTAAAGCACCTTGGATTAAGGCACTGTATAAATATGTATAAATATGCATATAATACAAGAATCACAAGTAGATAACTTTAAAATGGTTGAAGAAACAACCCGCAGCACTTTGATAAATGCCCCTGGTTAATTGGCAATGAAACCCATAGCATTGCCGCATCGCCGTGGGTTATGAGCCAAAGTTAAAAGTTTTGTTCATTTTTACTTTGATTTAGCTTTACAATTCGTCTATCACGTTTACAAAAGAGCCCTGAAACAGCCAGCAGGGTGAACAACGATGGGAGTGTTTGGCATCATTGGGGCACGGGTGGGGGTTAAAAAGGTTCAGGGAAATTGAATACTATAAACAGAGAGGCTCCCCCCATCCCAAAAAACAAACAACAGCCTTGGCCCCCACCCCCAGAATCAAATTTAATTCAGCATCAGGGTGTTGCCACCTGTTCTGCCACGTGCATTTGGGAAAGGCACATTGGCCCACGTGGGTCAGCTTTCATGTTTGTCTGCCGAGTGAACCATCGGCACCCAGCCTTACTTCTGCGCGTTTTCTTCCCCTCTCCCCCAGTGAACGGCACGGGAGAAACGGGTAAGACGTTTCGCGCTTTGGAGCGATCTCCGGGAGCGTTCCATTTCAGCACGGGTTTCGAACCGTCGGGTTAGGGTCAGGGCTGGTGCAATGGGAGACGGTTAACAGAAATCTCTGAAGGTGGTCTTTGTCGGAAATGTAACGCGATTGAGGTGGCTTTAATGGAACTCGCTTTAATAATTGGACCTCAATTAAAGTTGACAGCAGTGCACCGTGTTCTGCTCGGCAACGGAGGGGTGTGGGAAGAGAAACCTGATAACCCCACGTGTATAGAACTCACGCGACCTTCATCGGCGCCCTCTACAATCCGCTGTTGTTTGTACTGCCATCGCCCCCCACAGATGGCCGCGCAACGATCTTAATTATTGACATGCACTCAATCCGTTTACTGTCACAAACACCCGACCGTGTGGGCAATGAGTTTGTGGGTAATCAAAGTTATTTTCCAGGGCATCTCACAACTGTATCTTGTAACGTTTCAGCCGAATATGTACCCCCAGATGGAAGTTGCGTAGGACACGTGAAGTTTATCCCTTTATTTGTACTTACCTTAAGTGTTTAAAGATTAAACTATTTGAGGTGTTTTCACGCAACCGACCAGTCCTCACCGTGTCTCAGTCGGCTCTCACCTGGCTCTAAGCAGGAGTGATCGATGTACGGCTTACACGCCAACAGCCACGTGAGACCTTCCACTTCGAACCGCTCTGAAAACGGCATTTAGCCGTCGCCGCAAGCCTCCGAGTCGCACGAATCGAGTGCGAGAGGGGAACATTTTCCACCTGCCAGCACCGTGTTTAATCACGTTTCATCACGCTCGGTCATTTGTTGTTTCAAGTAAATCTGAGCATACACAAGTCATTACATAGCGTCCTAGCCAGGCCTCAATTTATCACCGAATATTTTCCCGGGTGGTCGGTTGACCGAAGGTGGTGGCACTGAGCAGTAGCCACCGGCCATGGTGAGAGCTACCAGGGTGTGGTGTGGAAATATATCCTTTGCGTTGCCGATCCGGTCAAATATTTGAAAGCCCTATTCGGCCTTCGGAAAGGAAGGGTGCCCCCATCTGTGGTGCGATGGCAATCGGTGGCTCGTGAAGGCTCGCCCAGTGACCGTAACCCCCCGCCGCCGATGTGCCACGGATGCAGGTGCCACCGTGGATGACCGGGGCGGCTCCTTCCCGCCCGTGGCGACGGCACTCATCGTGCTGCTGTCTCTCGGCGTGATCGCCGCTCTCGGCTTCATCGCCTATCGCCACCTCGGCCCGCAGAAGGGGCCCGAGTTTGAGCGGCTCACGGACCTGCCCATGGTGAGCACACGGCAGTGGCTGAGGTTGTCTCCTGGTCCCCATGACCTCTCGGGCCTTTGGGGCGTTACCACCTCCTACCACTGACATCTCCTTGCACTCCACGCCCATCTCCAGCCCAACCTGTCCCCTGTGAACCCTTCATGGTTATGCTGAGTCCCACTAACATGCCCACAATTGTGCCCTGTGGCTCCCAAAACAACTTCTGCATTTCTTTTTATCGCTGGGACTCAGGATGAAAAATTAAATGCCCCAGAAAAACAGTCCACTATATACGACAAATATACACCAACTAGCATTTTGCCCGTCCAAGAACGGGTGTACTGCAGTAAATCTGAAACTTGCAAGCGAAAAGCAGACCGTGACGTGATATTCATTGCATCAATTCGTGTGCAATTTGTAAGGCCGCGGTGACGCAGACCTATTTCATTTAAAGGTTATAATCCCTTGTTCATCATGACGTCCTTTTTACTTTGATATCTCAACAGCGATACGGAGATCGCGTGACGTGAGGGTTCTGCCTTTGTAGTGAGGGTTGTAAGTTGACGCTGAGGGGGGAGGAGGCGCCTCGCCCCCCCCCCATGTGGAGTGACATCACCCGCTAATTATTAATGAGGGGGGGGGGGTCCATTTGGAGGACGTCACCTGCTCATGATTATAAATGAGGGGGGCTGGTCGACGTGGAGTGACGTCACGCGTGGGCCATACAGACATTCTTGGCTCATAACAGTAGTAAATTAGACGGCCCTTCTTGGGGAAAGAGTTGTCACTGTGCACAGCAGCAACAGCAGCGTGTCTCCCCATTGTTCACGTCCACACACGTCACCAGCAGCAGTGACTCGATGGAGGTGGAGGTTTGACGTCACTGCGAGTCAACAGCAGTGTGCAAACACTCGCCCAAAGTGGATCCCCCTCAACCCCACGAAACCCCACTCCACATCCCCATGACAGATACGTACGTGTGACCGAAAATCGCGATCACACACACGACGCTGTGTCTGTGTGCGCTCTCTTTCAGAACACCCTCAAGGAGGAATCGCCGTTTGCTCGCTACGGGAAATGAGCGGCTGCAACGCCCCTCTCGCAAGGCACGCTCAAGTGTCGCCCCCCGCACTCGCTCACCTCCAAAATCATGTCACCTACAAAATCGCGTCACCTACACAATCGCGTCACCTACACAATCGCGTCACCTACACAATCGCGTCAACCAAAGCCATGGCCGAACAACTTCAAACACAAGCATCCCAAGCGTAAGGTCTGGGCATGGACGTTGAATTCCTCAATACTTAACTTGCGTTGCCAAATTCAAAAGTTTGCGACTACTACACGCGCCTGAATGTATGTATATATTGCGGAAAATAGCACTCGTTGTGTACACTCCCACATGGGAACTTTGCAATCTGCTGGGTATTTCTGGGTCAAGAGGAACTTTATGAGACGTTACCTTTCAGCTTTTCCTTTCTTTTAGGATCGAGGGGGGGCGGTGGTCGTGGGTTAGGGTGGCAATGTCACCTCTCGGGGCCTCGGGATGGTGGCGATGGCTCGTATGCTCCACACACGCCGGTAGAAGATGGCACAGATTGCGCTCGTTGTCAAATTAAACGAGCTCTTTGCCCTGCTCGCCAAGGGGATCTCTCCTGCGGGATGTGGCGTGTTTCACTGGGTTCCTGCAGGACAGGGGATACAAGTGGGAATCCTTCTGCTTCAGCCGATGGCCACGATGCCGGCCGAACGTGACGGGCACTTAAGAAATAAAAACGGAGCCGTCATCCGGGATAATCGTGGACTCTTGTTCGAGTGGTGTGCCTGTCAAGGTGGGTTTCTATGTAAAGAAAGTTTGACTTTTCCATCGGATGAATTACAAACACATCCCAACTCGTGCGCCGTTTACGTTGATCTGCGCGTTCAGGTGGTGCACGGCGCACAGGCTTGATTGGCATGGTTGGCTATGTATGGTGCAAAAGAAGTTCAGCATACATTGATGAGGGTTTGTCAAACATACCATGAAAATATGCAAAGAACATTTTCTAATCCATAAAGTTCAACATGTTTTATTTCACGTAGACGCACACCAGGCCCGCTACGCATTATCCGAAGCATGACTGTACTTGGTAAGTGTACTTGGGCCAGGAATTACACTCCAAAACACTGAGCAGCTCCCATATCCTGCCCTGGACAGTGTGTTTTATTACCCCTCTCATAGTGAAGACATCCAACGCAGAGCATGAACACAAGCCTGCGTGTCATCATGAGGCATCATAGCCACGTAGTGGCACGTCGATTCATATGCTCACAAAAACATGCCTCTACATCACACGTAAAATAACTGATCGTATTGGCACTTTGGGTGAATGAACCCCGCAGCCACTGAAGGGGATATTCACCGCAAAGTTAAAAAAAGAACACGTGTACAGCTCTTGTCATTCTACTGTTGAACGAGGGCCTTCCCATGCCGTGGTTGGGAGGGGGTTATTTGACCATACTTCACCGCGCTGGTCACTGCAGGTTAGTTGAAAGCGTATAGCATAAACATTGGTGCGTAGAAGTACAGCGCAATGGGAATTCACTGCGCTGCCCCTCTGCTGCCCACCACACAGCTCCGCAGCACGTAACACCTGTTTTAGATGATGCTCGTTCATTCAAGTACTGTACCTATATCCAGGCTCAACCCTGGACAGTTTCCGAGATATGACTAGATCCGACGACGCATTCCAGGCGATTTGGACATAGGCCTCATTCTTAAATCGAATCAAGATGCCCCCCGCCAGCCCAAATCACCAGCGCAGCACGCGAACGCGATGTGTGGATAAGGGGCAGCAACGGGGGTGTTGGCGATGCTGGCTTGGAGAGTGGTGGGGGAATGGGGCCACTTTCCAGCGGAGCGATTCACGTGGAATTCATCGCCCGGGGAGCTGGGTCCAACAGCACGGCCAAGCGCGTGAGAGAGAGCGAGTTCACCGCCCACTCTCGGCAGGGGCTCAAAAGTTCGAATCGAGCGGCCTCCCTGATTAACACTGCCGAGTGTGTTCGTTAATTTAATAATGCGCGCTGTCTGTTTCACGGCGGACGTTAAAGATTCCGTGAAGGTACAAGTAAAAAAAAATGCACCCGCAAACTACAGCGTGCTACTCAATTGGCATTCCACCCCGACGAATTATCGCTCCCCACCCCAACTGCGAAATATATTGGCAGGACGCTTCATGAAAAAGTCACGAGAACTCGTCGACGCTCTCTCCCGGATAAACAAAGTGTCGGCAACGGCAATCAAAGCAAGGTGGCCACGCGTCGTGAAGCACGTTAAAAGTTTTATTATTTCGGGGGGGCGGGGGGCGTGGGTGAATCTCCTCCGGAACGTACGGCACCGAATTCGCACACAAGGACGACGGAGGGTTGGGGGCGCACGACAGCAAACGGAAGCCGGGGGACTCCTTCCTTTCCCGAGGCAATCCCGAGGAGTGCCGGGGGGGGGGGGGGGGGGAGACGCATGCAAGGGCCCCCCCCCTTCCCCCTCCTCTCTGTGCCTCTCGACAGCGCACAAACTAAACCCCCTCGACTGGGAGAGCAACGGGAGGGGGGGGGAAGGTGCCAGCGCTGTTGTCACAAAAGGCAATGAACGGAAAAGGCAAACGACGACGCAACTTTACGTTAATAGTATAATAATCGAATCGCAGAAGTAAACATCACAAATAAAAAGGAATGCGTTTCAAGGGCACGTAAATGATCTGGAGTAAGAAATTAAATAGCGCGTCATAAGTGGCTATGGCCCTGGACGAACCCACCTTGCAGTAGTTCCAAAAGGGAACAGACCCCAATTCAATGTCTCCAGGTGGAGTGGGACTAACAAGCAAAACTTTTGCTAGGATCCAAAAACTAAATTTATTTACAATTATAAAAGCTATGACCAACCACGTGGAAGGGATTCCTGACAACAAGTCTATGCTTTTTAACCTCATAACAAGAGTGTAAGTGTTACTCAACGGACTGTAGGCTCGTTAATGTACTTTTCCTTCAATTTGCTCAATAAAAGTGGCGGCCACATGCAGACGTCACAGTATTTGGTTAGGATCTGTAGTCAAGTACATTTAGGTTAATTTGTATTATCTTATTTAAATAAAACTACCGTCACAATGTTATTGCATTACAATTAAAACACTGAAATGGTTAAATTACGAGGCCCCATATGCAACTCCAAAAACGACAGAAATGTTTATGCGACATTGGGAACGTGACGGACTTCAGATCATCTTCAAGTTTGATTTAACGACAATAATACAGACCATTCAAATCACGAGTTTTTTTTTTACAAGGGCATCAACTCGGTGCACACACAAAACTCCACCTTACCGAGATGGACAGCGACTCGATCACGTGCTAAAGGTCTGGGCCGAGAGCGAGCGAGCGCAGTACCCTGTAAGATCGCTACCTGGCCATGGGCTCGCCCTCCCGGGTTGGTGGTGGGCTCATTTTTTAAATTTAAATCACCACCAGTGCCGACACAAACCAGAAGCTGCAGCGACTACGGTCGTAAGGTACATGGAGGATCCCCAAAGGGGGCGCGCGCGCGCCCATCGAGTGAACGGGGCCAGAAGCTACGCAAGGTGGAGAGGGGCGTGTGTAGTAATGTAGTAAACGACGCGCAGCCCAGAACGAGACGGGCGACGATGGCCACAGCACACGGGGTGGGGGGGGGGGGAGCTCGCACACGAACGGCCGCGTCGACGTCTGCACAACGCAAAGCCGGCGGGATGGGTGGGAGAGGGTGAACGACGTCAGGCTCGGTAAAAACGACACGCACCGCACACACGCCACCATTCGGCACGACTGTTTGCGCCGCATTAACCGTAGGTTCTCGCGAGAAATTGTTTACGGCAAACTACGGGCGTGGTGGTTAAGTAGGGCCGCCCTGCTTGCGATGGCAACGCCTCGCTCATTTTTGCAATAAGTGCAAGTTTTTCTTGACGCATTTCGAACCGGGACAACCTGTTCATGTTCAGTTGTCAAAAAAAAAACAACACGTGGCACTAAAATCACGCAGCAACACGCAGACAAGTAAATCCAGTTGGTCGACGTCGGGTAATGTTTTCATCGACCTTGATAAAAAAAAATAATTGAACAACGAAGATGCCGATCGATGAAGTGTTTCTCGTCGCTCAACTTGCAGTTATTCCAAAAATAAAATGCTGATGCTGCCGACGAGAGGACAAAGAGTCCATCTGACCCTGGAGGCCTTCCGGGGCGGCGCCGACGGGTGGTTCGGGGTGGGGCAGATCACGCCTGGGGCCGCCGCTGGCCTCCGATCTGCCGGCTCGCCTGCTCCTCGTCCTGCAGCGCGGCCCGGAAGGCTTTCACCTTCTCTGTAGGGGAACACGGCAGCCCCACCACGTGTCACCCACGTCCCCGTAAACGTCCTCTCCTCCCGCCACCACCCCTCAGAGCAGCAAGGGTATGTCCGGCATAGTGACGCCTCTGCGCAGACCTTATGAGATCAAGCAGAGACGTCTCGGCTAAAATCCCTCGTCAGTGCCTTTAGTGCGTTGACCCAGAACATCTACTTCACGTCTCAATACCACTTTAGTTGGAAATAATGAATAGTTTTCAGTCCTTTTTCAATCCACTCGTGAACGCCTCTCCACGCCTTTTGGTCATGCAGGTTGTTTGACCATACCTCACCACGTTGGTCAGTGGAGGCTGGTGAAGGGTAGGGGTGGGGGCGGGGGAGCCCAGGACCGGTTCATTTATCAGTCACCACTGATGTGAGCCATGGTGGCGAATCGAACGTAGGTCATCAGGTTTCAAGGCCACGATGCAACACCTGACCTATAAGTTTAGGCCATTTGTCTTCTCACTTACCAATGTTCAACATCGTGCCGGGCAGCCCGGGACAAAAATCCCAGGTGGTATCGAGCACAGAGCAGACAGAGTTAGTGGTGGTGGCGGTGGCGGCGGCGGCAGGGAAACTCACCCTGCATGGTGGAGAAGAGTTCGAGCTTCTGAGTGAGGATGAGCTCCAGCTGGGAGGCGTACGCGTCGACGTCGTAGTCCACCTCCTCTGTCATCTCCAGCAACGTCTTCTCCTCCTCCAGCCACTGGATCGATTCCTGCCGGGGGCGGACGCATGTAGCGTTGGCACGTGAGTGTGTGTGCGTGCGTGCCTTCGGCATGTCATCATTCACCCCCAAACCCTCTCCTGCCTCCTCTCACTCACTTAAGGGTCGCAATTCAAGTCAACAATCGATTCTTTGCAGTTTCGTTTTGACCATTTTATTTTTCATTGTTTGCAAGGTTTTGCTTGCGCAGTTTACTGACGTTCAACATTAACGTACATCTCGGATTTCTACGTGGGCGGTTCCACACGTGGCGGATTAAGCGCGCGCGCATGGGTGCGTTGGAGTGCGGTCGCGCGTGACCCCATTCCCATTGGCTCGGAGCAGAGCAGACCCCCGCAAGCAAGGTGGGCGTGTGCGCGCCGCACCGTGCCGCTCACTCTCTGCCGCGACCGTCTACGCGGCAACGAACCTCGAAGGCAGCCTTGTGATCCTCCACAAGCTCCTCCTCCATCTCCACCAGGTGCGACACCGCCTCGTGGAACGTGAAGAGCTGGGGGGACACCTCCTCCTCCTGACACGCGTGCGCAAGTGCAAGCCGCAGGAGGCACACACGCGTACAAAAGACAAAGGATCGCCCGTGTAGCCTTCACAGATTGTTGGGGCAAGTGCTGTTAGCGAGCACCTGTGAAGACCGGCACGGCATACGAGGGGGTGGGTGGTCAGCACCAGGCCCGGCCGCCTTTGTCTCCCTAGTGGCAATGTTAACACACCGCACCAGGTACTCATTTGAGGCTCAGTCGACCTAGGCAAGACCCAGGATCGGTTCAGATAATCGTCACCGTTGTTGGTCATGAGCGAGAATCGAACTCGGGTCGCCGGGTTCGTAGGGCAGCGCGCTAACTGCTACACTACTGCGTACACGCACGCACACACACGCACGCAAACACACACAAGCGCATGTTGGCAAGCCATCAGGGTGGTTTTGTGAGGAACTAATCTGTCGAATAAAGCCTGTGGATCTTATTCGAGGAATGTGTTAATGATTGTATGCATGTATGTTCATCTTATTCCGCCAACCGTGCTAATCGGAGGTGCGGGGGGGGAGAAGGACAACAAATTAAACACAAAAAGCGGTTTTAAAGAAATGAGTTGCGTGGAGGGGGGGGGGGAAACTCGACTGGTCGAAATCTTTTACAGAGCAAATGGCGTTGCTGTTAGCCATGCGGACCGTGATTGTGTTACCAGTACAGCACTACCATCAACTTCACCTCAAGCCTGCCCACTGTCAAATGAAAAGGATTCCCACTGCACTCGCTGCCACCGTTTGCTATGAGAACAAGTCGATTAACACCACGGGAAGTTACCCTTTTGAAAATGTAAAACAAATTGCCATATACGGTGGCTCCAATATTGCAGGTTCTCTTGGTGCCGTGCGTGAAATGTAAATGGTGAGATGTTTTTCAGAGCGAGCATGCGAATAAGCAGCGCACACATTGCCAGGTCACGAGCTCAAGGGAGGCATTTAAAATCATTTTCTCTTGACAGTGTCGTCTAAGCTGTGGATTCGTTTGTTTGGGCCCGAGTCGGCTGAGAAGAGAATGGGCATGGAACACAATGCAAACTAAATACATAACTAAAACGTGCACTCTGAGAAATGTGCAAAAGGACGAGTTCAGGAGGGCATTACGTGAAGACTCTGAAATGTTGTTTTTTTCAAAACATTTTGTGTTTTTGTTTTTCACTCAATGGTGCCCAAACAAACGGTCCCATTGCAAGCGCTGAAAAAAGCAAGGGAAGAGCCTGGGGCCTAACCTGCAGTCCTTTCAAAGTAAAATAGCCATCGCACAGCTTGATGAGCTCGACACTGTCATCTAGCAGGTCGAGTGATCCCATCTTCAAAATAAAACAACACGCAACAAGACCAACAGAGGCCGTCACCATCCGCACGCGGTCAAACGGGCGCCGTCAAAAAGCCAGCACAAAGCATCCTGTGCACTGTGGCCAATTTTTTCTCAAACGTACAGCTTTTGTCTTGCGCGTGTAGAGGACAGAGAGAGAAATAAGCCCCACGGCTGACCCAAGGCATTTGGTTTGCTACTTAATTAAAGTCAAGAACCTTAAATAGTTGATGTAACAAAGTGCTGTATAATCAGGCTAACTGCATGATGCTTGTTAATGTGCTTAGGGATTAGTCGCTAGGTTACAATTATGCATTCAGAAATTTATTCGGCAGAACCCAGGTTCCTGACCGCTCTCAGCGCACCGCGTCAACACAACTCCACCCACAGTTAAACTACACCGGAGCAATCAAAGAGAAGTCTCCGCGAATATGCACGCAAGACCTCAAAAATTAAGTGCGGTGCAAAAGCGCAAGCGCGTGACATGCACAGATAACAACAAATAATGACACGGGCAAAAGTGTGGTGGAGGCGTGCGCCACTCGCGCCGACACGACAAGAGGCCGTATTGGCCGTGCGGGTTGTGAGCGCGCGAGGCCGGGCACCAGGCGACGGCTTACGTTCTGCTCGCACAGGATCTTGAGGTCGTCGCGACCGGGCGACGCGCCCACGCTCCTGGGCGCCGACACGCTGGGAGCGTCGCCGGGGCTGTGGGCACCGCCCACGCCTGGCACCGAAGGGTCCACCCCCAGTTCCTTCACCCTGTGCCGCACGCGCGTACAGACGTGCACGAATGATGAGTGCGCGCGTGGACCAACGGAACTCATCATCGGCGGGCGAGCGACTCGTAGATGGCGCGCACATTGACCGGGTTTGCTGCTCGTTGCGCGCAGGTAGCATGCGGGAATCATTCGCAGGGTCAGCACGCGCACATGAAGCAATCAAGTAAAACACAGTGCGATGTCTTTTGTGAAATGGTTCACTCACACACACATAAGTTGCATGCTATAGTTTCAGCTTGGGGTAATATGAACACGACACAGTCCAGACCCTCAGTCACTCTCAGTGACCTCAAGTAGAACTGTACCTAATTATTAGTCTCGAAAGAAATTCCCTCCCTGAAGTGTTTAATAACACCGTTAAGTACGAGCAGGAGGGAAAGAGGTACAGCCAGGGGTTGGTCCTGGCATGTGGGTAGGTCAATGGGTATCTAGATTTGAAGCTTTCGTGACTGCAAGGATTCATACTCTTAGTTCTTTCGGTAAAGTTACGTAGGTAAAAAATAAAATAAATTTTTTGTATTATTATTAATTTTAATTTAATTTTTTACCTACGTGACTTTACCGAAAGAACTAAGAGTATCAATGGGTATCTCTCCGGGGTCCCACCATGCCCCATCTCATGACACATAGCGGGCAAGTCCTCCAGCCATAAACGTGAAGCCACGTCAGCAGCGTTAAGCCTTCGTGTCGCAGGCAGCGCGGAAGGCCACAGCGCTCAGCGTGCGCTCGCAAACCGATGCGATGAATGAGCCCCGAACGGTGCACGAGTCATGGTCGTCGTCCCCTAGGGGAGATGCCTACGATGCACGCCCCCCACCCCCGCACAGAGCATACTCAGAGTCGGACAGCGCAGAGGGAGAGAGGTCGGACTGGGTGCTTCCGGCTGACAGGAAAGGGATGTCCATGGGGTTAATTCCAAACTCCTTCACCCTGAGCCCAGGGCGCAGGGCACAGGGCGGGCGGCGTGCGCGCAAGCGGTGAGGAGAGGCGAGAGAAACGACAGCTCATGACAACGGGAGATGCAACAGCCGCGGCCCGCGTTATGACATTTCCGGTAGCAGGACGCTCGGCGTTGCTTAACGAGACAGACCAATAGACGATTGTAGCAAGCTCGGGCTCACGACACTGTCACAGCGACGTCAGGCGTTGGGTCTCAGGGTTAGAGCAGGGTTATGCCAATAACAATGCTCTTAAGCAAAACATTACTTGACAGCAATAATGCATCTTAACATCATTATTATGAGCCACTACTTTACAGTACGGTTATTCATAATCATTTAAAGACATTTTTTTGTACACAGTAACAAGCTGTTTTAAATAACTTACATCATTATTCAGACGTATCCTTATGGGCATTTCAGTAATGCTAAAAGACGATAAAAACTTTGAGAACAGGGGACAATAATAGGTGTAAGCTTTACCTGTCAGCGTATCGGAGCGTGTTGAGAGTGTGCTCGCAGGAGCTCATCCCTGGGGAAATCATGGCGATCTGGTCACAGTGAACAAAAGCCAGCCACATGTACACGGAGATGCCTCCAGGTCAGTAAAACGGCGACTTCGCTTGAACAGCGCCAGCTTCGGTGGCACATTCAGCGCAATCGAGCGACCGTGAATACCAAACATTTTTGTAGTTGTTGCCCGTTCGTGACGCTGGGTGGGTGATGAATGGCATGCAACCGCCACTCACACAATGTCAGGGAGTGTGTGCAACAGTGCGTTGTGCACACTCTCTAATATTCGACCCCTATTGATTGCTGTGCAACTCGCAAAAGGCAGTTAGACGGTGCACACCGAGAGCTGTTAGTTTTTTCCATTAAAGATTTTTGCCTGCTCTACAAGGTCAGGTCATGCCCTATAAAAAACGCACAAACTCGCAATCCGGATGGGGAATTATTTTACAGATTTTACGGTGTGTTACTCAACATTACCACTCATGGAAGACAAAATATTTCAAGAATCCAACGGTAGTTTGTGCGACAGCTGCGCTTCGAGCCGGCCCGGCCCATGCACCGAGTGCCGTTGTCTCACCATGCACGTGCGGGAGTTCTCGCCGATGAAGGAGTCCCGCAGCACCTGCGTCAGCTTGCTGGCGCGAAACGGCGTGTGCGGCTTGTTCTGGCCGAGGGCACGTATGCACTCCTGCACGCCCACCACACGCACGCCCACCACACGCACGCAAAGAGGGAGATCCCCCGTGCAGCCTACACAAAATGTTGGGCCGAATGCTGCTCGCAAACGCCGTTGAAGGCCAGGATATCGCACGAGGAGAGCGGCGTGGGCCTGCGCTACGTCTAGCCGCTTTCGTCTCCTCATTCATCACGTTTAAACCACCGCACCACGTATGCATCATTTAAAACGAACCACGTGCGCACATACACGCACACACATGCCGGAAAATGCACTCTCACAGAGAGCGGGACGTGCAGCAGGACCCCTATATACACCAACAATCTAATAAACCTACAGCCACTTAACGTTCAGCACAGTTGGATTTGACCTCGCGCTGCATGACAGACTGCTTGTCGTATTAACAACAAGCATGGCGGCAACCAAGCTGAGTCTGGGGCCAATGGTGCCAAGGGGGCAGGAACATAGAATCAGAATATCTATTTATACTGGAGAAATCCGATGAGCTATAAAGCTATTTCGGTGATTAAAATAAGTTTTGTGCCCACAATACATTCATTTAATTGTGTGTGTACGTGTAAGAATCGATTCATCTTCTTGGTTCTTTCGGTAAAGTCACGTAGGGTACCAAGATAAAAACGACGTCGCGTAGTGACTTTACCGAAAGAACCAAGAAGATGAATCCCTGCAGTCACGAAAGCTTTAAATCGAAATTTAAGAATCGATTGTTTACGAATTACCCAAAGCATATGCTGATAAACCTTCATGGCAGTGGCGCAAACAAGATGGTGTAAATACGCGACAGACAATACAACCGAGAGGGTACCAAGATAAAAACGACTGAATTCTTGAGAGAGAATAGTGAACCTCAATTTGTAACGTCTCATTGAATCACCCTGGGATGGGGGGTGGGCAGTGGGGGGGCTGAACGATTACACACCAAGAACAAAATGCAGGGAAACCTCTACTATCCAGGATATTTGTGGTGAGTGAATCAGAATGTTTAATTATACTGGAGAAATCCGATGAGCTATAAAGCTATTTCACAGATGTCCAGCAGAGCGAGTGCATGGGCACGCGGTCGTCACCTTGAGCGCCAGCAGGCTCTTGTTGATCTCGGCGCCCTCCAGTCGCGTCTGCCGATCGGCGCTGGCCGTGTCGGCGCCGCGCTCGTTGCCGGCCAGGTCGATGAGCGAGAACTTGCCGTGCATGCGTCCCGCACGCCGCAGGATGAGCTGGAAGACGGCGTGCGAGCGCGACGACTTGCGCGTTCGCCGACGTCTGCCCAGACGTTCTACAAGGGAACACGGCAACGGAATATAATGAGGCTTGTAACCTGACACTCATTGCATGGCACGACAATAACTTTACCCGATCATTACGCGCAACCTTGATTTAAATCAATGAATTGATGCGTTGTCTTATGCTACGTATGGTTGAAGCCTTCCATCTAGTGGTGATGGTAGGAATAGCCACTACACGGCACGACGCCAAGCCTGTTTTAACCTCATTAAAGTGAGCGGTGGAGAATTTACCATGGGAATTGCCCATAGAAGAACGGCAATTTGAAGATGATCCTGAAAGAAATAGCCCAGCGGGACCCAGTCGCTCACGTTAACAACTAAAAAGACACGCAATCTCCTCTTAGATTCTGTCGGAGTGGGAAGGATCGCAGCACACAAGGAGGTGAGAGGAACTCGGCTTTGTGGCGTTAACTCGTTGGGGACGACGGAGCACCTGCAGTTGTTGCCCATCTCGATGAGCCGCAGCACCTCCTCCACATTGGACACCTCCTTCTCCTGCAGCCCCACCACTTGCACCTGCTGCCGCCCGTCCTCCAGCACGCGCAGCTTCGCCTTCCTGTTGAGCAGGTCAAACACCTGCCAGAGAGAAAACCACGGAGCGTGGTTCGGACTCTCACCCATCACGAGACCGGGCAAATTTACGTCGCGTGTCCTAGGTGGTTCCCCAAGCTGCTAGCTCGACGCCGCACAAAAATAACAGATCATTCTCAAATTAGTTTTTAAAAATAAATTTGGCCAATTCCAGCTCTGAGAATCAACACAAAATGTGGTTTGACATGTGACGAACACTCTTTGCAAGTCATGTAAAAGCAGTGCCTCTGGTACGGAAGTAACTTGAGTACTAATTCTGTCACATCATCTTGCAGGGTCATTGTTTGACTGCAAGCTGCGAGAGTTTCCGAATGTAAATGTATTCGTCTCGTGACATGATGCCATCACAAATCGAATTTGACTTGATATCAATCACACACACACGGACAACCACACATGCACAGCCCTCACAATGCTCACTGCTGCTTACTAAGCAGCTGAACCATCTACGATGGACGACGAAGACAAATTTGCAAGTTTATGCACACGAACCTAGATAATCAATGGATACAACCACCGCCCACGACACATTTTTCTATGTCAGCGTCTGAAAGGAAACAAAACGTCCATTGTGCCCATCAATATGGGTATTTGTGGTCGACTGAAAAAAGCAATTTGTGGGTAAGAGTTTCTCATTTAAATCTCACCTTTCCGCTGTAGATCTCAAAGAAGGTTGCGTTCACTTGGAGGTTTAACTGCCGGTAGCGAGGCTGCTTTAAAAACTGGAACACATCCCGCGCTGTCAAAAAACAAAAAGCAATAAGTAATGTTCCTTGGCGATTGCCAACCATGTGTGATGCCTGAACAATAGCCAAACAAGGGCATACTGGAAGGTACATATGATTGCATCCTTATCGCATATACACAGCTACAACACTCGCATGCAGACAATAGCGTGCGATTCAAAATAATTTACACTCATTAATAAATCCAATCGTGGATGAATAGCCTCCCCCCCAAGTCGTGTCCATCACGGGAGTTTTGTTGACCACACTTTGCCACGTTGGTCAGTAGTGTGGATTGGCAATGGGGAGATTCAACATCCGTTCGAGAATTACTCGCAACCGATGTTAGCTGTGGCCGGGAATCGAACTCGGGCGGGCAGGTTCATTGCGCGGTGCGCTAACCACTATGCCGCCACTCCACTCCAGTATTAAAATATCGAAAGTCATCACTTGGTTACGTCTCACCTGCTAGGGCATAAATGCCTTTAGCGCAGTCCTGAGTCTTCCCAGAGAACACACCGCCCATGGTCTGTGTGGGAAGGTGAAGCGGTGATGGTTAACACTCATGCAAGGATGAATGTATGCATGTTGAATTTCTTCTGCCCCGTACGTAGCCAATTGTGATCATGGTGGCAAGTGGGCATCAGGGCGTGCAACAGGCAACAAAAAGCAGCACTCACATGGGTTTTCCCACTTCCTGTCTGTCCGTACGCAAAGCACGTGGCCATCCCCTTCTCAAAGATCGTCTCCACCAGAGGACGGGCCGTGAATCTGTACCACAGAGCAGAAATGGCATCAAGACGAGCAGCGTTTGTATAATTCGGGGCAATTCTCACAGCACAGGTTTGTGTGACCAGTTCTTCCTACATATACGAACTTTGCTACAATGTACAAATGCAGTCACACATTATTACAACTAACTTACACATTGTGTCAGTTTTAGCTGCAGGATAAGCAGCCTCACGGAACATCGATACAATTTCAAACCTCCACAAACATCCATCGACTCCAACAGAAATGGAGGATGCTCATGTCAGGACAGGGTAAAAGCAACTTGAAAATGAAGACTCATCATGAAGTCAGAAAGCATTGCAGACGCAGTCGCGATCATAGGTTACGGTGGGTGGAACCACGTGGGCAGGGTGGAGGAGCGCGGGTCACTGAGAAAGGCATGACAATAGCGTCCACAGGTTGGCAACCACGGGAAAGACAAAGCCAGATGGTGGGATACTATCAAGAGTGGTGGGTGTTGACTGCTTGACAGCCGTGAGACCTCTCGCAGATGGAATAAATGGCGAGGTGCGGTGGGCATCAACGACATCAGACACAATGACCTCTTGACCTTGGCCTCTACAGCAGCAGACATCTGCTGCAAGTTTGCCCCGGCCGGTCCTCCCGTTTGCCCCAAGCCCACCCACCTGTAGACCATCTCGTTGGTGGTGGTCTCGTCGAAAGCGTAGTCAAAGCGGAACGTCTGGTTCTCCAGGTACTTGGTGAGGTCCACCTTGAGCTTGGGCTCGTGCACCATCACGATGTCCTTGCTAGGGACGGTGATGACGTCGATCTCCTTCCGGCCCAGCTCTGCCGCACAGCATGGTGGGGTGAGGTTCGAGTGAAAACTCGGCCATCGTTGTTGTTGGTAGTTGTTTCACCACCGCTCTTCACAGTAAACTCACGATTATCCGTGCGATGGTTAATCCCGTTTGCAGATCGAACCTTCTTTTTGAAAATAAGTACACCTTTAACCCTGCACCGTGTCCAATTCTGCTCCACACTCATCAAGCGTCGGTGACACACTGCCCACGTGACCACAAACATGTCACCACCTAGTAATCCGATTACTTTGAGGAGCAACAAACACAGACGAAGTGTTGTATGGCTTCAGCCCATTACACATGGTGTAATGGTGTGTAATCGTTCACCCCCCCCCCCCCACCACTGCCCACCCCCCATCCCAGGGTGATTCAATGAGACGTTACAAATTGAGGGTCACAATTCTCTCTCAAGAATTCAGTCGTTTTGATCTTGGTACCCTCCTCGGTTGTATTGTCTGTCGCGTATTTACGCCGTCTTGTTTGCGCCACTGCCATGAAGGTTTATCAGCATATGCTTTGTGTAATTCGTAAACAATCGATCCTTATACGTACACACACAATAAAATGTATTGTGGGCACAAAACTTATTTTAAATCACCGAATTGTTACATGCCTAGTTTTAAGCTCACGACGTTCCAATGCTACGTTTTATGATCTCCGTTTGGAGTAGAATATGCTCAACCAACCGTACACGTCACAGGGCAACTGCATACACTTAACATTTTTAATGAACTCTGACGAAAACTTTAAACTATACATAAGTGGGATGTGATCTTACGTCCACTTTACCTTTCTTGTTCAGTGGTCTCTTTCTGACACAGACGCATATCCGGCTTTCCTCTATCTGCAAGAAAAATGCGACGACTTCAACCGTCGAGCTCAAGCCACGTCACGTACCGTGCACCGTCACCACGCAGTCGGAGGAACACACGCGCGCATCCGCACTTACAGAGTCGCTGAGACACAGCGGCTGGTAGTCGAGGCTCGATCGGAATTCCTTAATCATCACCAAGAACTCCCAGTTGGGGTAGCTCACGTCGTAGTCCTGCGACACAACACACGCAGCAACACAGGACCAGCGTCAGCGAGCGCCGCCGCGGCGAGCATTTCTTGCCGGAGCAACTTCAATGCCACGCTCCCCTCCTGCTTGCTCCCCGCTACAGGTGTCCCACCCCTGCCACGGGGCCGTGCTCCGTGCTCCGTGTGTCACGAGTCGCCTGAGGCCGCCAGGGCAGCCAGCCCCACCTGTGCCCGTTTCTCCCGGATCTCCTGGTGCTGCGCCCGCCGCTCCTCGCGGTTCCGCCTCATCTTCTCCACCTCCTTTACGCAGTTGGACTTTCTGCGAGCTGTCACGACGCGAGAATTGCCAAAGGGTCATGTAAGTGGCCTGTGACATCTGCCTCAATTCCATCCACATATTGGGGAGTCATTTGAAAGCTTAAGATATATATATTTTCAAAGCAAATTTTTTTTTTGCAAAAACACATGATCTCTGATACTTTGGCTTATCTGCTCTGCTACTTATCTGTGCTGACAATTACAAAATCACGGTGTAATTATGCAAGTTCTATTTAAAAATCATTCAACAAATAGACATAACCCGAACAACTGAATACCAACGAGCGTCCCACCAGTAACTTATACACAAGCAGCATTACGATGGAAAACTATTTCTGAAGCCAACATTAGCTTCAGAGTTAAAGATTCCATTTAGTCGTGTCACCTGTCACGGCTGGGGCAAAGCCAAGGAATATAAAACATTATTAAAGGAATAATTGATACAAAAATTTTCAACAGTGAAATTTCAATGTTGTTAACCCCCCAGAGATTACTATATGGGAGTTGTCATCACTATTGTAAAATAATGCCCGAACATCAACGCAAGTCTGTGACAGTCAAAACAATGTTAGAGCAGTTAGTTGTACTTGGTTAACCGAGGTGGGGTCAGTGGCAAGGTCTCAATAATCGGCCGTCTTCAAGACAAGCAGCTTTATTGTACGATTGCTGAACGATGTCAGCGGTAGGCGACTGTTGCGTATGACATCACCATCTCAATACACCAATGGTTTTTTTTCCAGCTTCAACGTGGAGCGCCAACATCTGCTGCGACGACCTACGTCTAGTGCAGGCTTCAATGTTGAATGTAAATATTCAGGCCGATTTTAACTCGAACAAAGCAACCATTGTCTGCGCTTAGAAAATGGGCTTTTCTGATATTTGCAACAAAGAACACTGAAGCATAAACCCCACGTTAAACCACGGCAGTCACCAGGGCATACAGCGCAGCCGCTGTGCCTTCATTGTGTCTCCATTGTGGCCGGGATAATTGAGAATTATTCTCACAAGACAGATGGCACAGGGGTGAAGGTCACAAGAGCACTGTTAGCAGTCACGTCACTCGGCTACCATCACGACGACGTTTGCCTCTGCCCTTTAAGGCTTCGCCAAACAAACGCCTCTCCCCGGGGCAGAAACACGAGAAGCCACGTCCAAGACGCTCGCAGGCGGCAGGGGGCTTCCAAGCCCTTCCAGGCCGTCAACCGGCCTGCTTGTGCCCCTTCACTTTACAATATTTCACGGCTGTGTCAATACGATGACAGTATTGCACAATTTGCAGTTAATCCATTTTGACCAGACCTGACCTTGGAATAAAGATTTTTTGGACCCAAGTGACTTCTAGCTACTAATCAACATATTCATCAAGTGATTTAATTACCACACATTACCAGGAAAAAAAACAATAGCTTTTTACTTATTCAAGACACGCTACACCCAGGTTCCGGTTTTACATGTTCGACTGTGCCTTCCCACACTCACGTTGCTGCTGCTGTCCCGGTAACTCTTTCTTGCCGAGCTGGCCGGCGCCGGCGGGAGAGCCTTCCCCGTGGTTGCCATTCTGTGGCGCTGACACCCCCTGCTCCATCACTGTGCTGGGCCGCCTGCGCACCGGTAGTGCTGCAGCAGTGCAACACGACGCCACCACCGCCACCACCGGCAGCCCCACAATCGGCACCACCACCGGCACCCACCCACAAGCAGGAGGCCATCATGTCAACCCAATGGTCAGCTAGCATGGTTAAACAGCATTGAAGCAGCATTAATTGTGCCAAATTTCTACTCTACAGAACCGTGATCAATTATACAGCATAATCTTTCACTGTAAATTACATTATTATTTGAGAAATTTCCCATGATAATGCGTGGTTATAATGGTTTAGCAATAGGCTTTAAAACGTGGCACATAACCATACATACAGCCAATGTGCAGCTGCTCTATTATGAAAAGATAGTTGACACAATGCACATATTAAAATGGAGGGCTTGTATACAAAGTACTATTAATGCTTCTTTGGCAGATATTGAATCCCACCCGAACAAGAGATTAATGAATGTTGGCAGCTGGGTAACAGCTTTCAGTGTACACACAAATGCAACGAAACACAAACGGTGGCTATGACCTCGTTTTCAGACACCGATGATGAATACGGAATTGTAGAACATGTCCCACACTGTCAGTGGGCAGGGTAGGCACGTAACGCTTCAGCGATTACAACCTACTCTTCTCCTCCTGACAGATGCATCAAACGTGTATAAGATTTGATGACTAATTATGCGTACACATTGTATGTGATTAGTTGATGTGAGTTCACTATACCGAAAGAGAATCCATTCTTAATTAGTATTGTGACCATGAATCATGACAATTCTTCCAATCACAAAGAGGTTGGTGGGGAGGAGTTATTAATTCCAGTCAATACAAATCAGACAGTACAAACGAGATTAAAGAAAAAATATTCTTGAAGGAATATCCTCAATGATGACAATTCGTAAATTTTCGGAGAGGATGAATTGTTACACGGCTAGAGTAGGGGCCACCTGACTGCCTGACCCAAAGCCATCCACAGCGGTGAGAGAGTGGGCGAGTGACAAACCTGAGATTCTACTCTCCTTAACAGGGACTTCATTCCGAAGGGGGATCATGGTACGCCGGGTCTGGAAAAAAAAAACACATATTGGCTTAAGCAACAAACATCTATGCACACGGATCAAAACATCAAGGAATACCTTCTTACTACAAATTAGCATGCACACACTGATTCCATGACTATATTCCTACAAAGATAAAGACCTCCCAGGTAGCCTTTACAGATTTTGCTGTTCGCCAGCACCTATGAAGGCCGGCACGACTATATCCGTACACACACACAGTACTAAAATAATGAGCCTGCATGCTTTGCTTTAAAATACCACCTTAAATCAACTGTGAAGAAATCAACAATGCAGATATAAGATGCAGCAGCTACACATGCATAAACAATGACACACACAAACACAGAACATGCCCGTGCAGTACTTTAGGCTCAAACACATGTTGGTATGCCGAACATAAATTACCACTTTGTTGTAAATACCGCTGCCTGAAATGTAAACCTACCGTTTTGTTTGTTCTATAGCAGAGTTAATGTTGAAGGTTGTGAATTTGTTGATCGGTGAAAGCAGATCACTTATGAAAGGCTCCCATCTAGAAGAAACAATCTGCTCTTACAGTAGGTCCGGATGAGCCCTCACCTTCCCGGGTCTCCCAGCCTTCACAGAAGGCGTGGCGGGTGGCGGCATCTCGGGGTCCGGCTCGGAACCGGCGTCCGAGCTCACTGACGTCAGCTCGGGGTTCAGAGAGAAAATACTCTCCAGGTCGATCTGCAGGAAGACAGCGGTCTCATCACCATCTCCACTTTCCGCACCGAGGTTGAACGGCGATCCATGCACGAGCCGGCACCAGCACATCGACTCAGTGCGAGCTATTCCCCAACAGTCAGCAAACACACCAAGCAACCACCATGGTCGGAAATCATTCATTCAGTACCTCCCTCCATTGTCTGCAGGATTGGAAGCTCTGGTAGCCACTTGAAGCGCAGGCAATCTCTACTCACTTCTACACTGCGTCGTTCGCAGTCCACTTTTTCACATCATATAACCATGCGCCTTTCTTGGATGACCTCTACTGAGCAGTGAGTGCGCACACAGAACCGCCGCATTCGCCCATCAGTCCAGATGAATGCCAGGGGGCTGACCGTCTCACAAAGCACTTGTTCAGTTTCCAGAGCATCGGTTTACTTGTCTGGCAGTTTGCAGTCTCGACGCATAAGAAGATTTAACAGTGCGCGCCATGCAGCTGTAAAGACAGCTGAATGTCTGTAAAATAATATTGCTTTGGGGTAATAGTGTGTGAAAGGGATATTTTTATATTTATGAATACGTAAGCGTGCCATCTAAGTGTGTCTTTCGATCAGCAGTTGTAAATAAATCAATAGAGGATATGATTTAAAACACATGCATTACACTGACTGAAGAGGTCTAAACTACCTGCTGAATGGACGGTCTTCAACCTAACAATCCTTCAGGGGGTTCCAAAAGCTTTTAACTGTAATCTCCACCATCCATTATACATACGACACAGCGACGTATATTACAAACCAAAATGAAACGAGGATTCCCCCCCGCGAGGGGAAAATTGAACGGAGACAATATTTAAAAATGTATGCATCGTGGCTCCATCTAGGCTGTGCATGTGGCAAGTAAGCAGAGGCGGCAGCAAGCTTGTGTGTTGCCCTCAACACTGTACCCAATTCTGTACAAACAGGGTAGGAACCAGTTGTAAAGCAACGACTTTTTGGCATGGTTCCTAACTCTCTACACAAACGCATTCTCAATGAATGGCTGCTGCCCTTTCCCTCTGTAACTACGAGCAGCGCAGACACACAGTGCAGGCGCCACAGCCCTGCTTACTGGGAACGCGGACAAGGTTTGTTTTATCACCAGTTTTGAGTAGTATGTCACCAGCAGCATATAAATCCGATTTGGCCATGACACTTCTTACATGTAATATTTTACAGACATGTGTCAATCACTGCTGGATAAAGATCTCCCCATATTGTTGATTCAAGGGAGTTGGTTGGCCATACTTCATAATGGTGGTCAGTGGGTTGTGGTGATTCACATATCCCGAAAATTACTTATTCCTTTCAAATTTGTACTGGCTTAAAAACGGACTTGTGATGTCCAAGTGCATGTAAACACCCTCATGGGCCGACAGTAAAATCCTCGTTTACAATTATTTGCAGGAAAAGACCCCAAAGTTAATCATGTAAGCATGATGAAGGTTAGCGAAGGAGACACCGAGCATTTCCCACAAATCCCTCGGGAGAGGTGGCGGTCTGCACTGCTGGGCTAATCCAGGACAGCTGTTCGAGACAGTGCAATCAGTGCATTAGCAACCTCAGCAGCAGAGACTCAACAGCCTCATCCCTTTCTTCGGCAGGTGTGCGGCCTGGGCTAAAGCGAGGACGACCAACACTTAAGCCTCATGTGCCTCCAGCAATCATCATTCAGGGACAAGGATTTTATTAATCTTCATCCAGCCTACAGTTGCTACCAAAGCAAACATTAAATGAAATACACCTTCAGAAATGTGGGCTCTTTTAAAATGGCAAAAGGCATTGTACAGAGGAAAAGCACAATGGTGAACTTCGGTCCTAGACTTGTCAAGCTGAGCCGATTCTATTTTCATCAAGTGGACTCGAGTCAAGTGGTGCAACTATATTTCCGTGGCAGACCTCAATTTAGATCATCCAGGAAACTATGCCATCACAGAGCTGCACGCGTTTATTAAGGGCCCGTTTTGTTTTTGAGAATATCACAACTTGGTGATTACGTACAATTAATTTTACAATGACACTGGTGTACACTGGCAGTCTTTCTTGAAGATTTTTTTTATATGCAACACTTGTGAGCACATGGCCTTCTTTATAATTCACTACTGTCCATAGATCAATACTGACCAACCAGTAACATACAAGATGCAAAACACAAACCTTGAATTATGCGAGGCTTACTCAAACTGCTTAAACACAAGTGGTGGAAACCTCACCTCTTTCCCCTTCGTCTCCCCATTCTCAAACCACTCCACCGTCACACTTTCACTGTCCTCATTCAGTGCTGTCACCATGGCCTGATGAACTCTTCCTGTGGGCATATGGACACAAGGACACACTTGAGCATGGCGTGATGACTACAAGCCACACTATGTCGGCTCACAACAACCCAAATCGTTCTCACGGCACATACGTTGAGAAGGGCACAAACTCGTCAAAGAAAGAGTCGTAAACGTGGAATGTACCAATCTTACATTATTAATCCCCTTGCATATTGTCAGGCATATTTAGGATGACATGACCGACGCATGTTTCGTTTGATAAGTGGTTGTTTCAATTTTTATGCTGAAATTTATTTTAGACAAAACTAATGGCAGACATGCGCACGATTCATCAGTATTTCTGAAAGCTGACACTACATTTTCCTCCCACAAGCGCACAATATTTCACGTTAAATATGTATCACCAAACGACAAAAGGATCTGATGATACACCGACAACGCTACCTCGACTACGACTGGTTGGTATCAAGTGTCTCCCTACATTACGGAGACAAACCAACAAAAGTGGGCTTGTCTTCAGCGGCAGGAATACCAGTGTGGTGGGCAGGTAGCAACACAGCCTGCCTCGAACCGTAACTGGTAAACTTGGCTGCTGAAACTGCACCCAGACCTGGCCGTTGAAAGTAAATAAAAAAAGTCTCGAGTGAGGGGCTGTTGGTGGTGGGTGGAGTTGTAAACGTACTCGTGCCCGAAGGGTCAAAGGATTACATGGCGTGATACCACGGCAACCACAAGTACACACACCATGCCGGCGGTAAAGGATAACACTGCACAATAAATTGGGTGCGACGGTCAGTGTTACAACTAAGACAAAGATTCCCCGTATAGCCTCCTAACAGACTGTTGGCCAAAGCTGCACTCGCACCGCGACAGCGTACTCCCCTTTCAATCCCATGGAAGATTCGGTGGTGGAGGAATTGAAGGTTGCAATTACAGAACAGAATGCAACGCACACGTTTTCTGCGCTAAATGTGGAACGGAGCTGCAGAGGAGATTTTTGATCTCGCTCCAGCCGCTCACGATCGCGCTTAATTTGGGGGGTGGGGGGGGTTAGTAGCTGCAGCATTTCTATATTTAAGCGACCGGGAATGTCGCCAGCCAGCTCGAGATTGACTTCATCGAGCCGCTTTGACAAGGTGAACGCGATCAATAACACCAACGCGTTGCGCGCGAGTGGGCCAACTGCTGAGCTCACCACGTCTTACAAGAGATTCGTCATCACGCTTACACACGCTTACGCTTTGCAAAACAAAAACACGCCATCACAACCCCTTATAGTTCCGCTTGCAATGGTTTGACTCGCAGAACTTTGAAAACGCTGACACAATTCCTCCCAAAGCATCGTGAAAAGTGCCAAACCATCCGCACGCTTTACAATGTATCGACGTACACAATCACGCAGATTCAAGAATGCAACTGTCTCAACAACAACAACAATCAGGTTCCTACCACCAGAATGCCGGTCTCCCTTGGCTTCGAACCCACGTGTGGGTCCGCAGCTGCATGGCGAGCGAGCATCATGCTTGCGTTGCGCGCACAAAGCTGATTCGACCCGGTTCGTGTTTGTTACGGTAATTAGCAGAGGCGATCGACTGCGTGGCCGGGAAGTCGCCAATAACAAGTGACCGTCCGTCCACCCCTCCTGTCACCTCTCGGCTCCACGGGACAACATCACGGACCGATTCGCATTAAAGATTTACACGCGCAAGGCGAAACCGGCACGGCGTGGCCAAGTACGAACCCGCCTTCAGGCGAATTGGTCACCATCTCGCTTGTCAACATCAATTACTGTACACGCTTATTGCATTATTCCTTGCATTGGGAATCGCATCATTAGCGAGGCGTCGTATTGGTTTCAGACTATGAAGCACAGGGAAGATTGTACATTTTCTTTGGGTATTTCGGTAAAGTCACGTAGATAGGTTCAAAGAAAATAACAAAACTACGAGGTTTCGATCGCAACACAAAGCGGTCCTGATGACGACCGCTTGTGTTGCGATCGAAACGTCGCAGTTTTTTGTTTATTTTTATTAATTTGAACTTATCTACGGGACTTTACCGACAGACCCAAAATAATATGAATTCCTGCAGTCACGAAAGCTTTAAGTCAAGATGTAAGATTGTAAATGTTGTGGATTTGCTCTCCAACACACCGTTGTGCTGCAACGAATCGGCATGTTTCTTTACGTGACAATCATTACTAATTGGCTGTGTCGGCTGGTTTAACGATACACTCATATTTACACAATCTAACCCCAACAAAATCCCTATATTATGGATATCGGTCGCGAAAGCCTGACGTGTTAAAACTACGCCGCAACCACAGGCGCAATGCCCACTGGCGATAATCGCCGCGCCGTTTTCTATCGATTTATCGACAGAACCACGTCACGGTGTCGTTCCCATAAAAGTTGCCACGCTCGCTTTGCAGTAAATGCGTTGCCGGCGAAGACTTAAGCCGTCGGGGTTACGCTGTGGGGGGGACGCACTAAAATGTTCAGTTGTACAAATGTTCTCGTATTAACATGGCCTCGTACGCTGCCGATAGGTGCAAGAAGCCCGTTACAGCAGCAGTTGGGTTGTGGATTCAATGATGACGAGCAATTATCATTCATGAAAACAACAACGCGGCATTTAGAAAGTACGTTTATCCGAAAATGTGTTGAATTTAATGTCTCGCGTTTGTGTTGTAGTTAAGGGATCACAGGGGAGGGGGGCTGGCCGGGAAGGCGTCTCGGCCGGTATTGTTGAGCCTCTCTCCCACAGCAGAGAGCTCTGGTCAAGCATGTAGCGTCTTGTCTAAATCAAAAAACGCAATTCACTTCAGGTGGCAGTGTTCAAACACTGGTCACGGACCCCGCTTAGGGCACTGCATCACCCGGCCCGACCCCACCTCTCCCTCCCGGGGGACACAGCCCCGTCCCGGGCAGGCTTTCTAGGCAACACCGACGCTTCAGACATCACACCTAGGCCCGCGCAGGCTGCTAGAATCAACACTTCACATACGCAACGCGGACCTTCGGTTGGCTGCTCCGTATCACGTGACCCAACCGAGCGCTGACGCAATTGGCCAGGCCGACATCACGTGGGGGGCCGTGCTACTTGTACGCGCGACCAAATACAATCGGAGTAGCGGCGAGAGCCCCCCCCGCGGGGCGCGGCCCCCCGGGGTCTCCCCGCCGCCGTCGCTTCGCGCCGCCTGCCCCTCGCGCTCCTCTCACCGTCGCTGCGCTGGATCTCCACGTAGCTTCCCACGCTAATGCGTCCGAAGTCCATGTTGGCGGTGGCCGCAAACGGTGTCGGCTCTGTGCTTAAACCTTCGCTCCCGCGCCGCGGCGCCGCTGCCAGGGAACCGCGCAGCCCCGCCCCTCTCCCCCCCCCACACGCTCCCCCCGCCCCTCCCCCCCTCCTCTTTCCCCCCGCCCCTCCGCGATACAATTCCCACAGCGCATGCGCATCGCCGCTCTCATCACCACGCCCCCCCCTGCACGCCCCCGCCCCGAGCGCGGGAGCATGTGACGCGCTTGACCCAATCGGCTTGCAAGACAGAGGTCACGTGCCGACGCGGCAGCCAATGGTGGCCAGGCGCGCTGTCGGTGTGTCGTGGGAATCAAACGGCGCGCCGACAGACGCCGCCGCCGCGACCGTTAGGGTTTGAATGGGGTTCGCGCGCATGCGCAGTGCGCGGACGTGCCCAGCATGCGGGCGCGTGCCGGTGGGCGGGGGTCGGGAGGGAGGCGTGGCCGGAAGTTAAGGGGCGTGGTCGAGTCGGTGTAGTGGGCGTGGCCGGAAGTGAGGGCGTGGCCAAGTGGAGAGTGGGCGTGGTTGGAGGTGAGGGGCGTGGCCAAGGGGGTCGTGTGCGGGGCGGTGGGCGAGGTCTCTCGCCCCGTGACTGATGATCCTGTCTTCTTGGTTCTTTCGGCCCCTTTTTTTTTTTGGCCCCTCTCTCCCGATACTTTCCATTCATTGGCTACCACATTCTGATGAGCCCCCCCTTCTCCTCCCCCCTCAACTCGCTTTTAAGGGATTACATCTTGAATCATTGTCTCACTTGATGCAGCTAATCTGGCTGTGACTGTCCCACCTGATGACGGAGACTTGTGTTGCCTCCGAAACGTCGTGATCTTTATTTTATTTTATTATTTTATTAATTTTGATGTTTTACCTACGTGACTTTACCGAAAACACCTAAGAATATGATTCCTTGCAGTCACGAAAGCTTCAAGTCTAGAATTAATCTTTCGGTAAAGTGACGTAGAAGGGAAATAATAAAATAATATTAATAAAACATAATAAAATAATTCTCACGACGTTTCGGCCACAACGCAAGCAGCCGTCCTCAGGCGAAGAACAGGTCTATCGGAAAGACAGCGTCTGAATGAACACCACCAGGCTTGGAAGCGTATATTTAAGCTGGGTTGGAGGGGGAAGAGCGCCTTGACAAAGGCATTTGCATATCAAGAAGAATTTAGCATATTTATGTGAATGCAGATGATGAGACTATGTAACAAAAATTTTTTTTGTTCTAGATTTTTTTTTGTTCCTAGGTAGTAAGTGTTATTTTCTAATTGCTTATGCCTAAACAGTATATAAAATGGCTATTATTGCCCACAAACTTTGCTTTTGTGACCAGGACAGTGATATTTTGAAATGTACCTATTTTCAATGAGAAAACGCGTGCTTTTGTGTCTTTCCTTCACATAAAGTCCTGGTCACAGAAGCAAAGTTTGTGGGGAATAATAGGCATTGTATATACTTTTTAGGCATAAGCAATTAAAAAATAACACTTACTACCCAGGGACAAAAATCGTGTTACATAGCGTCATCAATCTCCATGAGGCCAGCCCATAGATGCATTTCACTTTGTGGATACCACCATCATCCCTGTCAACCCCTTATCAGTGCCTACCCTATTACATACGTATTCAGGTCACCCCGTGCCCTTATACATCTCAACGTTCATCCTACAAAGTCCCATCACAAGGGAGAAACACAAACAAATATACAAACAAATTACCCGTACGCCGTATGGACCTGGAAACGCAATTTCCCTGTACAAGAATACGGGTAAAACCGTGTGGGTTGACAGCTGTTCACCAGATATGGTTCCAATGTATTTGTATGTACTGTGTGTATGTTGAACCTCTTTCGCACCGTACGTAGCCAACCGTGCTAATTGTAGGTTGCTAATAGCGGTGACTTCTGTGACAACCGGTTTGAATTGAGTGGTGGTGTTATCACCTCAACTATTTTAGCCGTATACATCCTAACGACCTTCGGTGGTTCCACGTTCTGCTGTTGTGGTTCTGCAAAAATAAAAACCCGCAACACAATGTATCGATCGAGACAATCATCCAGTAGTGGATTTCGGCCGAATTTCACCCTGAATCTGCGGTATCATGATACAAGGAAATAGAGCCTAACATATACTGCATGGTGAAATAACATGATTTTTTAATAATGGATTCGTCGCAAATTGAACGCTGGTGGTAGTGCCTTACACCGATAATCTCCATTCAAATCCATCTCAACAACGTCCTGGAACATATCGAGTGATAAATTAAGCGGTGACTGTACACGTACAATCAATTCCTCTCCTACTGAATAATGTATATTCCCCACTGGTCCTGCTATTGAAATCCAATTACGTGTCACAAGCCCACCCGACTGAATAAGATTTAAGTGATAATTGGCAACCCTCTGTTCTCTCCACTAGATGTCAATAAACCTTCAGACAAAGATAAATGTCACGCCGACCCCGGACAATAGTAATCATTTGTGCTATGAAGAAGGGTCATTCCACGAAACGTCGCCGATTAAATATTTTTTTCTTCTCTTCAGGCAGTGTTCTTGACAAATGCGTTGAGTTTTGATTTAAAGCTTTCGTGACTGTAGGGATTCGTATTCTTGGTTCTTTCGGTAAAGTGACGTAGAAGGGAAATAAGACAATTATAAAAATCTAAAACAATAAACATTCTCACGACGTTTCGACTGAAACACAAGCAATCATCATCAGGTGTGAAATCCACAGCAAGAAAATATTATTGTTTTATATTTATATTATTGTATTATTTCCCTTCTATGTGACTTTACCGAAATAACCAAGAATATAAATGTGTTGAGGTTTTTTTTTATTGTATATACCACTTTAGAGATATTTTTGGTTATATACTACTTGTGATATATTTGTTTGTTTCATACCGCTTGAGAGATAATTTCAGACTGCAGAGTTCAGCTTTATCGAACCGTCAACAACAACATATGCTTTCCAATCGACTACTGCATTAAAAAAAATTGTTAAAAAGTGCATTTCTTTTTATCCACTGCTGGACGAAGGCGTCGTCCCCATGTCGTCGCCATCCTCCCACGGGTCTCGCCATGCAACAACAAAAACAACAACAACAACGAACCATCTCGCTCTGCCACACGCGAGCCGGTCGCGTGGCTCCATCACAGACTCGTATCCTCCACCCTCCTCCTTGGTAATTCACACCACTGGAAGCCCTCAGGGAGACCGAGATGGGACGGTAGCACATGACAGACAGAATATGAAAGTGAGTGAATGAATTTTATGCAGATGTCTGGAGCGAAATAAATAAATTAAAATGCCACCCCGGGGAATCAATTTCATCTTTCAGATTTAGAGGAGGATCTATCCACCAGAGGTCATACTTGAAGAAGTAAATGTTTTCATTTGGTAGTATGGGAAAAGGGAATTCTCATGCACTAGACAGAGTGGAGGCATTAGCAGAGCGGCAGCACCAAGCTGTTGAAACAACGTTGACCTATAGCACTCGCTAAATTTCTACACGGAAATTAAATGCCTCAATCATGGAAAGATGCCTCAATCGTTACTTTATTGCTAAAGGGGGACAAAACTGACATTTCAGACCCGCTAGCCTTCCTATATCACACGGTCACTGCAGCGACATAAGCGCAATGCACATTAGCATACAGGATGTCTCCAACACACACACACACACTGTCTAACACCAATCTGTTTACTTCGCAAGCCAAAAGGTCACACCCGGTCCAGAGTTCGCCTGCTTTAAACAAACACTCGTTGGGCAATTAACATTTAGTTCGGAACGAACGGAGGGCGATCCACTATGCAACGTGTCCATTATAATACAAAGGTATGGGTTAAACCGCACGATATTAATTCTAGATATGAAGCTTTCGTGACTGCAAGGATTCATACTCTTTGTTTTTTTTGTGTTGCGCCCGAAACGTCGTGATTTAATTTAGTTTTTTAATTTATTTTATTTCATTTTTTACCGTGCGGTATTGTTTGGTGATACTGCATTGACAGTTGTGCGCAAGTACAAATAAATCTCAAAACATTAATCAATAACACCGCCTTACAAGGAAACATGAAAGAGGTGGCATTTCATCCTAAAGGGCCATTGTCCGAAACGTCGCCTGATATATAAATATTGGATATATTGCATTATTGTGGATAGATGGTTGTCTATCTTAACGTCTTTCTGAATCATGCCTATTGACTATGTGAGGTCAAGGAGGGACGTAGCGATGCATTGATTAAAATATCGATTCCTCAGCTCGCAACACGCACATAAACCACGTGCATAAGAATCGTGACCCCTGCAGCCATCAGTGGCCGCTATATGAACCGTCATGTTGAACGAATAACAAATCATTGCTTCGAATCGCCGGGGAGTGAACACTTTGTTTGACACCTCGCTGTGCAAGGACTGTGTTTTCAAAACGATGGAAAGTTGCAATGACCTTGTTCAACACGTGGGTGTGTTGGCCACTAGATGGCAATGCATGTAAACAAAGGATCTGTGGGTAGTGGTAGCGTAGCGGTTAGCGCGCTGCGCTACGCACCCGACCACCCGAGTTCGATTACCGCTCACGGACAAAACCAGTGACGATTATCTGTACTGGTCCGGCGCATCCCCTAGGTCGACTCAGCCTAAAATGAATACAGTTCCTGGTGCGGTGTGTAAACATCGCCACTTGGGAGACATAGGCGGCCGGGCGTGGTGCTGGCCACCCACCCCCTCGTGCGCCGTTCCCGGCCTTCATAGGTGCTCGCTAACAGCACTTGCCCCTACAGTCCGTTAAGGCTAAATGGAGGATCTTTGTCTTTTTGAATACAAAAAAAGACAGTCCCTGGTGGTCCACACGGCCACCACACACGCGTCTTTCCACCCACCACTCGCCAGGAACACCTGGCGTGTGGTTTCACGCTGCACGCGCCTAATGATTGCTAAGCACGTGCCCACGTGACAGCGTTGAGCGTCACAATGAGATCGAGACCACGTGCTTCCGCGGTGGGGGGAACGGGCGCGTCGTGATTCGCGAACTGCCCAAACGAACCCGGAGACCAGAGCCCCGATGCCCGCTCACGGCTAACATCAGTGACGAATATGTGAACCG